CAAATGATTCTTGGGTCTTCATTTCACCTGTGAAAAATTTTTAAGGAGAATGGAAAGGACGTGTGCTATGGTATTAGGAGAACCTTGCAACCCCGTGGGAATGGTCTGATGTCATATTAAGCTCACAGCATGGCTGGTAAATTATTATCCCTTGGCCATTCTGTTCAGTTAGAGTGGCAGCCTGTATCATTCTGTGAACTGGGCTCAGACCCTGCCTAGGCTCAGGGAGTAAAATTGATGCCAAGACAACTTTCTGTGTTTTCTGTGGGCATCAGAGTTGAGAGAAGCAGCATAAATTCCATGTATTGACCATCCCTCAGATGGGATTTGGGCATGATTTCTAAAGCCCTGGTATGGTTTGAGGGGGTGGATGGAAATCAACTTTGTTTCTAGCTTGATAATGCCATCAGTGTTAAGGCTCCTTAATCTCTTTGATTATCCTCTTAAAAGACCATCATTTAGTACCAAGAGGGATTTAAAGCCCAAATAAAATAAAATTTTTTTATATAATCCCAGGGTGATTCAATGAGTTTATTTTCATCTAGAAAATTCTCCTGTCTGTTCTTCCCCCACAGTGTCCAGACAAACTGATTTTCCCCTCCAATTGTGCTGTGACTAAGACAGTGACTTCTTCTGGCAAAACTATTTCCCCTTGGACAATAAATGGTTATCTTTAGGGACTTCCCTTTATAGTTAGAACTGAGGATGGTAGACCTCAGTCTTTTCATTAGACTCCATTAAAGAGAGCTACCTTTAAGAGTTTATCACCAATTATTTTCAATGTTTAATGCTTTTAGTACTTTGTAGAGCTGTAGTAAATTGCTATATGCGCTTAAGCTCCATCAATTACTTAAAGACTTGAAAATTGAACTGGTCAGTATGCCTGAGAAGTCCTATACTGGATAGAACATTTTGACCCAGGTGGTTTGCTCAGGGTGCCTGAAAAGAGGTTGAACTCTACGTTTGGATCTTATTGCCCACCTGTCAGGTGTTAATTATCATAGATCTGGCCTGCCCAACTGGATTAAGCCCTAGAGAGGAGAAAAAGTAGGAATGAGTGGTGGTGGTGTTGATGCTTTGAGAGCAAGAAAATAGAATTCAAGTGTAGTAGATGGTTTGCAGATTTCCTGTGGCCTCTTAGAGATTTATAACCTCAGCCTTTGACTTTACTTCATGAGCATATTTTTTTTGCAGACCATATTTTCACAAATTTCAGGTTTAATTAGAAAGGTATTTTATTTTCCTATGAATTGAAAAAAGCATTATTTATTTATTGAAATGATACTGAGAACTCTGTGTGTGGTGTTTATATAAATGTTTTTCTCATCAGCTATTTTTTTATAATCCTGTTCTATTTTCTCATTGCATCTATTTTAAAAAAGTATTTATTGTTTAAAGTATTACATAATTCTTCTTCCCCCCCCCATTGACCTCTCCCCGGACACCCCCACCCTTCAGTACATGCACTCATCCCCCTACTGTCTGTGTCCATTGGTTATGCTCATATGCATGCATAGAAGTCTTTTGGTTGATCTCTTACCCCCCTCATCCCTCGCCTTTCCTCATAGGTTGTACAGTCTGTTCCATGCTTCTATGACTCTGATTCTATTTTTTTTATCAGTTTATGTTGTTCATTATGTTCCACAAATGAGTGAGATCATGTGATATTTTCTCTTTCTCTGACTGGCTTATTTCACTTAGCATAATGCTCTCCAGTTCCATCCATTGCAAATGGTAAAAATTTCTTCCTTTTTACAGCAGCGTAGTATTCCATTGTGTAGATGTACCACAGTTTTCTAATCCACTCATCTGCTGATGGTCACTTAGGCTGTTTCCAAATCTCAGCTATTGTAAAGTGTGCTTCTATGAACATAGGGGTGCATATATCCCATTGCCTCTTCATGTATGTTTTTATGATTCTATTTCCATGGCAGGGTATGGCCACACAAGCACATGATTGTGTAGTAGAGAATAAGATTTGTGTGCACATGTATGTGTATCATAGAATAATTAAAGAACCTGTTCATTTATTCTCACTCATCTTTACTAAGAGCATAAGCTACCCAACTGTCAAACTCATTGTTACTTGTTTATTGTAATGGGCATCTGTACATTAACTCTGTTTAGTCTCTGCTTTGTACCAGGCTTTGGGGAAATAACCTTGGAGCACATAATGAGCATGACAGTCACAATTTCTATCCTACTGATGACTGTCTTTCACATAGTTATTAATATTAATGCTACTTGAATAAAACAAACTGATAAATTCTTGATAATTGGAAATACCTTGTCAGTGTTGCCATTATATGTTTCCAGAGCAAGATCATAGCATTTTTATTATGGAATTTTCATCTAATCGGTTTTTTTAATTAAAAATATCCAAATAACAAAACACAATTAACAATATGGCTTTAGGAAGTTATGAGCAAATGGTAGTATGGCTTATCTCATACTATAATATTTTTATCTGAAAAATAGAAGAGTAAAACTTAGCTATCATGATCATAAGTCATTACTGTATTTCGAAAGAAACTAATATTGCTCATTGTAACATTTGAATTAAACTACTTCTTAAACACATTAGATTTCTCCTCCAACCCTTGGTCTCATGTATAGGTGAGAGATAGTGCTTAATGCCAGATGGCTGGAGCATTTCATCCACTAAGTAAACATTGGTGGCAAGATACTTGCCTCCAAACAATAATGCATGACAGAACATAGAGTGTCTAAAAAACAGAGGGATTCACCCCTAATTCTTAGCTATTTGTCAGTTTTGTAGCCTTTTAAAAACCTGCAGTGGCTGACCATGCCATGCATTTTGCTCTGGTATAGGAGTACATATATAAGAGTTTTGTAAGGAAAGCAAGAGCAGTTGGTTTTTAGGGACCTTCATTTCAACGCTATCCTCTCCTCTGACATCTATTACTTCAGAGTAAAAAAAAAAATCTTGTTTAACCCCTGAATGATCTGAGGTGGTGGTGTGCTTCTCAAGGCAGCCCACACAATGTAAAACTTCCACCAAATGATGTTTGTGTGATTTTAGCACTCCTGTTATTTACTACTCAATTCTCAAAAACTCCAGAAATAGAAATATGAAGGGCCAAGTCTGCTGGCAAATGTGTTATTTTCATCTTGGAGCATATTTGAGAAAATGTTTGGAAGTAAGAGGTCCCTGACCATTGAGGACTTCCAGACGGGGGCCACCGTTGCCCAGGAATGATGGGAAGGGGCTTCCTCCCAGGGGAGTGCCTTCTGAGAATAAGCCAAAGAAGGTGGCAGCCAGGCTTGGGAACTCCAGACTAGAAGGAAATTGCAAGTATGGAAAAGAAATAGAGAGAGGGTGAATAAGCATATACCTATGGGACAAAATTACAGACTGTAAGAAAGGTGGGCCATTGTCACGAGATAAAAGGAAACTGTGGGACTTAGGATAACATAAGGACAGTTGTATATTTCAAAAGTAACAATATAAATAAGTCAAGTTATTAATTCATAATTTCTTTCCTAGTATGAGAGGGCGAAATACAAGTTGGTCAAGGTTTCTTACTTTATTTAGTGGTAGCTAGAGCTGACTTTGATGGTTCCATGAAATTGGCTTAAAGCAAGACTAAAATCAGCAACTGCCAGCTTTTCTGTCCTTTGAAAGATTCGTCTTTCTTCTCTGACCCTTTAAAGTTGTAGCTACACTAAAGATGTCATGTACTTACGCTCAGATTGTTTGCACATTTTAACTCATAATATTCTGAGTGCTGTTCTTACTGGTTATTTATTTGTTGTTGTTTTTAAGATTTTGCAAAGCAATAGACTCACCTCCACAAGCTGAAATGTATCTCCTGCCTCTTTAGTATGTGGTACGATATAAACTGTCCAATCCGAATATCAGAGTGTGTCACAGGGTCTGGTACTATCTTTCTTACAGCTTCAACTAGGGGTGGTTCAAATCATTACACTGTCATTGAATTACAAGTAACCCCCTGAGAGAATTTTCCCATGAGCTCCCCCCACCTTTCTAGTTTACTTCTGTACAGCCTTTTTGAAGGGGCAAGGAAAGGAAAGTCCACCTCACAATTCAAGCTTCTGTACACCTGTCATTATCGTAGTGACAGCTCTTGGTGCAGAAGAGAGGACATTTGTATTTTGGTCCTGTTTTTGCTTACAGATTCAACTCTTATGTGAACATAAAAGGGACCCTTGCTTTAAAACCAACCTTTGTTTTTAAGATCACCCTGCTTTCTTTATTTCATGTAGAATATAAATGTTATCTTTAAATCCACTTAGATTATAGAGGGGTTCTTGGCTTAATGGAGGAACAGAGAAAGAAGGCTGCCTCCAGTTAAAGGGGCAAGAACAACAGTGCAAGGGATAGAGTGCTGGGTCTTAGCACCACCGTTCCTGGCCCTGTGAATGCAGTGAAAAATATGCTGCACTGGACAATCCCGTGTGTGACCACTGGCAGATGTATCACCATTGTGAATCTCCGCTGCATTGTCTAGGAAATAGAGATAATATCCTTATCTATGAAGTGGGAATAAAGTCTACCTCACCTATTTCTCAGGGGTGTTAAGGCAGTTAAATAAACGTATATATGAGAGAGCGCTGTGCAAATTATAAAGTGCTGTCCGAATGTTAAGGTAGCATGATGGAAATGTTTACTCAGCAGAAAGACGAAGCAGTAGACTTTGTGCAAAGAGTCTCTATGTGAATGTTGTTTCCTTCTTTGGAAATCTCTCCATTCTGACTTCGTTTACGTTTATATTCTTGGGAGCTCTTTGATTTAGAGCTGGCACCACTTTACTGTAAATATACAGCACTATGCGCACATCAGCCCAAGGCCGGTGTCAGGCTCGCTGCACAGAGGCCTTCAGTTCAGGTCAAGAGGGACTACAGTAAGTGTTAGCGACTGCTTACACTCTAGTGACAAGACCATTACTAAAATATGTGGTGAAATCTTTTCAGTCAAAATTAACCTTATCTCTTTTGTTTTACCTTTTCCTTTAAAGCAGCTTATGACGTTTTCTCAAGCCCTACAACGTCAGATGAGCCTGAAATATCAGAGCCCCACACAGGTATACCCAACCTCTCAATTCTTTCCTCTGATTCCATGTGTTCTGACAATACTGCACCTAGTTCTCTCTTTAATTTTTGCTGAATGAAATAGTACACTCTCCAGAGCTCTGCAGCAAAAGAAATGGCAATCCGCGTCAGGGAGACGATGCTACCCTCTCTCCCTGCGGGATTAGTTGTTTGCATCCATGAGTAAACAGGCTCCCACAAGTGGGAGATGCAGATAGGTTTGCTTGCTACTGAGGCAAAGTAAGGTAATGGTCTATTGCTCTGTTGTTCAGCATCATTCTAAAAAGGTTTTAGAATCCTAGAGAGTTTTCTCTGGAACAGTGGTTCTCCAGTGGGGGGTGATTTTGCTCTCCTCTATTCCCAGGGGATTTGGAAATGTCTAGAGACATTTTTGTTTGTCACAGCTGGAGGAGGTGCTACTGACACATCCAGTGAGTAGGGGTCAGAGATGCTGCTAAACCCCTACAATGCAAAGAACAGGCCCCTACAACAAAGAATCACCCAGCCCTAAATGTCAATATTGCCGAGGTGAGAAATCGTGCTATGGAGCACGATCATGCTATTCATTTATCTACTAGAGGCCTGGTGTAAGAATTAGTGCATGGGTGGGGTCCGCTGGCCTGCCTATGGGGTGGGGCCGGCTGGGGGGAGTGGCCACTGGTGGTTGGCCGCTGGCCCAGCCCCTGGTCGAACTCCTAGTTGAACTCCCGGTCAAGGGAACAATTTGCATATTAGTCTTTTATTATATAGGATAGAAGTTCAGGTGGGTCTAATTTTTGGCATTCACTTACTGATGCAGCTACAGTGAATTTAACTCAGTCCACTAGTTCCTCTTGGCAAGTGTTTACTAAGCACCTACTAAGCTTGGTCCTGCAGAACATTTAAAGTGAATAAGACTGGTCTCTGCCAGGCATGCATGTATGTCTGAGACTTTCTCTTTGTGTAGCTTTATCTCAGCATTATTTGTGTCATAAATAAAAGTGAGTAATTTTAAACAGCAGAAAATTTTTAAAAATGAAATAGAACGCTAAAAGTGGGTTCAATTAGTAGTTAAGAAACAGAGAGAAGAAGCCAGCAAAATCTGCTGAAAATAAGTTAGGTATATAGACACTGTTTTGTCATGACTTCTGATGTTTAAAATATATATGTTCTTTAAAGTGAGCTCATATTTAAATTCTAATGAACCACTCATTTAAAAATGTTGGTCAGAAATCTCTCAAGTGTTCTTTTTTAAAATTTCTTTATTGATTAAGTTATTACATATGTGTCCTTATCCCCACATTACCCACCATCCCTCCCACTCATGCCCTACCTCCCCCCCCCCCCCCCCCGTTGTCTGTGTCCATTGGTTAGGCCTATATGCTTGCATATAAGTCCTTTGGTTGATCTCTCCCCCTTACTCCTACCCTCCCCTACCTTCCCTCTGAGGTTTGATGGTCTGATCAATGCTTCTCTGTCTCTGGATCTGTTTTTATTCACCAGTTTATGTTGTTCATTATATTCCATAAATGAGTGAGATCATGTGATTGGCCTAAATTCTCAAGTGCTCTTGATATTTTTTTCCTATATGGGGCAAAATTTATTACTCATGAATTTGTATTTTATTCCTTGGGCCTTCTACTGCTTTTGTAAATGTTGACATTTATTCCAACAGCAACAACGGATCCATTTCTGGATTCTGTCCCACCTAAAACTTCTAGAACTTTTGAACAGCCAAGGGCAACACTGGGTAATGTTTTTAACAGAAAAATCGTGCTTTGTTTTCCATCAAAAGAAAATCCATGTGAATGCCTTCCTTCCAAATGACCATTTCTTTCCATCACATCTAATCATTTATTTCTTTCCTATTTCTGAATATATATACTTTTTCCCCCCTATAATGCAGGCATCTCGTGTTTCATTTTGGTCTCTTTTTTTCTTTGTACTGTAATAGATGATATTTTTCCATCCCTAAAGGAATGAAAAGTTTTGAAAACTGCATGGATACTTTCATCATCCATATCACCCATCTCATGTGTTTGTGGCCTGTATCACCTTTCTTTCCTGCATTGAGTCTGCCTGGAGTCAGTTACTGAACAATTATCACTTCGACCTTTCCCTGACTTTACATTATTATTTCATTCATCAGCTTTGAAGACTACCTGCATTTTCATCCTTAATCATGTACTTGTAGCATGTGCTTTGTAACACCAGCTGAAAGCATGTGAAAACTCCTAAAATACCTCATTTTAACTGGAACTATTTGGTGGGGTGGGGTGTTTGTATTTTCAGCTCCAAGTGAAACGCCATTTATTCCTCAAAAACTGGAAATCATTACCAGTCCTGAAATGCAGCCTACAACACCTGGTAACTAATGACATTTGTACAGTTGTTTACTTTGCAAGAACAGATCAATTCAAAAAAATCAGTCATGTTGCTCCTTTCAGAATATTTTCAGTGGTGAACACTTCTCTTCATTCCCTACTATGACACTGTGTACTAGTAGATATTGTGAAGAATTATTATTTTTTGGCTATACTTTCAAATTCTCCAACCAGAAAATAGCAGCAGGATTATAGATGGTAATTATTTTAAATATATTCCCTCCTAACTAGCGCACTCACATACCATGAGGTCAGAGACTTTTTCTCAAAGTAGTCCAAATATAAAGAGCCCCAAGAGAGCTCTGCAGTCCTGAGCATGATGAAGAAAAACGGGCAAAAGACAGGTTACACAACCTCATTTTAAAATATAAAATTATAGGGATAATGAAGTTCATTATTTCCTGGTAAGATTAGTAAAATGCTACAGAATTAAAGAATTCCTGGACTTTCTATTCTCTAAAACCCAAATAGTTTATTTGTGTTTCTCCCCAGCTGTTTGGTAAATCATCTTTTGAGTTCTTAAATTGCACCATCTGTTCTCAAATTCTTCAAAGGTGCTCACTTTGTAGGACATTTAACTGAAGAGTTCTCACGTAGAAAATTAATTCCTTTGGCCCAATCAGCACCTTTATTGAGCACCTGCTGTGAATAAGGCACAGTGCTGGGCATTCTAGGGATACAAAGAAACATAAAGCAGTCCTGGCACTCAAGAAGTTTACAAATTTACACTTAAACCTGATCCACCCTGAGGAAAATCATTTCTGAAAGCTATTTTAAATCTTCTTTCAGCTCCCCTGCAAACTACACCTAAACGACGCCTCAGGCCCAAACCACCAAGAACCAAGCCTGGTAAACAAATGTCTCTTTAACCTTTCAGGATATTTAATTCCAAAAGGATAATATCCATCTCCTTGCCATAAAAATAAGTGACATGATTCTGCAGGTTAAAGTTTCTTTACAAAATCTGAAGGTAACTGAAGATGAATAATTAATGATAATGAATAACAAGAGTCAATAATTTCTGATAAAATTTTATTAAAAATTATGTAAGTGGTGTTCTTGCATGTGAATTTTGGTGTAAACCTAAATACAAGACTTGCTATCACATGGTAGAGTGAGATATATAGTATAATTCTTTTTCTTGGTATGCCATCTCTATTTAAGTCTTTATAAGGTGACAGTTCTTGGTTCTGGGTGCCTACTATGCTTTCAGTTTTTCCCCAGGGCAATGGCTGAGATGGAAAGGACATGACCCCAGTTTTCCAATGGCTTATGATCTTATGAAGATAACGTATCATAAACAATGAGAGAACATAAGATCATATAATCTACTTGTGAGACTAATACTCATGTAGAAGGTCAGAAAAAGAAAGTAAGAGTTGAGGATGCAAGCCTCAAAATCTGTGTAGGATTTGGGCAAAGGAAAAAGCAGTGGGGAACAGCATTATTTTCAGGCACAGAGTCTGGGGGATGGAGGCAGCTTATCAGCCTGGAGGTGATTTTCCTCATTGTCAAATAACACACTCAGAATCATACTCAACAACTGGGTTTTGCTTAGTCCTTTGTACTACAAGTACAGTGGTTTTATTATAGTCTATATCATTTTGACTGAGTTTGAAAATTCTTTTCCAAAATGTTTACTCACTGCATACTTTATAAACACTGACTACTAGCTGTGGCAGGATTTTAACATGCCATTCAGTTCCTCTTTGGAAGACATCTTTTTATTGTCTCTAGGATATCATAATATCTCTTTCCTTTCCATCACCAGAAAGAACCAAAAGTCCTGGAACAACTACTTCTAAACTTTCTATGAGCCCTGAACCTACATGGACCACACTGGGTAATGATATGTCCTTAGTGGGTGTCTTACTTCTTGTCACCATGGGAAATCCAGGGCCCCAGCTTTCATGTAATGTCTCAGTCAGTATTCTAATGGGCTCGTTGCAGCAGTACCGAGTATCTCATGTAGCACATCGACTATGGCTTTCATGGTTTTGGATAGCTGGCCCTATAGTAAGCGGATCTGAATGCAACCTTGTACATCACCCTATGCTTTGGAAAGCTATAAAACCACTGCTTCTTTCTCATCTTCTATCCAATCATTGTATCTGAAGTTGGGTCTTACACACAGTTGTTTGTTTGTTTTTTCATAAAGCCCTTAATTTCAACTTTAGACTGCATTTGGAAAAATGACTATTATGGTATTAGTAGAATTTCTTTATGCTGCAGATCATAGCATATCTATCAGTAAATATTAATTTTAAAATATATCTTTTTCTGGTGCTTAAAGACTTAGATGTAACTGAAGAATATGAAATAGGAGCACAAAATGATTACACTGATTTTTTTAAAGCATGGATTAAAATCACACTGTCTTTGTGTAGTTATTATGACTACTTAGTAGCAATGCTATTTCTTTAGGTCAAATATACTCTATAAATGTTTTTTTCAAACCAGATGAAAATTTATCACTGTATTTCCATTAAATGCTGCTCTTAAAATACTCTTTTAATGGACTATTTCCAAAATCTCCCAAGATGATGGGCTCATTCCACTTAAAGTATAGGTTTTCCTTTGTAGTTTTAGACACTAAAATGTCTAAAAATGGATTTGTTTGTTGATTCTTTTTGTTTCTTTATTTTTCCAGCTCCCAGTAAAACACAATTTATTTCTTTGAAACCTAAAATCCCTCTGAGCCCAGAAGTGACACACGTCAAACCTGGTAATTACCCTGATTTTTTTTTTTTTTTTAATATTCCAAGAGTAGGATTGAAAAGTTGTTTTATGCCACTCTTTGGAGCAAGAACTTCTGATTTGTATTTTGGTGTTTGACACATTTTGCCATGAAAAATGCAAAAATGCAATGAAATGCTCTCATTATAACCAGCCCCTCTGATGTTATCACAGCACTGCTCTGAGCTATGTGGAGGAGCATTATGCTCATGACCTTCACAGAGAAAACACAGACATAGAATGATGTACATGATTGAGGACTGCCTTGTCTAGGACTACAAAATAGTTTCCAGTACCAACGTTGACTGGAACTCCATGACACTGAACAGTCGCCTTTCAGCTGGAAAGGAAGGTGTTTCCATCCCCTAAGAACTCTGCCTTGTTTGAAGCTTCTTAGTTTTCAGGCTAAAAAGTGTGTGTCTCCCTGATGCTCCATGACGTCTTTCTCTCCTGGGGCTGATTTCTGAACACTGACTTCTGTTTACTTCTCAGGAGATATTAAGGGTGTTTTCCTGAAGAAAAGGATGTTTTGCTCTTTTACTGGGAGGGGTTATTCCATAAAATTTAAGACAAAGATAATTCCCTACATAAGGATTGTGGGACATATTAAAGGACCAAATCTTCATCACTTTCTATCCAGAATATATACAATAGTTTACATGTTGACTTACATGATTGATATGTATGGATCTCTGTCACTACTCATCACTTTCATCTAAATTTTAATTCCTTAGCTCTGGGAAGAATATATTTCTCACTGTAATGTTCAATGGATTTTTCATAAATTTATGTTTACAAAGCATAGTTATTAAAGCAAGTGACTTTCTGCTTTAGTGAGCAAGCTTTATTTTTTGCAATGAAATGCATAAGGAAGAAAAAGTAACTGCTCAGAAAAAGAATTCTAATGACCCCCTTTAAAGAGGCAGTGTAGGTCTCAGACTGAAGAAAATTAGGGATTAAGGGAGTATGACCATGGGTGAGGTCTCCAAGTCAGGACATGGAATGATGCATTCTTACTCAGGGAGGATATTTGGAGAAAGAGGCATAGCTCATGATACTCAAGAGCTCTACAAGTTTAAAATAAAAAAACACAGACAGCTATATGCAAGAAGGGTTTCACCTACATTTATTTTTAAATATGCTTGGAGGACTTTAGATTACGATAGTAACTATTACATTTATGTTATATTTGCATAGAAGACTATTACCAAGCAGACTGTATGAGAAACGTTACTGTATGTTTGGGTCACCAAATTTAAATGAATATTTCTCCAATCTAATTATTTCTGTTATTACCAATTAAAATTTGAAAACATCAAAAAATGCCTCCAAATGTTAATTGTAATTTACACAAGGTAATTTACATTATTAACTTCAGTGGTTTCTAAAAAGTTTTCTGACAGGCAGTACATTAATACAAATAAGAATTGGAGGGTGTGTTCTTATTATTCTAAGGTATTTGAGCAGAGACTTCTTAATTTGACATTTCCTTTTAAAGTGTAGAAAATTATTTGGAAGCTTAATGCGTTTATGTTCCTTTCATTTCTACCTCCTAATCACTTAAGAATAGCCACATTTCCCCCCCCAACAGCAAGTATAGCCACTTCAGAATCTGCACCAAAATGTATGCCAACTCAAGTTGACACTGAGGCAACACACAACACAGAGTAATGACTGAATGTCTGAAAACTGTTGCTTGTGTTTTAGCTTTTTAAAAGAATTTATTTATTTTTACTTTAGGGCAGGCCACCGTTATAGCTCTGCTGAAAATTTCTGTTTCTAGCCAAGGTTCAGGAGAGCAAATAAACCACCAAAAGCTGTTTGATTTGAGTGATTCATTGCCTTCCCCAGCCCTCTCCTCACTCTCTTTTTTTCCATTTCACTTTCCATGCAGGCTGCTTTTCCTTTGGTTTTCCCTGGCGGTTAAACTAACAAGTAAAAACCACCATTGGTTTTGGCTTGTTTCGTAAGCAGAATCCAGTGCTTCCTTGAAAATCCCAGCCATCTGCTCTGTCTCTCCTTGTCTACCTCATCCAATAAGAACTGTTTCTTTCACAGTTAATCTTTGACATTCCACTCTTCAACTTTTAACACTAAAAAATGGGAGAGTGCTCCAATTAATTACAGGTGTGGTGGATGGACTTGTACATTGTTCTCTTTGCTAGCCACAAATCCATGAGCAAGTTGTGTATTTCTTTGTGTTGTGTTGATGTGAGTGGTGTAGTTATTTGCCTGCCACTCAGGTTTTTTATGGAACATTTCTATATCTTTATCTACAACACCTAAGTAGTGTCAATAGAGGAACTCATCAGAACATGTATTTGTTTTTTAATAAACACTGACTTTTTTTATATGGAGGTGAATTGGAAGCTTCATTGATAGGAATACATACCTATGTGGTCTGCGCCTGCCAAGAGTTCAAAAATGCAGATTTTTCTTTACAGATTTAAAAGACAGTATTCTTTAATCTTTGTAAAGTCTTAAAAATGCTGTGAGCAGCAAATTTTACTTACATTTTCACTCTTTTAGAAGATACCTTTGTAGAAATTAAAACATGAATTACAACCTCGAAGTTTCAGAAGAATTTTTGTTGGTTGCTATTTTCAGATGTGGATCCTTTAAAAATATTTATTATATTTAATGTATTGGTGCTTACTGTTTTTTTCCTTTTCTCCTGTAGAATCTGAAACATTGAGGCTCTCTCTCTCTCTCTCTCTCTCTCTCTCTCTCTCTCCCAATTTGAATGACATTGAGGATTTGTTGTCTGATAGAATATTTAAATGATACTATTATTCAATTTTTTCAGCATTTCAATGAAATCTGAGACTGCCTTTTGACTTCTGCTGATTTACTAACCAAAATGGACTAAATTTTATAAGTGAATCAATTTTTTCACCAGCAATACTGCTAATAAACATGGAGAACATCATATGAGCATTTTGGTTTCTTTTTAGACCATAAGTTTGATTTTTTTAAATAAAATAATGTCAGATCCAGCCAAACTGAAAATCATCCAAAATGAACAGAACTCAGACACAGGTACAGGTCTAATGAGTCTGTTCCTTCTTCCTTGGACCAACCTGACGGTCCTGCATGGGAGCAACATGGCCGGTGGACAAGAGCTCCATGCAACCTTTCAGAGCTGCCTGACCTCCCTTTGATGGAGTATCTCCTCAAGCACTAGAAACAGTTTCAGAATATTGTGTAGTAAATACAATAGCTAAAAATCTACCAAAAAATATAGAAATCTCAATTCTTACTTTTATTGTGGTTTGCGGAGAGGATGTGGGTGTTGAGCTTTACGGTTGTTAAGCCAGGAGAACCTGATTGCTCATCAATGAGAGAATACTTTTTCTACTGAAGGACATTTAGTTTCTGTCTTAGATGGTGCTCTTCAGCATTGCCTTTGATAATACTTGCTTTTATTGCAGCCCCAGAACCTCTGACTCCAACACCATCACAGTCAACAATAGGTAATGAAGTTTTCGTTAGTGAAAAAGAATTATCTCTCTTTTTTACAACCTCTATCTTCAACTTTGTCCTTAATTCTGGCTTTTAAAAAATTTATTTTGCCATGGCTGGTGTGGCTCTGTTGGTTGGGCATCATCCCATGAACCAAGAGGTAAAGAGATCACTGGTTCAATTACTGGCCCAAATTGTAGGCTTGATCCTGCTAAGGGGACAGGCAGCCTCACATCAATGTTTCTCTCTCTCTCTCTCTCTCTCTCTCTCGCTCTCTCGCTCTCTCGCTCTCTCCCTCTCCCTTCTCTCTAAAAATGAATACAAATATCTTTAAAAAAGAGATTTAAAAAATAAAAAATGTTATTTCTTCATCATCCTTTAGCTCTTTCAGCCATTTTTGCCAGAAGATAAACTCTCTGCCTGTGCTCAACAAAGCAGAGGTTCTGAGGTAGCATGACAGCCATACTGACTTTGATTTGACACATTCTTTTCATTTTTATTTTACATGCTTTATTGTCCTTCCATATATTTGAGGAATGTGCCCTGAGCTTCTTTTAACCTGGTGAGGACCATGGCTTTCCTAGGACATGCTTTGCTTTCACATTTGGAGGTGTTTTTCTTCCTTTTCGAAACTCCAACATTTGCAGATTTTCTTGAAAGACATTATGGTCTTTCCAGATCTAAATATCCTGATATGTCACTAGGAAATTCATTAAAAGAAAGAAATATAAACACTAACCCTAATGTTATAGCTTCTTTTTCTTCAGGAGAGCAAATACTGTGTTCTGCTGGTGCCATCTTAGCCAATTACCCATATTTTCCTTCATAACACGAATGGTTGGTTACTTTATTGCATTCACATATTCCAAATAAGAATCGTACCTTTTTCTTTCCAGTTCTCTTTCCAAACTTAACTCACTGGCTATATTTTTGTTCATTTTGTCTAAAAGCACAGGGATCAATTTAAACAAAAAAGGGAATTTTTATGTGGCTAAATTTTTCATCATTTATATTTGTTCAACTTAGTAATTAAAAATTAAACATTTTTCATATTTATTTCATATTAATATTTCATATTAATCATTTTTTCTTTGATCTTGATTCTTTTTTGATGATGTTTCATGCAGCCTTAGAACCTGGAACACTGGAAACCAAACCTTCAACAACAACATTAGGTAATGCAGTTATTGAGTGACCTCTTTTCCGGACTGCTGGTGGCTTTATTAATAGGCTCATATTAATGCATTAATCCATTAATATTCATTTTTGTGTGTGTTTTCTATTCTTACTCCCAGAGAAACATTTTTAATCTATAGTTTTATAAACTATATCTCAATTTTAAAATATACCTCCCTGAAATAATTTCTGAATTCAAAATACATCTTGCTGATTTGCAGATTTTTTTTAATGCTAAGTGCAAAACTTTTTCTTTTGAATCTTAGGCCAAAGAAATTTTAATTGTTACCCCTAGTGGCTTTTTAAACATAACTTTTCTCATGTTCCTATTGAACAAGCACTTTCAAAATTTTTATGAGATTGTTTTCTCTAAGTTATACAGAGTTCTAGGTTTTCCCATCTCAAAATGGATGAACAAGGGATCTCTTGAACAGTGATTGTTTACAAATCTTTGTCCAAAAAAATATACTTGAAGATTCATTTAACTGGCCAAAAAAATATAATTAAGGATTCATTTATTATTTAATGATAGAAAGGTGCAAAACAGAAAGGTACATATCCACAATAAATCGAAGAGTTTAAATGTTCTTCTAAGGTATATGTAAAATTGTTTGTCCTATATTAACTAGCTAATTTTCTTTCTTCAGCTCCACCAAAGACCAAACGACCAGGTCGTCGCCCCCGCCCTAAAACCACACGTAGTCCAGATGTGCCCAAGTCCAAACCTGGTAAATGTGATGTTGAGGGTTTCAATTAACACAGAAAGTGGAATATGATAGCGTCTGATATAGTTGCTATCTACTACCTACGTTGCTGGACTTTGGGAACCACCGTAGTTGATGTTTATATTTAAGTATCTGTACTAACCTTCCATATTCATGTCACATGAATATACACATTTATATTTACAGGTACACACAATAGTAAGCTGACTCACTAAGTGTATTATTAAAGTAAGGCACCCTAATATCTTACGGAGGATGCATATTCATGGCAGATGAGCTGTGGGAGAAGAGGAGGGAAAGGGGGAAATAAAAGGGAGAATCACACCCAAAAAGAGCACACAGGTTAAGTAAAGATTGAGGAGTAATGTTTCCTTCCTCAAGATGCTGCTTCTTGATATAATTATTCTTTTTGATTTTTCACTTCTGTAGCTCTGCAACCTGCAACGGTACAACCGGAGCTCTGGGTGCCCACAGTCGGTAATTCTACTCTCCTCCAACTGCTCTCATGTTGTCACTTTTGCTTTCCCTACTCCCCACCAGGCATGACTGCACTTCTGCCAGATCACCACAATTTCATTCCATGCGTCCCCTCAGTTTCCTATCTGGGTCTGAAGAACCCGATGATAGGAGACTTCTAGAAGAATCCTGTGTGCTTGTTTAAGGAAGCTCTGTGGCCTTGGACACAACTTCCTGGTTTTTCACTAACCCTCTGCCTTTCCATCCCATGTGTCCTTGTGGTGAAAAGACCATCTATTCTCCCAGACAGAGGCTTCTGTGTGCATCCTGAACTTGACAAATGGCAAAATTTCATTTCAGTGCCCTCATTATCATTTCATTGATTTACTCATTCAACTTGTTTGACATTCTTTCTTTTTAAAAGTTGCATGAAATAATGGCTTCTTCAGCTTTTTTGTTTCTTTGAAAAATAATTTTTGAGTATGTTTTGATAATTAGAAGGACAAATACTATCCTTGGTCTACGATCCAATATAAAAATAGGATGGTCTGTAACTTGAGAACATTAGATGTCCCAAGCTGGTTTTATTGTTTTTAGTACTAATGCTGTTGATGATAATTATTTCATTGTAAGTTCTCATCATTCACAATAAATCTGTCACTACTTTACTTTAGAAAATTCCAGAAATCAGTAGCCATGTAACATTGTATAGAATTTCAAGTGTTAAAGATTATTTCCCAGGTCCCCTACTAAGCAAGTTTCAAATTTCTACCATATTATTTTTATACTGAAAAAAATCAATTAAGAAATAGAACTATTATACTTATCACATTTGAAATTACGTAGAAAAGAAGTCTTATTACAGTTCTCATTATTTTTGCTCAAAGACACATGTTGAGCATTTCCTGGAGTTTTCTCTTTTGGACATATTTCCCATTCATCCCACAACGTAGGAGCTAATTTTGCTGGATATCACTGAAATTATTTAGTATATTTGCTCGAGCCTATATGTCCTTAATTCTGACAGTTACAGCCAGGACCATTATGCTAATTTTAATACTTTTTTCTTTAGCATCAGAACCATCCAAAAGACCCTAAACCACACATAGACCAGACGTACCTCAAACCCAGCCAGCTAGCCACTACTTTCAGTGCCTTGATTTATAACTAGGAAAACTTTGTGTCAGTAACATTAATCTTGACATTCACAGCTCTGCTATGACACTAATTATAACACCTTTTTTCCTTCAGATTCAAAACCACCAAAGCAATTACTTCCTAAACCCCAAACCACAGCAAAACCAGATATGCCATCAACTAAATCCGGTAAACATAAGTTCCAATGCTTTGGTTTAAGAAGCTCTTTCTTTGGGAATGTTGCTGAAAATGCTTACAGTTTGTTATATCACATAAAACATAGAAACCCAAGCACCATGACTTTGTTCATCATTGTCTCAAAGTAGTCACGCTAATGTTGTAAGTGTTAAATGAACAAATCAATGTGTGGGAAATTAGTACATTTTACAACTGATACTGACAGCTGCTGTTTCCTTAAGGAGTTTGTAGGCGTTGTTTTCTGAGTCTGTGTGTGTCACGAATGGGAGCCTGGTTTTCTGTATCTGGACCATTTCTGAAAGCGCGGTGAGCAGCCACGGCCAGACAGCACTTGGGAGGCTGGCACTGCGTTCTTCCTTTGTGGGCACAGAATCAGAGCTTGGCCTCCTCTCAAATACCTTATTGACATTTTAAACAGCAACTATTTACTAAGCGATTTCCTACCAAATAAGGGGATGTTTATATAACAGTTCTGGAAATTCAACTGTTTTGCAATTGAAAATTTCTCCTAAGATTCCCAAGAGTATAAAATTCTAACTTACTAAGAGCATCTCTCATGAAGCCTATCAAGAAGTCAATTTATATCACTTTTGAATTTATATCAGGTTCTCTAGCCTCTGAATTAAGCATCAGCGATCACCTAAAAGTTTAGACTTACTGCTTTTATCATTTTTATCTGTTTGTTTTTTGTGCTGCAGGCTTTGAGCCTGTTACATTGGAGGCTGGAGCTCCTTCCATAACCATAGGTAATGATGGCTGTCTTCCTTCTTGTCAGTGTTTCTCTGAGCTTGCTCCTCTCTGTCGTTCTCTTGTGTAAACGGTTATTCACCATCTTTTTCATTCATTTCCAACGTTGTTAGGGACCTTTTTAACATTGGGAGGCCATCTGGCATCTGCTGCTCAGCTGACAACCCCTGATGTTACTCTTTCCTGGGTCACCTTCGGAGGCATTCAGATTGCTTCCGGCCCTTGACGCTGTCAGGAGTCACAGGGGCTCTCTCCATCCATCCTTTAAACCAGGACATGTTTGAGATTTCTGTTTTTATGTGTATAATTTATAAATGTGGGAGGGGATCAATGAAAAAGCTGGTTGGGGCTTGACACAATACATAATTATTTCTTTCTCGAAAAATCTCTTGCTTCTTTGATTCCATACTATTCAAACACAACTTGAATGAATGTCAATTTTCTGTTGAAAAATTAAGCTGATCATGCTGAATTCCAAACAAAACAAGGATTCCCCTTTTTTGTTTGAAGGCAGTCAGTTTTGAATATGGTTTTCATCCTGTTATTCTCGCTTTCTCTCTCTTTTCTGTCTGCCATGTTTTCCATTAGTTCAGAAAATGTTCTCAGATGTGGCTTAACCTAACTCAGTGCTATATGTCTTAGACAGTCAATAAAAAGCAATCTTCATATAATTGCTTACAGGGTTTTTAGTGATAAAAATGTTTTAATGATACATTTAATCTTCTGAATTTAATGAAAAATAGAAACTAATTTAAAACTAGGGAGTCAGCCGAAACCGGTTTGGCTCAGTGGATAGAGCATCGGCCTGCAGACTGAAAGGTCCCAGGTTCGAATCCGGTCAAGGGCATGTACCTTGGTTGCGGGCACATCCCCAGTGGGGGGTGTGCAGGAGGCGGCTGATCGATGTTTCTCTCTCATCAATGTTTCTAACTCTCTATCCCTCTCCCTTCCTCTCTGTGGAAAATCAATAAAATATATTAAAAATAAATAAATAAAAATAAAAAAAAAATTGAAAAAAAAATAAAATAAAACTAGGGAGTCAATAAATCTTAATTTCATACCTATGCATAATTTAATCATTACAGAATTTAAAACAAGAGAGGTACTAAATCCTAACTTCATCTCTATGCATAATTTAATCATTTCAGAATTCTAGGTATCCTATTTATCCAGACAAAAAATTGAATTATTGCTTTTCAGAATTTTTTCTTAATCATCTCTTCTTCTCACTTGAATAATTATCTCCTAATTATCCATTTGAAATAAATGAATAAATAAGAAACAGTAAGAAATGTATCACATTTATTCTGGAGAAAGTCAAAAGTTTATCTTTTGTATAACTGCCACAGATCTCTGATAAACAGACTGACTAAGATTTTTAAAAATTCTCTTCACTACCAATATTCCTCAAAACATATATCAAGAATGATGGTAAAAGGGTTTCAGATACAAACAGAGATTTTCATAATATATTTTCGGAGTAATTTAAAATACATATCAAACAACGAATTATCTGATTTGGGGGGGGGGGGGCGGGGAGGGCAAGTTTCCAGTATAGTTGGAATCAGATAATTAAACACACAAAAAAAGAACTTTTCATTGGCCTCATAAGGATGCAAAATGCAAAGAGTATGACTATTTGTAAGATAAATGGATACCAGAGTACAGCCAGTTATTGGAGAACAAATACTATTTTTCCAGAGTTCAGAACTGCTTTTTAAACATTACAGAGCTAAGAAGATTTATTTTCAAGGTAATTTTTTCCCTGTGTTTCTTAATCTCCATTGCTCATTGTATTGCTTTTGGTCAATTCCTGCCACAGACATTGAACCTGAAAGTCTGAGAACTGAGGCTCCCTGGACAACATTAGGTAATGACCTTCTACGTCTTGAAGCAAGTGCATTTTCTGCTCATTGTCTAGCCTATTCCATTACTATCTTGGCCAGGGGCCTTTCTCTTTCCTAGGATTTTTCTCATCATCCTCTCTTGTCATTCCACTAGATCCCTCACTTTGTACTGAAGATGTCTAAAACAAGTCACTTGGTTAGAATATAAGCCTGTTTGCAGCTAATGCAAAGCATCTATCTGCCGTTCTATCCATCTTTATTAATACTTTACAGAGCCTGTGATTCTGCCCAGTGCTTGGTGATAAAGCTGAATTTCAAATACAATTCTGCCCCATAAACATCATTTATAACTCGGTGTACATCAACAGAAAGTTGTCATAAAATATGCAGGGCACCTTTGTTGTCTACCAAGGATGTTAGGTAATGAAATGTGCTTTTCCCAATCATGTTTCATGGGGTGTATGCCTAACTGAAGTATTATCTAAGTAAAGTCCCCCAGAAGCTGGTGAGCTGGGGTCCCTCTCTAACCTGACAAGTACATGCTGCGCTCTGACTTCCCTTGGTCAGGGTCATCGTTGAAAATCTGACACCAACAATAACAATAATGGTTTCAGGTTATTCAAATAATGTTATACAGACTTTTTCAAAATAAATGTTAGGAGGCCCCCCTAAAAGTATTTTTTTGCATATGGATGGCAAAGAAATTTTTTGAAATAAAGAGGAAAATTTCTCAAGGCTCAAAGAAATCTAGCAAAATTTTAGAAAACCTAGAGCCAGGTATAAACCCTTTTTTAGTTTCTGGAGTTATTTGATATTAACCAGTTTCCTTTCTTCAGCTCCAAAAACATCAAAACGACCAAGAACACGTCCTCCACGTCCCAAACCTTCAAAACGTCCCAAACCTTCAAAACCTCCCAAACATCCCAAACATGAAACCACGCCGAGCCCAGAGGCACCTGCGTCCGCACTAGGTAAATATATGGCTCCTGGTGCCTGTGGAACCTCCTTGGATGTGATTCTGGGATGACAGTTTAAATTGCCTCCAAATTACCTCTGTGACCTTTAAGGGTGAAGGCCCTAGCAGACACCTGTGACTTCCTTACAGGGCTGGTATCTTCTTGGTACCTGTGTATTTATTTACTTCTCTGACCACTGAATTACATTTTTCTCTGTGATTCTGACAAAGTTCATTTTCAAGAGAATTTGATAACTTTTCTCCTGTGTTTAACGTTTCTTTTTAAAAGTACTTTTGATCATTTCTTGCTACAGACATTGAACCTGTCACTCCTGGGACACCTTTAGGTAACAATTCTTTATGTCTTTCAGCAAGAGCTTTTTCCTATTCGTTGTCAAACTTATCTATGGTGCTATATAGATGATGACATCAAAATGTGTCATCCTACTACAATATTCATCTTAAAAATCTAAACAGCTTTCTTTCTAACAAAAATGGGCATGGACTTAATTCAGGACAGCTGTCTTCTCCACATCCCAGTTTGAAATTGCATCTCTGTTTAAATAGTACTGTTTGTGAGAGCTGAGGTCCAAATGTGATTATCTATATGACCCTTATTGAGACCACCAGTACAGGATCAATTGTAATGCCATGAAGTTTCTCTAAGTATCTCACTTTCTACATCCAAATTCTGTGTAACTTTTTTTTTTTACTTTGTTGATGTTTCAGCGAATTTTGTGTACTATATTCTAGTAAATAACCAAGTGTAAAAAGTGTCCAAGCCTAACCATTTTAAATTGTTGTAAGTGAATATAGGGTGGTTTGAACTCCTCTCACACCATCATAGTTTAGCAGCAATTTGTAATCAGTTTTGGATTAAGGGCATTTCAAGAAAATGAGACTTTGTCATATTTATTTCTTAAACATAATTTTAATGTAATTTTTAATCTCTGGAGAACCCTTAATTATAAATGAAAACCTATTAATATACTAAAGGAGAAAATCTCAAACCAAAGTAACAGTTTTCTCCACCTAAAGAAATTCTGACAAGTTTTAGAAAGCTTAGAGTTACGTTTTATCATCCTATTCAGAGTTTCTGGAGCCATCAGCACTATGTTAATACTAATTTTTCTTCCTTCAGCTCCAACGACAACAAAGAGACCCCGTCGTCCACGTCCCAAACCTAAAAAAACCACACCCCAGCCAGAAGTACCTCAGATTCCACTGGGTAAATACCTGGTTTCTCATTTAAGGAATCCAAACAGCCACCCAAGTTGGGGTCCAAAATTCTATGCACATAATCGATATATGTCCTACGTATCTATTAAGAGTAAAAGCTACTGGTTAGGAGAACATGACCTGAGCACCCCATGCCTCCTGCGTGGGGATCTTCTCCATCAATGTACCTTTTGCTATTTGAGTCCGTTCATGTTAAAGCTTGCTCAGGAAAGTATGAACCTATGCAATCAATTCAACTATTTTCATTAATCCCATTTAAACCCCCATGACCATAGTAGCAGCTGTGAGATACTTCAGAATTAAGGAATATGTTTTATTTCCCCAGTTCGTACTATAGCTGTAAACAAAAGCTGTTCCTGCCTAAACCAGTAGAAAATAACAAAAGGCGTCATGTTATATGATGTAAAATAACTTCTCAAATGGTGCAATTACTATATGCTAGGAGTGTGGGAGTATTTGGAACAGGAAAAAATCGAGGATAATTAGAAAGAAATCAGTACAGAATTTGGACTATTGGCAGATAAGCAGGGAATGTGTTGAAGCTGGCATACCAAACAGAGGATGATGTGTTGATGCCATCCTGTTAAATGGGCTCATGGGATGAATTAAGGGGGAGTCTGGGCCCTAGCCAGTTTGACTCAGTGGATAGAGCTTCAGCCTGTGGCCTGAATGGTCCTGGGTTTGATTCCAGTCAAGGGGACATGCCCAGGTTTTGGGCTCTATCCCCAGTAGGGGGCGTGGGCGTGCAGGAGGCAGCCAATCAATGATTCTCCTCATCATTGATGTTTCTATCTCCCTCTTCCTCTCCCTTCCTCTCTGAAATTAATTTTACTAGTACATCCTTCCTCTCTGAAATCAATTTTACTAGTACATTCTTCATCTCTGAAATCAAATATATATATATTTATGTAAAGGAGAGTCTGGGATGTCTACTCAAGAGCTTACATTTGATCCAGTCGGCTTTTTTAGAACTGAAGATGCCTAGCTTAATATGATACAGCAAACTGAGAGGTTGTTCCTCATCTTAGTGATGTTAAATGCCATTGTTTCCACTAAGGATTAGTCTCTTAGTGAGTATAGTCTCAGCTTCCTTTAGGCTCTCTGTTGTATGTGTGGTAGATAGACTAGGGTGACCCCCTGCTCCCCACCCCACTTCATCTCCCACCCCCATAGTTCCTACCCCTTGGTGTTAAAGCTTTGTGTAATCCATCTTGTCCCTCCCCCTCGCCTCTCCCTTAGAAGCATTATTTTTATTGGCAAGATGAATTTTCTGACATTTCATGAATTCACAAAAAATCTCTTTGGTTCCTTTCATTGTTTTTGATCAGTTCCTGCCACAATCTTTGAACCAGTTGTTCCTAGAACCGAAGCTCCTGGAATAACACTAGGTAATGACACATTATGTTCACCAGCATCTGCTTTTCCTGCTCATTTCAACCCATTTCATCACCCTCACAACCATGGATCTTTCTGCTTCCCAGGACTTCTGTGTCATCCTCCATTGTCATTCAATTATTTCTTAATATACCAAAGAGTATTAAAACAACTCATTTGTTTTGAGAAGGCCAAGTATAACAAGCATAATCCTATTCTCAGTTTATCGAACAAAAACACTCTATTAACCAGAGATTTTCTTCCTTTAGCTCCCAAAGTGCCTGAACAAACTCACCATCCACGCCCCAAACCTAAAACCACACCAAGTCCTGAAGCTCCTCAGACCGAACTAGGTAAATGCATAGATCCTGGATAAGGAGTCCTGGCAGCCCATCCCTGTGGGATCTAGAGAAAGGGAAGGGACATGGCAGGGTCAGCAGCTGCTTCCACCCCACAGTAGGCTTGAGGACACATTTCTTTTTAAAAGTATTTTTGATCATTTCTTGCTACAGACATTGAACCTGTCACTCCTGGGACACCTTTAGGTAACAATTCTTTATATCCTTCAGCAAGAGCTTTTTCCTATTCGTTGTCAAACTTATCTATGGTGCTATATAGATGATGACATCAAAATGTGTCATCCTACTACAATATTCATCTTAAAATCTAAACAGCTTTCTTTCTAACAAAAATGGGCATGGACTTAATTCAGGACAGCTGTCTTCTCCACATCCCAGTTTGAAATTGCATCTCTGTTTAAATAGTACTGTTTGTGAGAGCTGAGGTCCAAATGTGATTATCTATATGACCCTTATTGAGACCACCAGTACAGGATCAATTGTAATGCCATGAAGTTTCTCTAAGTATCTCACTTTCTACATTCAAATTCTGTGTAACTTTTTTTTTACTTTGTTGATGTTTCAGCGAATTTTGTGTACTATATTCTAGTAAATAACCAAGTGGAAAATTTGTCCAAGCCTAATCATTTTAAATTATTATAAGTGAATATAGGGTGGTTTGAACTCCTCTCACACCATCATAGTTTAGCAGCGATTTGTAATCAGTTTTGGATTAAGGGCATTTCAAGAAAATGAGACTTTGTCATATTTATTTCTTAAACATAATTTTAATGTAATTTTTAATCTCTGGAGAACCCTTAATTATAAATGAAAACCTATTAATATACTAAAGGAGAAAATCTCAAACCAAAGTAACAGTTTTCTCCACCTAAAGAAATTCTGACAAGTTTTAGAAAGCTTAGAGTTACGTTTTATCATCCTATTCAGAGTTTCTGGAGCCATCAGCACTATGTTAATACTAATTTTTCTTCCTTCAGCTCCAACGACAACAAAGAGACCCCGTCGTCCACGTCCCAAACCTAAAAAAACCACACCCCAGCCAGAAGTACCTCAGATTCCACTGGGTAAATACCTGGTTTCTCATTTAAGGAATCCAAACAGCCACCCAAGTTGGGGTCCAAAATTCTATGCACATAATCGATATATGTCCTACGTATCTATTAAGAGTAAAAGCTACTGGTTAGGAGAACATGACCTGAGCACCCCATGCCTCCTGCGTGGGGATCTTCTCCATCAATGTACCTTTTGCTATTTGAGTCCGTTCATGTTAAAGCTTGCTCAGGAAAGTATGAACCTATACAATCAATTCAACTATTTTCATTAATCCCATTTAAACCCCCATGACCATAGTAGCAGCTGTGAGATACATCAGAAGTAGGAAGTAAGTTTTATTTCCCCAATCAGTTTGTACTATAGCTGTAAAAAAAAAAAAAAGCTGTTCCTGCCTAAACCAGTAGAATATAACATCAGGTGGCATGTTTATATGATGTAAATAACTACTCAAGTGGTGCAATTACTATATACTAAGAGTGTGCGGAGTATTTGGAACAGGAAAAAATCCAGGATAATTAGAAAGAAATCAGTACAGAATTTGGACTATTGGCAGACAAGCAGGGAATGTGTTGAAGCTGGCATACCAAACAGAGGATGATGTGTTGATGCCATCCTGTTAAATGGGCTCATGGGATGAATTAAGAGGGAGTCTGGGCCCTACCCAGTTTGACTCAGTGGATAAAGCTGTGGCCTGTGGCCTGAAGGGTCCTGGGTTTGATTCCAGTACATGCCCAGATTGTGGGCTCTATCCCCAGTAGGGGGCGTGCAGGAGGCAGCCAATCAATTATTCTCTCTCATCATTAGTGTTTCTATCTCCCTCTTCCTCTCCCTTCCTCTCTGAAATCAATTTTATATCTCTCCTCTTTGAAATCAATTACATATATAAGGGAAGTCTGGGATGTTTACTCAGGAGCTTAAATTTGATCCAGTGGGCTTTTTTAGAACTAAAGATGCCTAGTTTAATATGATACCACAAACTGAGAGGTTATTCCTCATCTTAATTATATCAAATTTCATTGTTTTCACTAAGGATTAGTCTCTTATTGAGTATAGTCTCAGCTTCCTTTAGGCTCTCTGTTGTATGTGTGGTAGGTAGACTAGGGTGACCCCCTGCTCCCCACCCCACTTCATCTCCCACCCCCATAGTTCCTACCCCTTGGTGTTAAAGCTTTGTGTAATCCATCTTGTCCCTCCCCCTTCCCGTCTCCTTTAGAAGCATTATTTTTACTGGCAAGATGAATTTTCTGACATTTCATGAATTCACAAAAAATCTCTTTGGTTCCTTTCATTGTTTTTGATCAGTTCCTGCCACAATCTTTGAACCAGTTGTTCCTAGAACCGAAGCTCCTGGAATAACACTAGGTAATGACACATTATGTTCACCAGCATCTGCTTTTCCTGCTCATTTCAACCCATTTCATCACCCTCACAACCATGGATCTTTCTGCTTCCCAGGACTTCTGTGTCACCCTCCATTGTCATTCAATTATTTCTTAATATACCAAAGAGTATTAAAACAACTCATTTGTTTTAAGAAGGCCAAATATAACAAGCATAATCCTATTCTCAGTTTATCGAACAAAAACACTCTATTAACCAGAGATTTTCTTCCTTTAGCTCCCAAAGTGCCTGAACAAACTCACCATCCACGCCCCAAACCTAAAACCACACCAAGTCCTGAAGCTCCTCAGACCGAACTAGGTAAATGCATAGATCCTGGATAAGGAGTCCTGGCAGCCCATCCCCGTGGGGTCCAGAGAAAGGGAAGGGACAAGGCAGGGTCAGCAGCTGCTTCCACTCCACAATAGGCTTGAGGACACGGTTGGAGAGGTCTCAGGTGGTAGCCAAATTCCCTGTACGTTGTGAATCTGAATCATCTATTTGACTTCTTATTTGATTCTACTCATCCTTTAAATATTGAAATTGTATTGTGGACTGAAACAACTACAAAACAACATATGTTTGGACAAATAAGAAATTATTTCTTGGTAACTATAAAGGTTGTGTAAATCATAGTAAGGACCACCCGGCAGTGTGGGTCAGTGGATGAGCATCAGCCAGGAAACTAAGAGGACACTGGTTTGATTCCCAGTTGGAGCACATCCCTGGGTTGGGGGCTCAATCCCCAGGGGTGTGCAGGAGGCATCTAATCAATGACGTTTCTCTCTCATGTATGTTTCTATCTCTCTATCCCTCACCCTCCCTCTCTCTTTAAAATAAAAACAAAACTTTTAAAAAGTCATAGTGAGGATCTAGGGTGAGAGTTAGCAAACATTTTTTTTTTCAAAGAGCTAGATAGTAAATACTTGGGGGCTTTGGTGGTTATATAGTCTTTGTTGCCTATTTTTCTTTTTTCCCTTTTTTCTTACAACTTAAAATAGGGAAGAAAAATAATGTTTTGCTCTCATGGGCTGTTTGAAAACAAGCCATGGACAAGATTTGGTGTAGGAGGCATAGTTTTGGGGGGAAGAGGGTGAAGAAGTACAGAAAGGAAGGACATGTGTAGAAGCCAGTGAGAGGAGGCAAAGGCTTCTAAGTGTTGATTGGGGCATTTCATTGAGATTACAGCAGGTAAATGAGCCCATTGGGCCAGTTGAAAAGGGATTTTGAATGTTGGCTTTGGGAGTTTGGATTTCATAAGAATCATCAGTATCCATGTGTGGTCCAGCTTTCCCTAAGCACTGGACAGACGGATAGATACCCTGCTACCTCAGCCTGAATGGGTGCCCCTTACGCTGTTCTTTAACTATCCTGGTGGTTTCTTTCAAAGATGAGTTTTCAGCATGATAGGTATGGTCTACTTTGGTGTATTACTTAGACTAGGATTACCAAAATGAGTGAGAATCTTCAGGGGCACTTCATAGGGATAGTTATCTGAGTACAAAGATGGTCTCAAAGTGGTGCATCGGTACCTGAGTGCAGAGATGCCATACCCCTACGCTCAGAGGGTTGGTAGTGTTTGCTTTGTACTCTAGACACATGATTACTGTGGTACAATTCTTTTTGAAGTGAATGTTCTGAGATGATATAAATGTTTACCATTTCACTGTTTTATTGTTATTCTTTTTGGTCAGCTCCTACTCTCGTCCTGGAACCATTTACTCCTATAAAAGAGGCTCCAGGGACAGCATTTGGCAATGCCACTTTTTGACCTTCAGCAAGTGCTTGCTTTGCTCATTGTCAAACCTGATCCACTTTGTTTCCATTCAACCAAATTCTTCAACTTATGAGCTGAACAAGTTACCTCTTGTTCTTAAGCGAGCCATGCCTAAATCTAGTTTGGGATAGCTTCTTGTCCTGTACAGTTCTTTAACATTTTTTCATGCCACCTTATGTTTTTAGATTAACCAGAGTGCTTTGTTAAGGTAAATTACATAAATGCCTGGTCTTGGTCTATGCTAACAAGGAATAGGAAAGTTTCTTTATACATTCTTTGTACATATACCTTTTTATCTGCCTGGTTTTTTTTTTTGTTGCTGTTGTTGTTTTGTTAACATTTGGGTAGTGTGTTTTTAGAGGATTGTCTAACAGATAATATGATCAAGGCTGATAAGTTTAAATGGCAAGCTCCATCCTTATGGTTAATCTGACTCTCCCTTACTCTCCACCATAGTTTAGAAATGATTCTTGCCCTAGCTGGTTTTGCTCAGTGGATAGAGCATCGGCCTGCAGACTGAAGAGTCCTGGGTTCTATTCTGGTCAAGGGCACATGCCTGGGTTGTGGGCTCAAGCCCCAGTAAGGGGCATGCAGGAGGCAGCCAATCAATAATTCCCTCTCATCATTGATGTTTCTATCTCTCTCTCACCCTTCCTCTCTGAAACCAATAAAAATATATATTTTTTAAAAAGAAATAATTCTTAAAATTTTAAATGTAGTCAGGGAACTCTAGGATAATGTGAAAAATACCAATTTGACTCCCTGAATTAATAACTTCATTTTTATGTTAATTTTGTGTACATACACACACACACACACACACACACACACACACACACACACCCATCTTCAATAACAAAAGAAGACACAGTAACATAGTAGGATAATTTTTTTATGCTAGAAAGATCCATTTCCTGCAACTCAAGAAAATCTATCAAGGTTCGGAAAACTTCAAGATTTTTTTTACAACCCTATAATTTGTAGAACCATAAACTTTAAAGTAACTGAACGTTACATTTTTTCACATCCCAAAACATCCAATGGACATGTCATTCACAACACAAACTTAAGACCACTCCATGTCCAGATGCACTTGAAACTACACCAGATAAAAGCAGAGTCCTTGGTTTAAAGTCACTGATCAAGAATGTAAACTCAGATACCATCTAGAGAGGAAATCATGAAGAGTCCTTCCTCCTTCAGGGTTGGCAAGGAGTTTATGTTTGGAAGAGACATAATCTTCCCTCAAAGTCTGAGTATTAGAGACATGTTTTACTTCTCAGTCTGCAGGCTAATTGAGCAGAAAAACTTTTCCTTCATGAAAAGCCTAGAGAATGAGAAGAAGACAGGGTGTTTGTACAAATTCAAGATTTTTCTTGGATACATAAAGTGTTAGATGCATCATATAAAGTCTTGAAGAAATGAAAATCCATTTGGGCTTCTGTAGAGTAGGAATAGAGTTTGGACCTTGATGTCACATCAGAATTTACACAAATGGAAATGTGAGAGTAAACAAAGTTGAAAAGAATAGGATATGTGTAGAGGCAAACAGAGGGGGAGGAGATCTTGCTTCTTCTATCAGAGTATTTTTGTTGGTGATTCTGCATTTGGATGACACCGTGAAAGTTGAAGGAGGCTGATATTGTTCACATGAGGATTAGAAATCTCTTCTTTCCACACTGAATTGAGTTGTCCCTCTATGAGAGTGAACGGGTGCTAAACAGTGACCAAAAGTGATGACTATTTCATGAGATAAAAATGTTGAGAACTATAGTTTGGCCAAATCAGGACAAAGAAAGTGATTTCTCTTTGTATTAGTTTGCCAAAGCACCATAGCAAAATACTACAGACTGGGCAGCTTAAACAACAGAAATCTACTTCCTACCACTCTGCAGCCTAGAATTCTAAGATCAAGGTGTCAGCAGGTTTGATTTCTCCTAAAGTCTCTCCCCTTGGCTTGCAGATGACCACCATCTTGCTATCTCTTTTCTCTCCCTTTGTCCTTGCACAAAAGTTCTTCATCTCTCTCCCTCTTCTTATATGTACTTTAGTCCTATTGGGTTGGGGTCTCACCCATCAATGACCATTAATTGCTTCTTTAAAGGCCCCGTCTCCAAATACAGTTACATTGGGAGTTAAGGCTTCATGTGAATCTTAAGAAGACATAATTCAGTCCATTACTACCTTTATCCAGAAATTTTTTAAAAATTATTCTAAAGGTGATAGGATACTGGAAAATTCATTTTGCAGTAATGTAGCTCTTGAAGTAATGTAGCTTTTATTTCTATTACTTCAGTTCCTATTACAGACCTCGGACCCGTTACTTTTACAACTGAGACCTCTGGGACAACATTAGGTAATGACTCTGCCATTCGCCTAGTGCTTTTGCTGTTCATCGTACAGTCAACTCATTCTCCATTCCCATAACAGCTTTTCCTTGTTCATGAGACAGCCTCCATCCTCCTCCATTGCCATTCAAGCACTTCCTTCATCTGAAGAATGCTGAAGCCTCTTAAAAACAAGTTTCCTGTTGTTTTTACGAGAACAGGCATGACCTTAGTCCAAATCATGAACCTGTCATGTGGTGCATTTGAAACTGTCATGTTATCTTGTGCTTCTCTGAAACGTGTTCTGTGTTAAAGCTGAGTTTAAAACAAATGTGGATCTATTTCTTAACTAGGCTGATTTTCAATAACAGCTACTCCAATGTTCCCTTGGGCATCCAAGTTTCTAGATTTTTTTTTAACTATTTGCATGTTATTTTTGTTTCTTTCTTGGTACTTTAAGTACTGATGTATTTTGTTACTAATTTGACAAATAAGGAATTGCCCAAATTTTAAATTTTAAATTGCATGCCTCTTCCTTAGTATGACCCTAACTTCCCCTCCTCTTGCGTCATAGTTGAGCACTCCTTCTCAATCACTTTTTCCCAGTGAGAAAATGCTCTGAGTGTCTGATTATAAGTGCTAATTTTCATGACTTGAATGAGTAATGAGGTGCCCCCAAAGTTCCCTCAATGACAATAAGAAGACACATTGTTATAAAATAAGTAAAAATTTTAAACTATAGACAATTTCCAGGAACTTTAGGAAATCTAACAGGTTTTGGAAAAACCTCCCCTTCATGTCAAAAGCCATCAGACCTAGAGTAACACAAGGCTTTTCTTTCTTCAGCTACCAAAGCATCAAAAAGACCCCATCGTCCACATCTCAGACCTAAAACTACACTGAGCCCTCAAGTACCTCAGACCAAACCTGGTAAATGTGTGACTCCTTGATTTAATGATGAGCCTTAGTAGCCTAATGAGGATGCAAAGCAGTGCCAAGCTCTTACTTCCTCTAAGTGTGAGGTCACGAGGCAGAGTCAATAATGTCTCCTCTTCCCAGGTGTCAAGGAGAATATGACTAGAATAACATGTGAAAATATTCTTTGATATTCATTTAGTGTATTTCTTACTATCAAATTTTATTCAAATCTTAAACCTCTTTAGCAAGCCAATTTATTCAGTTCAAGTAACTAAACAAATTGTAGGCTGCTTTCATATACCTGGACTAATATTGGCAATCATGGGTGATTTGTCAGCTGTAGGAGACCTATTTTATTTCTAACACAGTAAAGTTGAGTATATGTTTGCGTGATACAAGCACTAAATATTGATCTTACAAAAGAAAAGATCAAGGTGAATTGGACCTTGAACCCACTACAGGATTTGAATGAATGGAGGGAAACGTGAACCAAAAAAAGGACTGGACATATAGGTGGGGTAGGGGTTGGGCCAGCCCTGAGGGTGAGCCAGTCTGCCTGAAGCAGACTCTCCTACTTCAAAATAATCAAAACATGGCTGCTGCTGACCCTGCCTTTGGAAGGGTCCATATTCTAGACAGAGTTGAAAGAGGATTTTGAGGACCTGAATCAGGAGCTTAGACTTTACACAGAGACATCAACTGTCTCAACTTTTCTTTTTTTCTTTTTCTGGGCTTAGGCCATCTGGCTGAGTATTACAGACTGAGTGACTATCTTTATTCTGCTCTCTTATGTACCATGATTTGGACAGCGGACTCAGATTCTTTCCATAGATGAGTTCTTGGCAAGATCAACATAGTCCACTTCAATGATTAATTTTTATATCTATTTCAAACTTACAAACTACTTATTTATCCATGTTGACTTAAACATTGTGAGTATTCATGTTCAGCTTCCATAGAAGTACAAGTTGGTCAGATTTTTTAATAGACAGTTTCTTTTCTGCGTGTATATTAAAAAATACATGTAGAGTTTCCTTTAACCAGGAGAATTTCATATTGACTTCTTTAAGGTACTAAGCTAGTTCAAAGGCTAATCCTAAATCTGGCTGTGAATATAATTTGGCCAAATTTTCAAAGAACAAACATCTACTCTTTTTCTTAGTTATTTTTTTCTTTGTTTCTATAACAGTATTATATACAAGTAAGATTGTTTGGATGTGAATGTTCTAATTTTTCACATATTTTAAAATCTCTTTGGTTAACTGTGTTTTTTGGTCAGTTCCTGCTACAGTCCTGAAACCTGTCACTTTTAGACCAGAGGCCACAGGAACAACATTTGGTAATGATACCCTGTGTTTTCAATAAGACTTTTCCTGATTACTGTAAAATCCAGAGTTTCATCTTGCTTCATGTGATAATAGTGTCATCCTTCACGGTCATTCATCTATATTCTCTTCTTAAAATTATGAAAACTGTTTTTAATTAAATTTATTGGGGTGAAATTGGTTAATAAAATTATATAGGGCTTGAGTATACAATTCTACACTACATCTTCTGTACATTGTAATGTGTGTATACCACCCCAAATCAAATCTCCCTCCATCACCATTTATCCTTCCTTTACCCTCTTTTACCTGCCCCCACCCATCTCCCTCCTTCTGGAAATCACCATACTGTTTGTCTGTGTCCGTAAGTCTTTCTAGAAGGATGAAGAGGTTAAGCAAATTTATGAAAACTGTTAAAACAAATTACCTATTGTTTTTAATAGAACCAGTCATACATGACCACATTAGAACATTTATTTGCCATGTAACCTACTTGAAGTTGTGTCATATCAGTCTGTTTTATTTAAGCAATGTTTATAGTAAAAATTATTTTCAAACATATCATGGCTCCCTACCTCTAGTCTAGATAGAGAAAGCCATTAACAGCCATCATAGGGCCAAGAGGACCCAGTATTGTATGTCTACATTTCTAACTTTTTTTTTTTATTTGCATAGAATTTAGGTTTTTTTTGTTTCAATTTAGGGAATACTATGTCCTTATTTTAATAGTTACGTAAACATGTGCCCCAAATTGAAAGATTAAGTTATAAATCTCAGACTTAGTATGACCTTTATTATCCATTAAAATTTAGGGACAGCTCTTAACCTTTTTGTTGCCCAATCAAGCTGTCTTATGAGACTTTGATTATAATTACTAATCTTTACTTATTTAATTTAAAAGTATTTTTGTCTTCAAATAATCTTCTATGATGAAAGAAAATATAAGAGGAGTATATATGACAAAAATCTCAAAGTAAAAAGGCAAATATCTAACAAGTTGTGGAAAATGTAGAGCCATGTTTTGACCTCTAATAGCATCCAGAACCATAGATAATGTAGTTATGTAGTAACCCAAGAATTTCTTCCTTCAGTTTCCAAACCACCACAGAGGAAGGGTCGTCCATGTCCCAGACCAAAAACCACACCAGGTCCTGAAACACCTGAGTCCAAACCAGGTAAACACGTATTCTGGGTTTAGAGTCCCAGCAACCTAATTGAGCAGGATCTCAGGAGTAATATTTGGAGCAGGGAAAGGTAGATTAAGAGAGAGTGGAGCCTTGAAATCACCATAATACGTGGATGAGTAGGAAGATGGGGAGGAATAAAATCAGAAAGAGTGGGTAAAAATAGAGACTAACCAAAAGAAAAAGTCTAACCACGATACTAGTATAGAGGATGCCTGACTCCAGGGTGGTAGTCAAAGATTTTCTGGATCTAGATCGGCCCATGGACTTTCATGGTGGTGTTCCTAAGGCACCTGATGGAGCCGTTGAGATTTGACTCCGTAAACAGAAAACTCTTCTTTGCACAGGAAGGCATGCTCTTTCTTTGCTTAGAATAGAGGGATGCACTATTTGATTCGTCATGAGGAGGCCTCAGTGTCTTTCCAAAGATAAGTTCTAAGCAGTACCCACACATCCCACTTTGGCTTATTAGTTAGATAATCAAAGAAGGGGGAATAAGAAAATAAGTACTTGACTTGATATAACCAAATTTAACAAAAATATTTAAGTTTTTAGAAGATGCTATATAGCTCTAGAAACTATATGATACTAGTAAGATTCATTTTGAATCAAATGTTGCATTTTTCTTTCATTTAAGACAATTAGTTGGTTTACTTTTAATACTTTTGGTCAGTTTCTACTGCAGACTTTGAACCAGTAACGCTCAGCACTGAGGCTTGGGTGACAACACAAGGTAATAACACATTGTGATCCTCCTTAAATGCTTTCCTTCCCATTGTCAGACTCATTCCAACAACGTGGTAGCTATAGGTTCTTTTGTTTCTTAAAGCTGCATTGTCATTCTTTCTTGTCACTCTTTTATATTCTTCATCATAAAAGTATTGAAGATTTTGATTCTTAAAACAAGTTATACCTTGTTTCTCAGAGAGCCATGCATGAACCTAACTCAAGTCATCTGTTATGCATATAACCATCTGAAATTGTTTTATAATTTTATGTGTTTTTTTCACCAATGTTTTGTTAAAGGTGGTTTAAAAGCAATTATTTTGAATCTAACAACTATTATGGTGTCTAGGAGTTTCTTTGTGGATCTAAAGATCTACTTTTTTAAAAAACTATGTGATATTTGTTCTTTGATAGACATTTTAGTTGATTACTGGTCTTATTTAGTAAAATGTCAAAGTTTGTATTTGGGTATCACCACCACAATAATATTTTAGCAGTGATTCTTACCTTTTTATTCAGCAGAAGAGTCATAAAAATGATTCTTCACTTCTTGAGCTAATAATTTTATATATGACTTATTTCCAATGAATTTCCAATTTTAAAAGAATAAATACTATTATTATAATAAGGGTGAGAATTTTAAGTTAAAAAGTTAAAAAGACACGTTTCCTAAAGTGTAAGAAAATCTAATAAGTTTTAGGAAATTGAGAGCCACGCATCATGCTATCCATAACTTCCGAACTACAGACTCCTTAGTAACTGAAGGTTTTCTTTCTTCAGCTCCTAAGCCATCAAAACGGACCCGCCGTCCACGTCCTAAACCTAAAACCACACCAACTACTGAGGCACCTCAAACCAAATTGGGTAAATGTGGGTTTCTGGTTAAGGGACTGAGTCCCAGCAGCTTTGGGGAGCCTAGGGTTGATGTCCATGGGTGGGCGTGGTAGACCAGGTGAGCCTTCTGTGGGTGACGGCACAAGATGACCTGCTGCTGCTGCCACTGTCGAGTTAGCAAAGGAAATCATGGCTGGGGGAGGCCTGTGTGGCAGCTGAATTCCTTGTTCTTCCTGCATAAGTATCTTCTCTTTTAATAGATATTTTATTTACTTTTCCTTATTACATTATATTCTTCTATTAAAGACAAAATATTTTAAATAGAACCAAGCATTTTTAATTGAAGAACCAAACATTAAGTGCCTTTCATCCCTCTAGAGTCACATCAACAGCTGTGAGGATATCACAAAAGTAGGCAGCTTGAACTTCTCGTCCGTGGTATAGTCAAAGTCAAAACCTACCCCAATATGAAACATTCAGAGATTGAAACAAGGCAGTGTGTCTGTGCAAATCTAGCTTGATCTTTCTGCAGGGGCTGTGAATATCTGCAGAGAAAGAGAGAAGTCTGTGAAGGACAGAAGTAAGGAGTTAGAAACAAGTTGGGTCTTAAAATCATGAAAATGAACAGGCAGAATAAAAGGGGTACAGAGGCCAACCAAAGGCATGGGCTTCTGGGAAAAGGGGGCCCTGCTACTAAATGGTGATGATAGTGCTGTGTTTGGAAGGGCCCACAAGAGTAGTAAAAGAAAAATTCTTGAAGTTATGACTCAGAAGTTTGGATCTGACCCTACAAGTATCATAGGATACCACATTTTTGTGATCAGAGATGTGCTCTATTGGGCACCACACACTGAGTGAATGTGCCTTATCCTGATTTATTGGGTGCCTAAACTAAGTTTGAGCCTATTTCCAAATTTGAGTTTTCAATGAGATGAACATGGTTCACTTTGCTTTATTCTTTATTCAAACATAAATGCTATTTATTATATGATTCTTTAAACATGCTATTTTCTTAAAGCTTCCACAGATATACCAACAAGTGCCAGAATAGTTACCTAAATATATCTATATATATAAAAACCTAAGCAACCATTCAACCATTTGACCATTCAACCATCAGGGGGCAGACACTCAACTCACTGACCAGTAGGGGGCAGATGCTCAACACACAGGCATGGAAACATGGAATAGACTAATAAATCTCAGAGGAAAGGGGAGAGGGGGAGGGCGGGAAGAGATTAACCAAAGATCTTATATGCATACTAGAGGCCCGGTGCACAGAGTCGTGCACCAGTGGGGCCCCTCAGCCTGGCCTGCCCAGATCGGGCCAAAATCAGCATCCGAGGGGTCCCAGATTATGAGAGGGCACAGGCCAGGCCAAGGGACCCCACCAGTGCATGAATCCGTGCACCAGGCCTCCAGTATTTAATAAAATGTTTAAACAAGTTTCCAAGAGCAATAGTTAGAATTAGGTACTTACAAATATCATGTTGACTTTATTGAGATACTTACTAGATTTGTGTTAGGCTATGACTGACTATCTCATAAAAGAACATTTACCTGGCTATAGGATGGCTGAGCCTTTAAATAACAAGTATTTAATTTTAGAAAAATATTTAAAACTGCTGTACACCTCTTAAAGCAGTATTATATGTGTAAGATTTAATTTGCTGACTTTCACAAGTGTTTATTTCATTGCTTTTTGATTAGTTCCTATTACAGATCTTGAGCCTGGTACTCCTAGAACTGAAGCTCCAGAAATCGTAGGTAATGAGAATGTGTGTCCTTCAAATAGCGCTTTTCCTACTCATTGTCATACCATTGTAGTAACAGGTTCTCCTTCATCTTAAAACCATCTCAACATCTGTTGCTAATCCATTAGTCTTCATCTTGAAATTATGCTAAGCTCTATGTCAAGCTATCTGTTGGATTTACGAGAACTGTGCATAAACTAATTTCAGGACATCAAACTGCCATGTAACTTCTCAACATTGTGTCACATGATCATGTGCATTTCTCTTTCAAGCATGAATTTCCATCCATTCCTTACTTACACTGCTTATGTCACATCAATTCTGGAAATACCATATTTCTTGGCTCATATTATTTTTTATTATATTTTATTGTATTAGTGTCTCTGTGATTATACTGGTGGATATATTATTTCAGTGAATAATATTTTTAGTTAATTGTTAAGATTTTAAATGCGCTAAGTCTTGAAAGTTTAAATGACAAGCTTATATGACAGAGTAGACTGACTCTTCTGACAAGGTTTAAAAATGTTTCTTAACTTATTGAATCAAGGACCACTTTAAAATTTTGATGAGCACAGTCCATTTAGTATGCATTGATCCTTATGTTTTCAAACATATGAACTCATAATTGTACTGTGGTTATTTAAATACTAGACAAAAATAATAGGCACTTATGTCAACTTGTACAGAGGGAAAGTAGACTGATAAAGGCTTTTCCCAGTAGAGTTAGAAAAGTATATATTATACAAATGTGCAAAAATCTTGTCCAGGAGAGTTTTCCATATTAGCAAGAGTCGTATAACCAAACATCTTGTTAACCATAGTATTTAGTGGAGTACAATGCTATATCTAAGGAGATTAATGGGTACTTGGCCATTTGGTCAAACCTGCAAAGAACAAGTGTCTCTTTTCTCAGTTCTGAAGTTTAAAAATTGACCTCTGAAATTAGTCATCAAAAGAATTTTTAAAATTTCTTCCGCTTATTCTATTATTTTTGGCCAGTTCTTCCCACAGTCCTTCAACCTGTTACTCTTACATTACGTAATGATATTCTGTGTTTCTTATCAACTTTTCTGCCCATTGTCAACCTATTCAATCATCATCATAATCCAATTGTCATCAGCTTCAAAGGACTGTCTTGTCATTCTCTACTGTCCTTCGACTTTATTTTTCTTCTTCTTAAAAGTATTGCAGATTCACCCTAGCTGGGTTTGCTCAGTGGATAGAGTGTAGGCCTGTGGACCAAAGGGTCCAAGGTTTGATTCCAGTCAAGTGCATGTACCTCAGTTGCAGGCTTCTCCCTGGCCCAGGCCCTGGTCAGGGCTCATGCTGGAGGCAATTGATTGATGTGTTTCATATCTATGCTTCTCTCTGTCTTTCCCTCTCTCTTCTACTCTCCCTAAAAGTTAATGGAAAGATATCCTTGGGCAAGGATTAACAAAAAAAAAAGTATTGCGGACTCTTAAAAGAAGTTACCTATTTTTAAAAGCTATCCATGGACCAGATTAGAATGTTTGTGTTATTTGAATTTTTTTCATGTACTTTTGTCTAAACAGCTCTCACATATAAAGCTAAGTTTCAAATGCAGTGGGTAATGTCTGTATCTTCTCTAGACTAAACTAAACATAACAATTGGTATAGTGCCATGGATTCCTTGGCATATTTAAATTTCTTGGTGTGAATTTAAGACCACACAACCTACAGCTTGGCTATAGTCCTTACCTTTTTTCGAAGTTAAGACTCTTCACTCCTTGACTTAATTTTATGTATTTTATCTCTCAAGATTCCTTAGTAATTAAAAGAAATTTAAAAAATAGGAGAAAATATTTTAATCTTAAAAGTTATATAACTTAAATTTTAAGGAAATATAACATATTTTAGAAAATCAAGAGCCTTATTTCCAAAACCACTTTCACTAGAGTAACCCAAAATTTCTCCCTTCAGTTCCTAAAACCACAATGATCTCATCTTCCACATCCCAAACAGATTTTCCAAAGCAAGCTTTCATATTAATTAAGAGTCAGAAAATCAAGCACCTTGGAAAACCTCATGTTGACCATAATAAGATGTTTAACTGAGTTGAAGAGTTGTGACTACTTTCTGCAATGAATTATTCCTAGCTACAGTTTGACCAAAACTTCAAAAAGAAACTATTTACTTCTTGTCCATTCAAAGGTTTAAAAAAATTGTTTGTCATTTGAAACTAATGTTTTGAAGGAAAAATTAAGACTTTCTATGTGTGTTTAAACTTTCTCATTTTCATGTTGTTGCTTTTGGTTAGTTCCCACTACAGGCTTTGAACATGTTATTCATAGTTCTGAGGCTCCAGGAACATTAGGTAACAATTTTTATGACCTCATTAAACATATTCTTGCTCATTAAAACCCATTCCATCACTGTCACAGCCAGAGTTGCTCTTGCTTTCTTAGGCTACTATTGATTGCCATTCCATTTCATACTTCATCATATAAGTAGTCAGGATTCTTAATTCCAGTGTTACCTATTGTTTTTAACAAATGTCCTTGGATCCAGTTGAGGAAATCTATCTGGTATGAAACCCCCTTTAAAATTTTATTATATGATTCAGTGTGAAGAGTCTGAGGATCAAATTGCTCTCCTTCTATTTGGTATTTAAATCTATAAAACAATGTCATCTAAGTAACATGAACTTTCTCTGAGCAACTTTACTTTCTAGAAGGTCTGTTTGATATTCTCATTACTCTTTTCCTATTTTAAGGAATGAGGATTCCTAATTGTATTAAATTATCAAAAAATGTTGCCTCCTGGAAGTGCCAATTCTAATAAATATGTTACAGGCTCTGCAACCTTTGATGAATTTGGCTATTCATTATTTTCCACCACAGTATAACATTGTTCTTAATCTAAGTAGAAATTTCTCTGAGTATCTAACTATGCATATTAATATTTATTCCTTTAATCAATAAATTTTATGTATTAAATTGGACTCTAAAGGACCTTCAGTGATGATAAGGAACAAATTATGTTAGTATAATAAATTTTTTCACACTTTGGAAATAAACTCAAGAAACTGTCTCATATGTTTTAGAAAACATAGGTCCTATGTATAATGTTGGTGGTTGTTTCTAGACCTTCAAACACTATAGTAACCAAGATCTTCTTTCTTTAATTTTAAAACAATGGGGGGGTGGGGAATCCTCCTCTCAAACTTGCATCTTCCTGAAGCTTCTCCATTAAAAACAAGAAAATCTATGGTTTCTGGTTTAAGAGTCCTTCCAGCCCATTGCAGTCGGGCCCCAGGAGTGACAAATAGGTGTCTTGCTAACTTGCACTTCTCACCTCTATGCCTTCTAAATACGAAGGTGAAAATAATGGTTAGCATGTCTACGACTACAGGGTTGACCAGAAGGCTCATGGTTGGGAGACCTATGTGGTAGCCAAATTCGTCATGTGCCCTGCATAAGGATTGTCTCTGACAAAGGATGTATCTTATTCAATTTTCTTACTATTTCATTTCATTCATCTCTTTTTAAAAAGTGCTGCTTCTTTGGTTTATGTAAACAAACATTTCCTTGGTCTATATGCTCTCAGCACCATATTAGCAGTTGAGTGGGGTGGGGTGGGGAGCTGAACAGAGATGGAGATCAAAATAAGAGTGTGTTTTACTTTTTGAACAGATGATAATATAATTATGGAAAAAAACCTGTTCTTGAGTTTTTTTAGATATAAGACAATTTGCTTATACAAAAGCAACTTGTTTAATTGGGTGGTAAAAATATGCAGAGAAAATATTTAAAGGAGTCAAGGATCTATGTTAAAAAAATAGTTGGACTTTGAAATAACTTTAGGATTTGAATTAGTAGATGGAAGGGAGGGAACAGCAAAAATAAAACAAAAAGTCTCACCCCCTACTGAAGGTACCGAAAAGGGCAGTCAAACTGAAACATAGAACAAAACACTGTTAGGTGATACTGAGCATTATGTTAATGATACTATTATGAAATCAGCTGTAGGAAGCTCTTAAAAGCCCTTGTGGGAATTCAGATTCAGATGCAATAATTAACAACCTGATTTTTTCAAATAGGCTCTTGCTTTTTCTAGAAGGATGCTTTAGGTCAGGGGTTAGCAAAAATTCTTATGTGAAGAATTAGTGAGTATTTTAGACTTTGCAGGCCATTCAGTCTCTGACACAACTACTCAATTCTGCAATTTAGCCTGAAGGCAACCAAAGCCAATATGTAAATGATATGTAAATATGCCTTGAATTATCTTAGTTTGTGGATGTGTCTTTGTTCCCATAAAACTTCATTTGAATTTCATACCACTTTTACATGTTATGAAATATTACTGTTCTTTTAAATATTTTCCATCCTTTAACAATGTACAAAACATTCTCAGCTCACAGGCCAAGCAGAGGAGGACCATAGTTTGCCAGTTTCTGCTTTAAATAATGCATAGTCTGCATGAGCTCTCCATCATCCTGCTATTTTGAGGGTCTATGCATTTCAGTTCATTGCTACCCTTGTCTAAAACCTATGAAATAAATTATACATAATTGACAACTTAGATCCTCTTCTTTCAGCTCCTACTGATCTTCAAACTCTAATTTTGAGACCAGTGACATCACGAAGCCTAGAAATGACACAAAGTCAACCTGGTAAATAGATTGTTTTATTTATCTGGATATACTGTGAGCTTCAAGGGATAAACTTCAAGGGTTGTATTTCCAAATATGAAAAAAAACCACAAAAGAATGCACATTTAACAACTCTCTCTACATATTGTATGATGCTCTTTCCATGATTGTATATTAGTGTTAACTTGGTAATGCATTATGTTTATGTTATGTTACTCAACAGTGTAGAAAAACTTACCTTTATTTCACTGTTTGCTCTGTTTCATTTTAGATAATAATCATGTATCTGATTAAGTAATACACAAAACCACTTAAAAGAACTGATTTTATTCTTTATCCTTAGTTTTCACTAACAGCTATGAATTTGTGGTACAGTTTCGCAGTAAGCTTGATTCTGTTCTGCCACGTGAAAAGAATGCTAGTTCAATTGTGACCATCAAGGAAGGAGAAAGTTCTCCCTTCAGAAAAGATAAAAAACTTTACTTATACAATATAAACCTGAACTTATTGCCTTCAAAATTGAAAACTAAATTTTTAAAACATCCTTAGCAATGCTGTTGTTACACCCTAACATTTATCTTGAAACATTGGATCTTATTTTTTATAGCATAGGATAGTAATCTTATTCATCTCCTTTGTGCATCTTTTAATTAGCTAATGGCATTTGAGTACACATGTTGGCAGCACAAGGTATGGTTGTTATTAGTAACCTACAACATTTATATAATTGTGAGTTCAATTCAGTTATCAGAGCTTCTTTTGGTTTTAGTAATAACGTATTATCATATCGGCTAGCATGGAGCAGTTATAGGTACAAGGCACTTTTCTAAATAGTTTGTATTCATCCATTCAATGTTCACAACAACCCATAGTGATCAATTGTATCATCCTGTGTTGTTTTTTACTAGTTTCTGAAGGCCTGGAATATGTTACATTTAGCACTGAGTCATCAGAGGGAGCTAGAGGTAAAAATGTTTCCTAATTGGAAGTCAGGTATATGTGCTTTCTCCATCTCATTGTGGAAGTCCTCTTTGAATGCCCTAATGCTTTGTGACATTTCATAGCTCCTCGCATCTTGTCTGTGCTCATCCAGTGAGTCTTGAAAGTCAAACATTATATAGAGAATATTGTGCTGTCTGCTCTACTACTATGCAAGTTTCACAATTTCCTTGTTTAATTCTCTCAGTCGGAATGTAAATTTTACATTTTTATGTCCTTATCACTTTTTCAATATAAATATGCACAATATGCTATTTTTCATTTTAATATCACTTGTAGTATTCATCCTCATGCTTCCCAAGGACTCATTCTATGTCTTTTTTTCACTAGAATTCTTTTAAAAAATGTAAGGAAGTGAAACAAGCTACTTTGCTCCAGGTAGAAACTGCTGTAGTGTGTGTGTGTGTGTGTGTGTGTGTGTGTGTGTGTGTGGTGTGTGGTGTATGTGTGGTGTGTGTGTGATGTGTGTGTGTTTTCCCACATTGCCTTTATTTCCTGATTTCATTCTGCCATCTTAAATTGTAGTCATCTTCTTAATCACCTAAATGTTATTCTCACAGCTGTATCTAGTAATCTTTGTTTTCACATTAAGCAATATTCCATTACAGAGTACTATGGGCTGCCCACCACTAACCAGACATTCCGTTTCCTCCCTAGCATCAGCCGAGACAGATTATGTAGATTCCACTTCCAAAGCACCACTCAGGCCAGAGGAGCCAAAGACTGAAGGTGGTAAAGGTTTTCATGCTTTGATTTGTTTAATTAAACAATATTTAGTTCACGTATATTATGTCCATGGAACATGGAAGTCAAGCTGCTGTACTTGGTCTTCAACTGAATAGATTTGAAGAGCTATAGCTTCCAACTTCTTGGATTCTTAACATGATAATAGGCTCTCTGAATACAGAAATAGATTTCAGTTTCTCTGCAGTATCTAAATATTGAGGCATAATAACAATTGATAACCAGTTAATAACAGTTAAAACATAAATATTAATTGGGTTAGTTAGGGTTAGTTTTATAGGATAGAATTTCCACTCTTGGTTCTGTTTTTTCTTGTCTAAATTCATTGTCCTATCTGTAAAAATACGATGCAAAATCTTAAGAGAATGAGATGTGTTGATATTAAAGAAAAATACTTGACTATAGCTGGACATCTGACAATTTTTAAAATTGTTCTCCTTTTTTTGATACAGTTGTGGAATCTATTACAAATGTGTCTGAACCACCCGAGACCGCGTTAGGTAATGACATACCTAAGCAGCTTTTGTCCTCATTGCCACCGTCATCTGAGAACCTCAGGTTCTCTCTCATTGTGAATTCATGTTGCAACATCATTTCTAGATTCTTCTATTTATAACCATTGTCCAAGAAGTCTCTTTGTTCACTCAGTTTTGTATCGAGACCTGGTCTCTGTCCCTACTTTAAGTCAGCGAAACTATCAAATCTAAAGCATCTTTTCCCTAACATTGCATATTCTGCCAGCTTGATGTTGTGTTGAATATTTCAGATAATGTATTTTGTATAACGATCCATTCATACTTTCTACCCTGGCAACACATTTTCCGTTAACACTCATTCCATCATGTTCATTTGCATGTTTGATGTTTTCTCTGTTATTTAAGTGAAAGTCAATGCTTCTTGAATTGGCTTAGCTTTATTTATCACTTTTTTTATTACTTTGTTTTTCCCTTTATGGTTACTATGGAATATATCTTTCTATCATTGTTGAGGAGGTACTAGGGTGAAGGGAAAATTTTAAAAATAAGGACATTACTTACTTTGAACGTATTTTTATAACCTGTCATCTCCAAGCATTTTTTTTAACTAAGGCATTATGAAGAAAGAGGAATGCTATTTTTGCTGCAGAGTTGCAGTTTCTTTAAAAAAAAAAAAAAGTCTACTTGTTACCATCATTTCTGTCATCTGTACTTAAGGTGTGCAAAGCACCATGGTAACCTCAGTTATTCTCCTTTAATGAGCATAGAGGCATCAACTCCGCCTTCCCAAACTGTAATCCTACTCAGCCCAAATGAGCCTCAGACTGGACCGGGTAAATACATTATTTTGTACTTGATGTAGAAGGTGAGTGTTTGCAGAATGTAAGAATGGAAAGGTAAGAAGGGCACTGCTTGACGTTGGAAGCCCCACCTTCATCACTCAGCTCACAGTTGTCACTGCCCCTCTTCTCATCTGTCCATCACTTGTAGCTGTCACATGTTGTGAATAATCTTTACGGTATGGCTGAAAAACACCTTTCAGCTGCTGTGCAAGTGTTTAACATGGGAAGTAGTAATGGGGAAGACCACTTATATTCCATTGAAATATAAGTAGATATCCTAATTTTAAGTACTTAATCATCTTGACTAGTTTGACAAGTTCTGTGGTCATGTATTAACAGAAACAAGTTTCACCACACAATCCAGATAAAAGGTATTACTGCCTCTCACCTTGTCATTATCCGATCCTTTACTTCTTTCCACTCCTTCCTGCAGTGGTTTGACCGTTTCACTGCATGCAAATAAGAGAAACTGAAATCAAACCAGTGACTTTGAAAAATCATAAAAGGTTTACTTGATGGGGGAGTTGGGAATTAAGGAAAACAAGTCATTAACATCGATAACTAAATATGCTTCTGATCATAAGGAAAAGCCCTCTCAATATTTATAGACTCTCTTGGAATAGGAGTTTATTACACATAAGTCCAAACGTGTGTTTTGATTGCCATCGGACTTTTTATATGGCTCTATTTCCAAAGATAGAGCTGTTTATTTTACTCATTGTTCACAGAAACATCCTGTTAAATATTGAACCTGTGTCAGTTATCTCAAGCTTTTTGAAGTTTATTGTTTTTAATAGCTGTAATAATTAAATTATTGAAATGTTTAAATGTAAATACTATTAGTGATTCTTATCTCTTTCTGAATCATTTTTGTGGCATTGCCTCATGATATGCCTTTACCTGCAAACTATTTTTCCTATTCCGTGGAGGAAGCAAATAGCCTGTCAGGAACCTCAGCAAGCAAGGAAGTTAGGAGTCGGGAAATCATAAAGCTGAAAGAAACTCTAGAATCAGAAAATCTTAGAATTGGAAGGGCGCTTTAAAAATTCTGTACCTTTGCATGCATATTGGCATAACCATTGAACACAGACACTGGAGTGGTGGGGGCTTGCCTAGGGTGGGAATGGCTTGGTGGGGGAGTGGGGATCAGTTGGGGAAAAAGGAGACATGTAAAACTTTAGTCAGCAGTTCTCAACCTGTGGGTCGCAACCCCTTTGGCGGTCGAACGACCCTTTCACAGGGGTCACCTAAGACCATCCTGCAGATCAGATATTTACATTATGATTCATAACAGTAGCAACATTACAGTTATGAAGTAGCAACAAAAATAATTTTATGGTTGGGTCACAACATGAGGAACTGTATTTAAAGGGCCAGAAGGTTGAGAACCCCTGCTTCAGATAAATAAACAAACAAACAAACAAATAAATAAATAAATATTCTGTACCTTTTGATGGAGATCCTGCGCTGTCACCCAGTGATTAGCAAAAGGAGCTCTAACACTCCAAGTTGCAGGCTCCGAAACCAGTGTAACCTCCAACATATCCTGGTGTTTATCTCTCTACAGGCAAGAAGATTCCACTAAAACCATTGCATGCCTTGCATATTTGACTTAGTTTCCTGAGGAAGTCTCTGCAGACTCTAGAAACTTCTAGTATCTAATAGTTCTTATTTTCAGCAATCTTTTTGTAAGGTACCTGGAACTCCCTGACCTTGGAAAACATTTTGTTAGTCTTACCCTCTTACACCAGATACACTTTAGTCCAACTAAATGAGATGTTTCCACTAACTGCAACCTTGCATTTGATAATTCCTTTTCCCCAGCAGCATAGACTGTTCATCTCCTTGGTGAAGAAATAATTGGTTTTTATACCGAGTGTCCTAGAACTCCTTTGGGAATTGCCCAGCGAAGGAATGACTTTCTTCAGTAATCTTTTGTTTTAATTTCTGTTCAATTTCTCTTCCTCAGTATGACCAATAAAAATTATTTTCTTTAATAAGATTAATTTTTCCATCAGCACTTGCTACTAAAATACATTCATTTTTTTCTAGGTATATTTGGAATGTGACATGCTAACTATTTTTTTTTTTTTAAAAAAAAGAAAGAAATTGTATCTATTTGCACTCAAAATATGTATTATACTGGGATAATCTGATAAAATGGTGTAAACGTGTAAGGATGAATACTTGTTATTATGAAATTTATTTTAACCTGTTTAAAAGGTACTTAAAGTAGATGTTTCTAGAATTCTAACAGCTTCATTTGCCAGTTGAATATCTTGGATGTCGTTTAATGTTCCCTCTTGTTTTCTGCTGTAACAAGAAATTATCTTCCTATACTTTGCAGCTGTATGGAAGATTTAACTGCATGAATTGTTGTGTATGTAGCTCATCAGTCACTCGACAAACATCTCTGAGAGCCTAGAGGCTGTTAAGTAACTGTGATTCTTGCAAGAGCTCAAGAGCTCCAAGCCTTATGTCCTTTCTTCTAGCTCCCAAGCAGACAGCGCGCACTCCTCCCAAAACAAAAACATCTCCACGTCCAAGAGTCCCTCAGACACAGCCAGGTAAATACACATTTTACATTCCAGCCTGAGAAGTTTGATGTTAGTGAAGTTGTTCTGCTGAATTATTGTGAGTTGGGTTTTTTAACTCTGGTAAAACAGGTCTTCCATTGAAACCTGATAAATATTTACATTTGCTTTTATACTGAAAAGTGTATTATTGGAATAAGTTATTCCAGAAAGTTCCCTAGTATTGTATTATTTTGAGTGGGGGATGGAGAGGAATGGAATTTCTTAAGAGTAACCTGTCTACTCTCTCTGCCTTTTCCAGCTTGAGAATCCCTAACGCTTCCATGGTCCTTGAATGGGCCTCCTCTTGCCAATCACCTAGTTTGGTGTTTTTTGTTTTTTTTAAGTTTTCAGTAGATTTTATTTAACATTAATGTCATGAAGAATAAACATATATGTCCTCTCCTATAACATAACAATTATATTATATTGCTTTGGTTGTTTTGCTGTAAAATTTTGATAAGGACCCAAATAAGATTCATTATAAACTATTTTTTATTCTGTTCAAGAAGCTCTCATTTGAATGTTTAACTCTAACCCAACTCTTAACCAACTCTTCTCTAATTTCTCCAGCTACCTCAGCCAATCTCCATGTTGGAATACCATAAACTCGACATGCCTCAAAGAAAGCTTATTGTTTTTCCACCTTTCTGTTACACCTGTGACAGGTTCTCACCACATTATATCTGATTCTTACCTCTTTTTCTCACCCAGCCTCGGTAGCTCATCTGTTACTAAGTATGGGGCATTCTAGCATTGGTGCCTACTCCACGCATCTACCCAGTCATGACTAGTCTATTGTCATCGTTCAACTGATCTCCCATGTCTCTTCTCTTCTAATTTCAAATATGTCAGCCCTTCATGCTGAAGTGACTGTTTAATTCATTTAATCAGTCATTCAACAAATATTTATTGCATTCTGACCATGTGCCAGGCAATGCACTAAACACTAGGAATGTGAAACAAAATTGAATCCTTCCATGGTCAAGGAAGTTACAGTCTAGGCCAGTCACCTAAATTTAAATTTATCATTTATACATGGTCTGCTTTCAAAAATGGGAAAGGAAAATGTTAGCAGGTAGCAGTTCTGGATTCCCACCACAAATCCTTTAATCATAGCTTAGTATCCCTATTGAAAGAAAAAACTATACATTTTGGCACGGTCTTTAAGGTCTGATTCTGAGAGAAATTTTACCTGCTATTTTTTTCTTTAAAAGGAAATTCCTTAAAAGTAGATTCTATGTTCACATCTAGCTCATTTAAATCTGCTTTAATGTACTTTAAAATGTGTATTACTTAATTACTAAAATTTTTATATGAAGATAATATGGGTATGATACATAAGTATATGAGGGTAACAAGACAACAATCTCTTAATAGAATGAGAAATTTAAAATAATAACAATAAATACATGTGTAACATTAATATATAAGAAATACTGGGGGAAAGAATTAATGATTAATGAATAGAATAGGAATAAAAAACAAAGCAAGTAGATTAAATTTATGCATAGGAAACCGAAATCTAATTTTAAAAATAAATCAATTCAAATCACATGAGAATTCTCTCAATTTTTTATTTGAATATAAAGCATAGAACAAAAGTAACAGAAAAAGGAGAAATGGAAATAAATAAAAAAGCATGCAAGTTTAATGAATGTTGAAAAATAAGAGTAGAGATGAAAAATAAGTGCTTGGAGTTAAGACATTGGGAATATAAATTCCTGGTTAGTAAAATTAAAAAAAAATAAAAGAGATATGAAGTAACAAGAAAGACATTCATAATTTTCTTTTTGAGCTGTACTCTCTACATATAGAAATATGGAATAATAAATTAGCAGCTTACTCTAAATTTCCATTATTATACTATATGCAAAGTTTCAAATTTGTTTGATTTAGACCATTAGCCAAGCTCCCTCCACAAGATATGCACCTTCAGAACAATAGAGTCATAAGCTCAATGCATTACACTTTCTACATCTGAAACCCTTGAGTGGCTGCCAAACAAGCAACAGAGCCTCCTGATTCTGTCCCAACTCAGGCAACTAATTCCCAATCCATTAGCATCTCCCATAGAAAATAGCTGCAATCAAATACATCTGGCTTTGTTGGTGATACTTAATGCAAGGGAACAATTTGTAAAATTGATCGGGAAAAACAAAATACATTCTAATTATTCCTCTTAAAAGTGGATGAAATTAGGATCTCTCTTACCCAAGAGAACATGATCTTACCTAATAAATCCCAGTAATATCTTGGGTTTTATAGTCTTTCAAGAATGCTTATGTATGTATTCGTATGTATTACTAAATATTTCAAAGACAGATATTCAAATTCTAGTACTTCCTCTCTAACCTTGGCCAGCTTTTTATGGACTTCAAAAGGCTTTTGGGAGGGGAGAATGTCCTGCTCACATGTATAATAACAAATGAAATTACTATTGCTGGGCTGTAAGGGTATCATCTGACAATAGTGTATACACATGTGTTCATCCACCACTTTTTTAGGATGAAATTCTTTAAATGGACATGCCAGCTTTCTTCTTATTTATACATGAATTATGTTTATAAATTAGATGGCAAAATTTAAATCCATATTTGCCATTGAAGGCAAAGTGAGATAAAAAATTTGGAACAAATTATGAAGAATATTTTGTCATTAAATAAAGATTTGATTTTTGAATTTCTATATTCATAGGTAATGCTTAATAATCCCATTATTAATTGTATACCTAGAAATCTTATAATCATCCAAACTATAGGTGTTCCTAGTTTTTGTAGAAGCAAAGTGAAAATTAAAATGTTCTCAGATCCTTCAATGTCAACTTTGTAAAGATTTTTCTAGAAATGGAAAAAAAATTTATAGTAGTAGAGTCTTCACATCATTCCCACATTTAATTCTCACAATCATCCTTTGAGTTAGCACAGATTTGTCATTTCCTCATAAAAATGAGAAACAAGTTAAAATGTGACATGCAGAACTTGGATATAGAGAATCCAAGTGTTTGGACCTAGTGATAATGTCTGGACCTCAGCTTTAGCTGAAGCCTTTTCTCTGGTACCTAATAACTATGTGACCTCAGGCGGATAGTCACCAACCCAAATCTTCAAAGTGAAGCTGATAGCTCCTTCCTCCCAGCATTCTGATAAGAACCAAAGGGCATAATCTTTATGAAAGCATTTTTGAAATTGTAAAATGTGCTATAAATAAATTAGGGTTTTTTTTCCTGGGATCTATTACATTAGCACCTGTTACAAAGGAACAGTTGTAGAAAGACAATTTTAGTTTGCAAACATGTTCATTTAAAGGTTTATTTGGAACTGAAGAATTGCAGGAAGAGTGGAGTGCCAGCCCACCCACTCCATCCCTTCCATGCTCACTTCCCTTTCTGCTGTGGCCTGATTTGACTTTAAGCTTCTCTTTTTCTTATTCATGCTTCATGGGCTTCTACTCTGACTCATTGAATTCATCTTCAAAGAAGACATAGGCTATGTGTGTGTTGTGGGGAAGGGGTGAGAAGTCAAGCAAACATCTAGAAAAGAAGAATATTCTTTCATTAATTTCGTAATCTCTTCTGAAATGAAGATTTTTAAATGTTCTCCATCCTACCCTTATGCTTAGTCAAATTTTGCATTTCTTAGATTTCATTTTCTACAAGCATCTGGAAATCTAACTGATCTATTTTTAGAGCTTGAGGTTTATTTTTCTACCTACCATTTTCCAATTTTTTTTATTGTCAGGCTTACACTTTGTCAAATCGTGTGTTAAGCATGACCAGGAGATGCTGACAGAACTCATGATCCGAGTCCTCTCTTTCAGCTCCTAAGGTGTTCCAGCGTGTTACTTCAAAACCAAAAATGTCACCAAGGCCAGAAGTGTCACATACTCCACCTGGTAAATGTTTTATTTCATATTTGAGCCAAATGCATTCTATTGTCACATTCTGCTGCAATGAGACATAAGAGCTCATTGGATATGAGGTCAATATTTCACTTATGTTCAGCTATCATGTTGTATCATACATGACATGATCATTTCAAAGGTTTCATAAGACTTCTCTAAGTGCTCATATAGTAAGCTATTTATACCAGGGGTCCTCAAACTTTTTAAACAGGAGGCCAGTTCACTGTCCCTCAGACGGTTGGAGGGCCGGACTATAGTTTAAAAAAAAAACTATGAACAAATTCCTATGCACACTGCACATATCTTATTTTGAAGTAAAAAAACAAAACGGGAACAAATACAATATTTGTATTTGCATGTGGCCCGCGGGCCGTAGTTTGAGGACCCCTGATTTATACAATCAAAAAGCAGAGACTTATGCCAAGAATAAAATGTTTCTTTTAGAACTAAACTTCCCTTATCTTCTGCCTTACCAAAAAAAAAAAAAAAAAAAAAAAATGACCTGCCAATACTAACTCTGCTGTATTCCAATGTTCCACCAAAACACCAAAATAAGATAAAGAATTCAAAAATTTTCCCCCAAAAATGATAAAATTATGTTTTTACAAACAAAAGAAATGATGTTTAACCATTTTCTTGGGTTTAGAAATTTAACACTATCCAGCACTGAGTGTTTTTTCTGTTTATTTGCTTGTTTGTTTTTTCTGTCAAATTCTTTTACCAGTTCATGGAGCAATAGCTTGGGTTCAGAAAAAAACTGTTATACACACACACAAAATAAAGGGTTTTTTTAGCTATAAATTTATATCTTGCCTATCACTTGAGAAGGCCTTTTGTCCATTTATGAGGAATAATCTCATATTTGCGGGAGTATCCAGGGTGGGGACTGCAAGGATCAGACCTTTTCTGGGTCTTGCCACCAATGCTCCAGGTCTTCAAGTGGCCTTAAGAACTGTTAGCTGAACAGCTGTGTAATAAGCAAAACTAACCCATTTTTAACTAGAGTACCTGGGAAATACTCTCAGTTTTTTTCTCTTTCTTTTTAAAGATCCAATTATTATAAATTCCTAGTGCTCCAGAAGCATATCGACCATTCGCAGGACCAAAAGTATTTCTAATCTGTGTCTTGAAATGATGGCATTTTGGAAGCAAGTCTGAATTCAGTTGCTGTAGTGTTTTCAGATTGTGAGTGGGAGGAGGGTGTTGTTGCTAGGGAATTATCTGGTTGTTGTGGGTGGTGGGAGGCTAGGGAGGGGCTCCTTGGCCCTGAAGCCTGGAATTTAAATTTGTATCACTAAACCGGCAGCCAACATTGTAAATGCCAATTACACACACACACACATGCACGCACACACACATGCACACACACACACACACATGCACACACACACACACACACACACACACACCAACGGTGATCTTCCCACTTGCAAAAGATTGGCTTCTTATTTTCAATTGTGGGAAAAAATGTAACAGAAATTGAGTTATTACAGATAACAGCAGTAGATCTGAGTGATATTACTCACTTTTCTTTTTTAAGAGAGAAAGCAATACTATTGGTCCTAATGTTACTTAATCTCATTAAACCACTATATCAAATGAACTTTTTTTATTCTTTTAAAATGTATAATTTTTTTCAATTAATGTGCCTTAATTGTACGAAACACCTTCATTTTCACAGAAATTCTAGCCTGTAAGTGAGCAGGGAAACAACAGCACAAACAGTTCTTGTGGAGCTTCCCTGGCGCTTACTCTGTTAATTCTCTAAATCCAGTCATCCAGTTAGAATTCTGTCTCTAGACCTGGTGTTGGTCCCACTGATCTGTATTCATCAGGGAGTTCCCTGGTGCTCCAGGGACGTGAGGCCTATAGGAATAATCATGAGGCAACTGTTACTATGTTTCAAACAAGTGTTCAAACAACCTAGATCCTGTTGTGTTCAGTTTCTGCGTTGTGTGTAGGCTCAGGTTTGCCTCCTGATGAACCCAAGACCTTGTTTATAGGCTCCTGTAGGTTATTTCCCCAAAACAGAGGTAAATTATATATGTACTTAATATTTATTAATATCCTAGAGAAATAGATGCTCTGTAAAAGTCTAAAAAAAATGCAAAATGTGCTGAAATCAGGACAGTTTTGTTTTATCATAATGTTTACCTCAAAACTTATACTGAGAGCTATCAGCGGTAGCAAAGTTGAATTTTTAGACCTGGATCCAATAAGTCAGTCTAGGATTTGCTGGGAGCAAACCAGGAAGAAAATCTAGATTTCTGCAAGCTATGCAATCCTCGCAGCTGTTCTGCGTAAACCACTCTTTGTGGCAAATTCTAACTTGCAGTCACATTGCAGCACATTTGCACTGAGGAAGTAAGGGAGTGATGCTGAAATGCCTTTGAGATGGAATTGCTAGGACCTAGAACCCTAGCCAATGACTGAATGCTGTTAGGGAAAGAAGGGTGGCCCTGCAGGAAGGAGTAAAGCGTGTGTTCGGATGTGCTGGGTTTGCAGGGCCAGTAGGACATTAGAGTGGAAATATCTGACTGGTGGTTGACATGTATTTCAGGATATCTAAACAGAAGTCAAGATGCGGGATGTAGATTTGGGAGTCACTTGTATAGAAGGTTCTTAAATCTTGTGAGTGGATGACATCATCCAGAAGAAAGGACAGACTGAGGAAATAAGAGGTCAGAGGTCAAAGCCTTGGGCAACACATTCTTTCTAGGAGGAGTGGGCAGAGGAGGAGGAGCCAGCAGACAGGAGAGTCCCAGGGAAGATGGGTCAGGAGGTGAGGCAGGGAAGGGTGGTCAGCAACGCCTGTGAGGGGTCAGAAGAGCTGCTGGACTTGATAGCTCAGGTGCTCAAACCTGTGTCTGAAAACCATGGGCTGATGCTTTGGAATTCAGCAATTTTCAGGTTGCAAGCATATTAATGTGTCTGCCGTGAGAAGTATGCAGAGTCATACTACACAAGACACATAAAAACTGCAAAGAGTCCAGTTCTAGTTAGGTTTTGCTGTGAAATGAGTTTGGTTGTTTGTTTGTTTTTAATTGTTCGGTTTCAGAGCATTTTGGACTTCAAAACCATGGGTGAGGAATCATGCACGGGTCCGTGGTTGAAGGTCAGTGCAGTGGAAGCCAGACCACAGTGGATAGAGGAGATGTAATTGAGAGACCAGGATGCAGAGTCAGATAGAAGGTTTTGATTAAAGCAGCCGTTCTCAACCTGTGGGTCGCGACCCCTTTGGGGGTCAAACGACCCTTTCACAGGGGTCGCCTAAGACCATCGGAAAACATGTATATAATTACATATTGTTTTTGTGATCACTGGGCTTTAATTATGTTCAATTTATAACAATGAAATTGGGGGTCACCACAACATGAGGAACTGTATTAAAGGGTCGCGGCATTAGGAAGGTTGAGAACCACTGGATTAAAGGATGAGAGCAAGAGAGGGATGGTGTGACAAAGGAGCCATGTCAGGGGATGACTTTTTTAAAGATACTGAGGCATTTGATCTGTTTTACAGGTAGAGGGGAAGAAATTGATGGACAAATGGAAATATGGACTAATAGAGAAAATATAAAATAGTAGAAATAATGGAAAGTAAAAGGTCCCAGAGACACGGGAGGGAGCGTGGCCCAAGACCCCAGGTTGAGCTTGCAAAGTGGCCTCCAAAATGGCAGGGAACCTGCTTCCTCTCAGACTGGACCTCAGGGAACAAGGTCAGAATAAAGGGACAGAGAGCTGGAGGTGGAAGAGTGTGTAGCCTACATGTATTCCTTTGCTATGGGATCAGTCTCTTTGTAGCCTGTTGCAGGGTAAACCTTATTGCAGATTTCATATTTCGCCATCTTCGTCAGGGAATAACATATTGATTCTCTCACCTGGTACAACATCCATGCACATTCGTTTTCATTTGTCCATATTAGACATGCTCCTCATAATTGTCGTGTGTTAGTTGAACTTTTCTCTGGAGCGGTGCCCTTTATTCAAAAAGATAGTTCATTTCATTGATATTAATATCAATTAATATAATGGTTCATTAATATACATGGTAAGTTGGTTAATATAATTGAGTCCAAAATACGATAATGGTAAATATTCTTATAAGGAAATCAAAAGTGCCCTCTTAAAAAAAAATTGTCATTATTTACATTGTTTCCCCCAGCATGGAAGGTTTAGGTTTTAGGAATCATGCTCTTTTTTAATGTAATACACAAAGTACAAAGGCATGCACATGGGGAGAAAGGAAAAAAAAAACAACTTGCATTTCTTGAAGCTGCAACTGACCAAGCAAGAGAGTGATTCATAACGCTTTCCCATGAATATTTCTATATTTTTTTCTCTCCACGGATTTTAGCTGCTCTAGAGAGCCTACTGTGGCAGTTTATTAAATCATCACTTCATGGTCACCAAGTGCCAATCGCAGCGGCAGGAATCCACATTACCCCAGCCCGAATTCCCCAGGCAGCTGAAGCAGTAGTGAGGAATGCGTTTACAATATAGTGGATTCATTGGTTGCACATTTCTTCTGGGTCTCCCTTCCTTAATCCCAGCTCCCTCTGTATAGTCTAACACTGTAACCAATTAGGTTATGTATAAACTACTGGCACTTTGTATTAGTCATGACCTTCACAGACCCAAATCCAAGTACCTTCTCCTTCACCCTCCAGATAAACATTTAGTTTGATTTATAACAGGAAATTCCTCATATTTTACCATTTGAATTCCCCAAAATACTACACAGCAAAGGTGAAACAGTCACTGTAATGATGGGTTTTCTCTAACTTTGACAACCACTGAGCTTCTTGAATTTGTCTTTTTCCTTCAAAAAAAAAAATCCAGATTTTTTTAATTCCCCTGGATATTACCTTTTAGTTTATAGAAGTTCTAATTGAGTCAAGTTTCTTTCCAATGTACCAAATTCCACAACTGTAATTTCAGTGGTGGTTAGCAGCCTACACTAAGAACAGATGTGATATGTGCCTTAAATATGATCCCCCAAAGCAATAAAAAGTGAATGTCCATTTTATAAAACCTATTTTATACTAATGATAAAGTGGTGCTTGGCCACCTGATACAAAGGTTTTTTCATTTTTCTCTGAGGCAGAGTTCTAGCCTGAACTCTAATTATTTTTCCCTAGCATCATATAAGATGCAAGAAAATTACACTGCCTACAAAGGGACTCTGGTATTTATGAAATCTTCGGAGTGGCAGGAAGACCTTTCAGTGAGAGAGCGGGGCTGAGAAGGACCTCCTTGTGGGGAAGCTGAGTCAAAGAAGCACATTATCTTGCTCTTGGAAGAAGACTTTGCCATAGAAATCTGATTCTAGCAATAGGCAAATCCCCCTGAAATTTGCTCCACTGAGAAACATGGTATCAAATTCTCAGCCTACTGTTCTATTTTGTTAAAAGAGAATAGGACAAAGGTATCAAAAATATACTTGATATCAGGTACTGAATATGAATAGGTTTATTGTAACGCTGACATTTTTGTTCTTCATTTTCATATTCTCACTAGAGGTCTGATGCACAAAATTCATACAAGAGTAGGCCTTCCTTCCCCCGACTGCCAGCACCAGCTTCCCTCTGGCACCTGGGACTGGGGCTTCCCTCGCAGCCCTGGCTTCCTCCAGAAGGTCGTCTGGAAGGACGTCTGGTCTAATTAGCATATTATGCTTTTATTATTATAGATATGTCAGGAGGCCCTGATACCTAATATACTAAAAGCCACATCACTAAGAATGCCAAAAATGGCAACAATTATCTAGTATTTACTATGAAACAAGCACTCCATCAACTTTTCATGTGGTATTTCTTTTTTTTTTTCATGTGGTATTTCTAATGAGAGACTGATTTCCTTTTACTATTTTCTTCACGTAATAACTGTTAGCGTCTTTTAAAATAAAACTTTGTTTTTCTCTTAGATATTCAAGACTTTTATCTTTCTTGCTATTTTCATCAATTTTTAGGCCATTTATGCACTTTATCTAAGATCATGTATTTTCTATTGCTATCAATGGAATTTTAGTATGAATATCAAATGGCCCCTAGCCACTTACTTCAGGGAAAAACTGACTTTCTATTTTGAAGTCAACTTGAAGGACACCTACCTTCTTGTGTTTAATTACATTAGTTATTTCCTCTTTTTTTTTTCCCTTTCAAGGGAAGCTTCAAAATGAACTGTGGCCAACTCTTTTCTACTCCCACTAGAACCTTCCTGAGACAGTAACATTTTTCCACTTTGAAAAGAACGGTGTCTCCTCGCCTTGTTCCTTAGTCACTGTGAAAGTACGCTTGCCTCATTCTCACTTTCCAGGATTGTGTATCTGTGGATTGTTTCAGTCCAGGGGTGACATTTCGAGTACACAGTGTTCCCTAACCTTTTCTTTCAGTTCCAGGAGATGTGCTCCGTCCCCAGAAACCAGACCACGAAGTCTCTCAGAGAGAACCTGGTAAATGAACCTTTTTATTTTCCTAATTAGGAAGTATATTTTTCAAAAATATTCTTGAGGTAAATATTTTTTAATGATTGTAGATGTGGAAGACGTTTGAAAAAAAAGTATCAATATAAAAGGTGTACTTTATTTCTTTTTGGGAAGGGGTAATCATACAATCTGTTTGATTTTTTCCCCCCTGGTTAACACTAGGGAACAATGTGCAATTAGTTTATTTTTCCTAGAAGTGTTTTCATTGAATAGGAAATCATGTCAATATTATAAGGCCTAATTATTAACTGAGCCAACCATTTACACCTTATTTCAAAATGTAAATATAACTACATTCCAAATGTGCGTGTACTTTGAAGTAAAACATGTAGGACTTGACTCAAAAATGTTCTTAAAGTGGCAGTGAATACAAAATTTAATGTTTTAACTAAACTAAGTTTCCTGAGTGGCATCTAATAGGTATAATTTTCTCATATTTATCATGGTTCTTAGAGAATTGTTAAATGTTCAAATGGATGCATGTAGAAACACAGAAACTATTTTTACTTCACCAGGTAGTAATTCTCATGAATATGTTTCTTTGGTTTCCTTTTGGCCCAGTTCTGCAGCCCGTTACCTTTAGAATTGATCCGCCAGAGACAACAATAGGTAATGGCTTTCCCATATTGACCAAGTCTAATTGTTTTCCTTGCCATCATCAGGATTACAGGTCTTTCTCAAACGATCATATTGAAACATCATCTCTTCTCACACCCGTTTCATCATTTCATTCTCATTATCACTCTTTCCAAAGTAGAAAAGTAAAAGTTTTGCTCTGAAGACCAGCTTAAGACAGCTCACCACCAAGCCCATCCTCACCTACCTCATTTATCTCCATGTTCCAAATGGCTCCACCTCACTCATGCCCATCCAGTTAACATTTTCTGCTGGTTTAGTGGTTCTCAGCTGTAGTGTTACGATATACTAGCGATTTGTGAGCATTACTGGCAAGTAATTATCATTAATATTGGTCAAAATACTAAAATTTGCCAATGGTTTATTTTTAAAAATAAACTTGAGCAGACCTGTGATGATTGTAGCAAGCACAGTGATAATGTCCTCACTCGTGTTGTAATCCTATGTGCTGTGTTGGGTGGGAGAACTACAGCTGACAGACTCAGGACCAGGACTGGCCCACACCCCATCTTGCCAATATGGTCATGGAGTGTGTCAAGCATTGAATGGCATTTATTATCTTAGTGGGAAAACACAGTTGAGAACCATTATGCCAATATTTCAGTCATTTTCCTAAGGTTCTGTGCACACTTTATTTTCTTCTCCATAACTCAAAGTTTTCCATTTTCTGTTTCAAATAAAGGAATCTCATATGATACTCTGATCTGGCACTGGCTTTTGAAACTAGGGATTGAAAACCTTGGTGCTTATCTTTTGCAGCTCCTTTAGAGACCCGAAGCAGCCCTTTCATCCCTATGATTTCACCAAGTTCTAGTCAAGAGGATCTACAAACCACTCTGGGTAAATTTTGTTTTGATATTTCAGTCCAGTGAGGACCTACCTTCTAGGGCTTGCTCTTAAAGAAACCATATTACATTGTGCTCATGTTGTTTCCAAGTGATAGAGGGTTTCTTTCTACCATCATATAAAACCTCCACTTCACTTGATTCTTTTACATTAATTGTGTATTTGTCTTCATCCTTATGGTGATTTTTAACATAAAATGAAAATGTTTTAAATCACCTTGACAAATTTTCAAGCATTCTTAAAAGCAGAATGTTCCCAAAGTGTATCAGTGCTATATGTTTTATTGTTTCTTCTGTATTTGAAAGTGCATTTGAAAGAAAAATTGTATCTAGTATTTATTGAGTGTTTCATGGCACAATGCTAAGCAATGGGAGTTTCGAAATAAAACTGCTTTAAAGATGGGTCCTTCCCCTGGAGAACGTGCCCTCTAATATGAAAACAGGATTTAGGGATAGTGGTGCTTCCTGAGTGCCCCTGAGGATGCTACCTGTATTTTTAAATTTAAGCCACATGACAATGTTGGGAGGTAGGTTCTATTACTTGCCCCATTTTACAGATTAGAAAATTGAGGCATAGAGGGATTTAAAATTGTGGCCAAGTCACACAGCTGACGTCAGAGCCAAATTGGAACCCACACACTCAGTCACCAGAGCTCCTGGGACTCACCCCAGTGTTATGCTTTACCAATGAGTGTGATAGAGAAATGGGCAGACTACCTGCAGGCATCAGGGAAGGCTGCACAGAAGAGGTGACATTTGCACTGGTGTTTAAGTTGGAGAAACAGTTGAAGTTAAAAATGCAAGGTCCTTTCAGGTTAAAGACAGATGGGAATGAGCACAGGACAGACTAGCGGCCAGTCTAATGTGGTGAGCACGCAGGTCACATGGAGAGAAGTTGATGGATGAGTCAGGACAGTTGTTTGGGATGAGCTGGCCATGCTTTCGGGGAGTTCATAGTGGGAAATCCCAGTCTGCCTGACTCTTGGCTGAAAATGAACCAGAAAACAAGTGTTCCCAGCTTGTGATTTTTGGCTCCTTTGCCTGTCCATGCTACATCACACATGACTGTGTTTAAATTAGTGGCCTTATTTTTCTTTCTTCCTTCCCTTTTCAAACTCATTCTTTATGTATGGCTGCTGAGATGAAGTTACAGGTCACATTTTAAAATAAAATTCTTTTGGAGAAAAAAATTAAAAACTGAATGAGCAAATATACCCTGATTACCAAATATTCGTCTATTGTAATCTAGGCCCACAAGGTCAAGATCACCCATGAAAATTAATCAAAAGTACTTTCAAGAACCCATGCCAGATAGGCTAATTATCCAACTTCCACTCCCTATTTTTTTTAATGTATTTTGATTTATTGAAGCAAGAATCAGCACCTCTCATTTATCTCAAGTATCTCTCATGAGCCAAAGCCAGATTATAAAGCAGAACAGAAACACAAAGAATAAGATGACAGTATATTATTTGCACAAAGTTTTTCCTTGGATTCAGTATATGCCAAAGTGAACAATGTAATTTTCATGATGTGATAATGAGTCCAAGATAATATTGAAGGTGGAACTATTGCCACACTTATTTCTTTTTGAGGGAGTGGAGAAGGGGTCAGGAGAAGTGTGTCTATTTGTCAGTAAACACAAACTTTGCTTTTCACACGAGGAAAATAAAAGAAAATTTATTCTTATATGGTACAAATACACATATTTTCATCTGATCTATTTCTTTTCCAGCTCACCTAAATAACTTGTGGAATATTTTATGGAATAGGAAAAAGACATGAAGGCAGTTAGGAGACACATCCAAGTATCATCACCTCCAGTATCATGAAATAATGATCCTGAGCTAAAAGCTTTTTAAAATCATTGAAATAATTAGTGCAAGAAGAGAGAAAATATAATAAATGGGAGTTACTAAAATCTACTATTAACTTTGGATTATCATGATTACTGGGCGTACTGATAAATGCAATTTACCCTTTCGTTACCACTTGTTGGTAGTGTTAATTATTCAAAGCAAGCCCTCGTACTGTGCTTCCCCAGCAGAAACAGACCAGTCCACCCAGGAGCTCTTCACAACTAAGATCCCACGAACCACTGAATCGGCAAAGACAACTCGGGGTAATACTATTTTCCCACCTCTGTACAGTACCTTCTTTTCTTCATTTTAAATTAGGAAACACAATTTCTTTACAGAATGTGATTTCTCATCACAGTGAATTACTTGATTTTTTTTTCATTTCATAGGTGCAGGACATCAGCCAAATATTAATGTCCATATGACTATCAGTGAATGTCGGAAGACACGTTTTCTAGTTAGAGCTTTACTTTTGAATGGATGGCTGATAACCAACAATGAAAGCTCTCTTTTGTTATTCCTTGATGGACCTTCATTTACCTCATTTTCTATATCTGATAAATAAGAATCTTTATTACCTTTCCTCTCCTCCACCCTCCACCACCCTCCTCTTTCTCTCCTTTTTTTGTTTTTTCTGTGCCCAACTTGCTGGACACATTGATATGTGGCCCAAGGAAGGAAACTAGTAAGAAGATATGTCAGTTTTTAGAGATGATTTAATATTTAAATTTCCAGGAAACATTTCTCTGGAATGTCCATTTTTAATTTCTTCTTTTCTATATTTTGGAAATTAAACTCGGCTACACAATTTTCTATCTCATCTTCATGCGCTCAGAAGGATGTTTTTGTCCTATATGGCTTATAATCGTTGTGGATTTCCAGTATTTTTGTGTGTTCTTTCTTTCTTTTCCCCCCAAAGAGCCCCTTTTGCCCATCTCTGCCTCTTTCATATGGAAGTAAGCCCAAAAAGCAAAAGCAAATATTTTTAAGGAGATAGAAGACAAATTTATTTTATTATTTTGTTTATTATAATTTTGGGGTGGGGGAACTTAATGAAAAAAATGTGAAATAATAAGAGCAAATGATAACAATAAAATAAGTCTAATTTTATGGTGTATATTTTATAGTAAATAGAGTAACATGTACTTATTCAATAAGTGTGACTGAACACTATGGCATAGGACAGTTCTCGTAATTTTTCTAAATTATTTTTACTTATTTGGTTTAATTTTTATTATGTTTTAAATGATTATTTTATTATTTGCTTTAATCACCTTTCTACTTATTCACTTTTTTATAAATCCACACAGAAGCCTAATATACTGACAGCCCTCCCACATCCTCATTAGTAATAGATGTTTAATCATGTTACATCCATACTCCACCCTCATTTTTGAATGTTTATTCTTTTATGTTTTTGCAAACTTCTTTAATGTCTGGCTTAATGGAAGATAGCTGGATTAATTTAATTAATAATCAAGCACATTAATTTTTTGCAGGAAAATATATATGTACTTACACTAAGAAGGAAAAATAAAGACTATTCAGCACAGGTCCTGTTACAATGAGAAAGCTTTCAGCTTTTTAGAGCTTTATAGGTTTCAGAATGGAGGATGAAAGATCATAGGGCTGTTCTTTATTTTTGCATTTTATTACTTTAATGAGAATATCATTATTGTATTACTAGTATGAATGTGTGTAGAATTTTTATCAAATTTCTTCTAAAACGTGGTTTTCTTAGATAGAAGTTTCACAGTTGATTGGATATATATATATCCAGGATTTGATATCATTATATGAATTGTCTTAACATAGTGATATAACATACTATGTTTTAATTATTTTCTTATATCCTGAGGATCCTTAGCTTAAGTCTCAACTGCATTGCCTGGGAGTCACACTTTTCTAGACTGTGCCAAGGGTCTTGAGAGTGGCTCACCAGAGATTCATTTCCATGAGGTGACAAGGGACATCCTAGGAAAGAACCCATCTAAGGATGAGAGTAGCATCCACAACCTGGCCCAGCCCAATAGCCCTACCTGGGAGTAGAGGGACAACTTTTAGTCAAAGCAAGATGTGTGTCTCTAGGAGCACCTTTTGGCCCAGTCCTCATAAACACTGCCTGAGCTCTGTCGAAGGGGTGGCCAATCAACTGTTTTGTTTTGGATGTGCTGTGCTGTTTTATTTGAAACATCAAGCATTAGGAGCACAAGACAGCACACAATACTCGGATATAGATTCTGTGGGGGTGAAATAGCTCCTCTTGAACTTTGCACTCTACGCGTGCCCTCCAATCCCTCAAACATGGGGCCCAAGTGCTCCAAGGAAACTCCAGCACCTCCTCTGTGGCCCCTTGGCTCCATTATCTGCTGAGACAGTTCCCTGAAGCACGCTACAACCCTGAATACTCAGACACTCCTGCTCTGCCTTTCTCATTGCAGCCCATGGGAGAAATCCACTTGGCAGGCGCATTTGGGAAGCATTTTCTTTTCTTTTTTTTTTCCTTTTTTTTTTTATTATTAGTTAAGGTATTACAAATGTGTCCTCATCCCCCCCATTAACCCCCAACCCCCCCCCACACACACTCATGCTCCCATCCCCCTGTTGTCCATGTCCATTGGTATGGCTTATATACATGTATACAAGTCCTTCGGTTGATCTCTTGGGAAGCATTTTCATTATGTTATTGCTTGCAGCCTCTCATACTTACCCCCCAGGGCAAGTTGAATATACTCCTTCCCCTCTCCCTGTATCATTCACAGTGTTTCTCCAATAATCCCTGTTTGTTTAGTTTTAAAGTTCATTTTACACGGATTTTTATAGAACTATTCAGATATGAAGCCATCTTTTAAAGTTATTTTTATTACTGGTCGCCAAAAACTACATGGAGATGATGTTCACGTAGTTACATTGTCACAAAGCCCCTTTGTCATTTTTTTTTTTTTTTTAACTTTAAAACTGAAACCCTAGAGTAGATTTCTCAAGGCCATGGGATGTGCAAGTAACTCACAACCGAAACTTAAAATTATATTTTGGCTTTTTTTTAATTAAAGTTCTTTCTAGATTTAAGTAGAGACTGTGGAACAATAAAAAACTCTGTGACTTTGAAATAATGAATATAGTTCTGATTATTTTTGTGTTCTGCTCTAAGTCTCTTCTGTCTAACTATAAGTTTTTAAATTTAAATTTCTTCTAAAATGAGACTAATAAGAACCATGACCATTGTAGCTCTTTAAGAGAAAGCAATCTAACACAGAAGAAATTAATATGAAAACTTGAAATATGTAGAATTGACAGATAATCCTATCATTCTCACATAAAAATTAAAGAAAAACATGGGCTAGTCATCATCACGCATTTTAGGATGTGTCAGAATTCATATTTTATAGCACTGGTGCCCCTGTTCACTCTAGTTATTACACTTCGAAGGCCCCACACTGAATCCACAGAGAATATCAGCGTGTGTCTGCTGGTTTTGGCCTGAAATATGGCAAAACTCTGCTCACCGGTCTTCACATTGGAAGCTTATAAATGAGCTACATTATAATCTGTTCTGCAGGTGTTTTTTAGCTTGTTAGGCAAAAACAAGCTAATTTATGGTTACATAAATACCCCCTTAAGATCTGAACAAAAGCAATGTAATTTACTTACAAGTTTGAAAAAAGAATTTATTTTCTCCGGTCTCAGCTAAAGTATTACCAAGAAAGTTGGAGTTAGGAGGCAGTGTGCTATGTCAAGAAGGCAGAGGAGGGAAGGGAAGAACGGACAAATTCCTGGATGAATGCATATTTTAAAATCTTAGGAAGCAACCAACCTGAGCTTCTTGTGAATTTGCCTGTGTACAGTGCTCGCTCCATTTTTAATTTCTTCAACAAGTCTTCAGTTGGAATCCTCACTGTGCCAGGCCCTGGATTACAGGAACAGGAAGTGACGAATTGATGTGTTGGTCCCAGAGCTTGTCTGAGTTGCTGCTCCTTGCTCTCCCTGGATAGATGAGCAGGACCCCTGAGCTCTTCTCTCATCCTGACGCTGTAATAGATGGCACTAAGTGAACATTGATTCATCTCAGGGGTCATGAGCCAAGACATTTCGATAGAGATCACATGTTTTTACTCTTGTCTTCTTACCTACCTCAAAATATTTTATGTTTTGCCTTTAAGATTACTTGTCTTTTTTGGCAAAACAACATTTCACAGTGACTACCTAATTGAGTGATGTGGGTGGATGGATAGATGGACACATGGGTGATGGATGGACGAATGCTTGGCTGCCTTTTATGTTTGCCATGTTAAGCAACCATCTGGTAAAGTAAATGTCCTTGAAAAAGTGGACTAATGATGACATCCGTAACACACATTAGAAATTACCTACCTCATTCTGACAATGTGCATTTTAATATCCAATCATGAGTATTTTCACTTGTTTTATTTTCCTTTAGCTTCAGTGCTGTAATGCATAATTGGCGGTTGCAGGGTGTTCTTTCTACTTCCATGCACAATGTACAAACTGTTGGTCCCTAGGGTGCCAAATCTCGATTTAGTGGGCTTTGGAGTGTAGGGTATTAAACATGAAGCATTTGCTCTGTTTCAGCACCACATAGATTGTACACTACTCCTGGGAGGCCCAAAATACCAGAAAAACCACCCCTCAGACCTGGTAAGTTGTTTCCCTTTCTGATGACCCAAACAGTCAGCACATCTGAGAAGATATAAACTGTATCGAAACAGCTAGATGCACTAAAGAAGAGCTATATGCTTAAATTGAAATAAAGGACATACAGAAATTCTGATCCTTGCAGATAAGTGGAGAGGTATTGATGGATCCTTGGAACTGACAAGACCTAAGTGAGGTTTTTAAGGAGGATCAGCTTCAGAGACCACTATAGAACTTTATCAATATAAAATTATTTTTGAAATAGTATTTGTGCATAAATCACACATGCACACACACACACACACACACACACACACACACACACTTTTTCAAATTTCTATGACAATTATAGGTAGCATTAACATTCTGTGTGAGATATTACTTGCTTTCAAATATTATTAATCTTTTTTATTTTATTTTATTGTTTAAAGTATTACAAATATATCTCATTTTTTCCCCCATTGACCTCCTCCTGCCCTCCCCTACCCCCTAGCACTTGCCCTCACCGCCCCCGCCCCCCAGTGTCTTGTGTCTATTGGTTGTACTTATATGCATGCATACAAGTCAAATAGTATTTATCTTTTAAGAAAAGATAATCTCTTCAGTATAAAAGGCTCTTGTTCTGGGAGAATATTTTTACTTTATTCCTTCTGATGATAAAAAAAAAAGCACATAATTTTTCAGGTTTTAAACAGTAAAAATAAAGTGATAATTAAACATTAGAAAATACTTTAAATTTACTAAATTCTCAGAGGTTCTATAATCTCCTTTACTGGAGCTTATTAGGGAAGAGTTAACTGGAGGGGTTGATTTGAGCCATGTAAATAACTTCTATGCTAAAGTACAAGTTAGACCAAAGACTGGTGTTTTCTACCCTTTTTCTACTATGTTTCTAAAAGTCTTCTTGAATTTATAAATTATGAAACTGGCTTATAAATTAATATTCTTGGTTAGCATCTCTCCAGGCACATGGAAGAAAGAACAAATAATTTTTTTCTATTCTTTGGTTTATAAGTTTTAGAGTAATCCTCCAAATCCTAAATGCATTAGGCACAGAAGTCTTTTATAAACAAATATATCTCCATGTAACTTTTATATCATGATAGCTGTTGAGAAATGGTTATACTAAGTGTTTCTACAAAATAATGAATAGTAGCAATACAGGCAGTCCTCGGCTTATGTCGGATTCAACGTACATCATTTCGTGGTTACGTCGCCATCTCCCATTTATTTATAAAAAAAAGGTTCCGTCATTTTGACATGTGTACATATGTGCTTTATGTTTTTTATTATTTATTTACCACAAGTAAAGGTCAGGAATTGTTATTTTTCTTTAAATTTTTTTTTTACTGTTTCACTTCATTACTGCTTCGTATGTGCTCCCTGTGAGTGACGTAGGTGCTTATGTAGGTGGGTTCCGACTTATGGGGAAAATCACGTTATGTGGCACCATAGGAACAGATCTCCATCAGACGTAACCCAAAGACCTACTGTGATGGCTAACAGTGACTGAGTGTTTGCCTTGTGTCCCATTAGGTAGAGTGAGGAAGCTAAGAAGTAGCTAGGAAGCTAAGAAGAGCTAGGAAGTAGATTCAGAGTCAAGCAATCAGGGTCCAGTGGTTACTCTCTTAACCATGGTGTATTTAGTTCTTTTCTTTAAAGAATCTTCTAAGTGAAGCATAAGGCAGGTGACCTCTTAAAGTTTTGATAGTGCTATGGCTGTCAACAGAGCAGGAAAGATATTGTAATGGTTTTATTACAGTTTTGTGTTCAATGATGGGTTTGTACCAGGATTATCAAGGAGTATCTGTACCTAGAGACTCATGCAAAAGGACCATGAACTTATGAGTTATGAATTAAGGCCTTGACAAGTAAATACACTCCCAGTTTTGTTTTTTCATTAGCACAGGTAGGTGATGGTGAACGTTTTGAGCTCGGCGTGTCAGCATTTTGAAAAACCCTAACTTAACTCTGGTGCTGTGTCACATATAGAAATTTTTTGATATTTGCAACCATAGTAAAACAAAGACTTATATTTTTGATATTTATTTTATATATTTAAATGCCATTTAACAAAGAAAAACCAATCAAAAAATGAGCTCACATGTCACCTCTGACACACGTGTCATAGGTTCGCCATCACTGGCATAGGTAGTCCTGATTGTTCTTCAGTTCATTTTGGAACGCATCTAGTGCTTATAAATGAAGAAAGATATTTCCCATTTAGAAATATAAATTTCTTTGCCAGTTATTTTTTTCAAACCCAGTAATCACATTAGAGTACAAACCCAGGTTTCTATTTCCAAATACAAGCTTATGATTTTTATACCAGAATTGTGGTTTCTATATTCTAAACAATAATTTTTGGTAAGGCATCTTTTTTTATTGCTTGGTTAAATAATTTACAATTCTCTGGGAAGTTTTGTTTTCCTTGGCTACAAATTATTATAAGAAAATGTCTGAACTGTTTCTTTCCCACTTTATTATAGTTCTGAATAAGACAACTACAAGACCTACTAGACCCAAACCCAATGGGATGCCCAAAGGAAATGAGATGGGAACAGGTAATGATCACAAATTTATTTCCTTTTGATGCTGCCAAAACTATAAGTGTTTTCATTCAATTTTTATAGTTTTGTTGAATTCTCACTTCAATTTCTTTTTTACTAGTTTTGGAAGTTCCTAGCTTAAGGAATTGAAAATTGTAATGCATTCCAAAATCAAAACATCCTATGTCTCTAAAAACATTAAAGGAGAATTTATTATTTTTTCTAAACACATGTCACTAAATTAGCTAACATACATGGGCTTGATTCTTCAAAAGATGCTGATTAAATATGAATTATTGAATTAAAATATCAAAATAGCTGTTTTCCTTCATTTCAAAACATGTCCTATACACAGGCTTGGTTTTTGAGACTGAAATCACTTGGTTTTCAACTTTATAATTTCACAGATACCATTATAAATTTTAAAAGACCTAAATCTGTTAGAAATCTTGACTATAATATTTAAATAATAAGGGGAATTGGCAGTTGATCGCCCTTGTTATAGTAATATTAATGTTTATAAATTATCCTGTTTAATTAAATGACATTAATTTAGTCACATCTATAGGAGTAGGCATCATACAGATAACTAAGACAATGATCTGATAAAAATTTAAACACCCAACTCACTAAGTGTGCAAATGATAGTTTTGATGACTTAATATGGTATGGCATCATTCCCTTGTAACATATATTTATTAATATGTATGATATATATATATTTGTTACTTCTCACCTGAGGATATGTTGTTTTCTCTATTGATTTTTAGAGAGAGTGTAAGGGGTGGGAGAGACAGAGAGAAACATTGATGTGAGGGAGACACAATGATTGGTTGCCTCCCACATGTGCCCCGACCAAGGTCAGGGATCAAGCCTGCAACCAAAGTACATGCCCTTGACCGTAATCAAACCTAAGACCCTTCAGTCTGCAGACCAAAGCTCTAACTACTGAACAAAACTGATTAGAGCAATATTTTTTAAATAGTACGAAATTTGTGATTATTTATGTAAAAAAGCATGAAAATGAGAATTTATTTAATGGTATATATTTAATCAACCCATGATGTTTCCTAAGGAGAAAGAGATGTAAATAATACCGGGAGATATTCAGTATAAAAATCATTTAGATTTGTTTTAGAATGTCTTTTTTGTATCAGGTTATTATAGTGTCTGAAGTTGTAGGAATTAACTTCCCTGCAAACCAAGTAATGAGACAACTGTTATAAGTTCCTGACTCATGAAAAGTAAGAGAGTTCTGATACTTATTTGGGCTTAGCTGCTCCTTTTATTCTTCGCAACAGTGAGATTAGGCAATGCATAGTTTCTCAGCTTGACATGAACAATCTGGCTCTACACAGAGCCAACTTCTTAATATTCAAAGTAATTCTCTCAAGTTTGTCTAAGTAAAAATAAAAGAAAGCACTTATGTCAACAAAGCAAATGAAAGAACAACTAGCTATGATCAAACTTGAAAGTCTTCAACCCTCAGTACAATCAAGCATTGATTCTCACTAGGAAAGTGCTCATTGTTCCTCAGAGGGGAAAACAGAGTCATTATATTTTAGTTTATCAACAATATAAACATTTTTGCAGAGCCCCTTATAACACAAACTGACATATATTACCCTCTTGTGTAGATGAACTCAACTATGTAGTAATAACTCGTGTAACTTAGCCTTACATAATCTCTTGTCAGGGCTTTTTCAATCTAATTAGCTGGTTGCTGGTAGAAAGGAGCTGGTGGGCATAGGCAGACAAAGCTGAGCTCACTCTTTCCCTTATCCTTGCTTCACCTCCATCCTCAACCAAATTGTGTTGCACCTATTCTGTGTTCTAATGTCTGTCTATTGGGATTTCCCTTTGGGAAAACACTTGCTACCCACCTGCAGGGAGTGAGATCAGCAGATAGCATCCAAGGTCAACCTCTAATATCTGGGTGGTACATTTCCATGTCAACTACAATAACACATAACAACCAAATGACATTTACCTCAGGAATACAAGGTTGGCTCAACATTCAAACAAATTAGTGTAATTTTCTTACATTAACAGAGCAAAGGAGAAAAATGATATGACCATCTCAATAAATACAAAAAACCACCATTAGACAAACTTCAAAATTTATTCATGATGAAAACTCTCAGAAAACTAGGACTTGAAAAAAATTTTCCTCACTGATAAAGGGCATATGTGAAAAATCTACAGTTAAAATTATACTTAATAGTGAAAGTCAAAATATTTTTCTCCTATCATCAAGAACACAAGCAAGGGCTTCTATTTTTATCATTTCTTTTGGAAATAGTCATGGCATATGTAGCCAATGCACTAAGTCAAGAAAAGAAGTATGCAGTATAAAAACTGGGGATCACAGATGACATTATTTATCATCTTATGAAAGGAAAGTTTAACAGCTCTCAAACTATTTGCCCTAGGGAATAAAAAATTGGTAAGAAAAAGAATGTTTAAAATATATTCTCTCCAGATTATAGGTTTACATGAGTTTACCTTTCTTTGATTCTGCATAGTTTTGATCTGATTTGTTTTCAGAAATGCAGGTATTCACATTAAGTTTATTTTCTTCTCTGACCCAGTCCCACTTTCTCATCCACATTCACTTCTAACATCCATTGAGTCTTAATGGAAGTTTTTCTGTGTCAACTTCTTCCTTATCCAACTTTCACATCTTGTCCAGAATATATATCTTTATTATCCATCTCACATACATTTTTCTATAGTTTTCCTTGCTGAAGTTTTCAATCCAGATACTCTATAATAAAACTAGTGGCCCAGTGAATGAAATGGGGGGCGGGTTGGAGAGTAGGAGGTTTTGTCAGCCCAGCCTGCAACCTCTCCAATCGGAGACCCCTTGGGGGATGTCTGACCGCCAGTTTAGGCCCAATCTGGGACTGCTGGCTTCTAACGGCTCACCTGCCTGCCTGCTTGATCACCCCTAACTGCCTCTGCCTTCCTGCCTGATCGCCCCTAGCTACCTCTGCCTTGGCCCCCACCACCATGTCTTTGTCCAGAAGGAAGTCAGACATCCAGAAGATGGCCAGTTGACCTGGTCTAATTAGCATATTACCCTTTTATTAGTATAGATACATTATATAAGATAGGATTTCTTAAATGGGGGGGGGGGGTAGGGAGGAAAGCCTTTTTCAGCAGAAGGAGATGCTCTTGGCAGACAAAAAAACATAATCCCTATATCTGGACTGATAGCCAGCCATATGCACTATGCTGCCAAACCGGTCATTAAAAAATTGAACCGCTTTCTTACACCTTACACCACACAGCTGCTGCCCTTAAAACCCCTCCTCAGCCCCCACCTTAGGTTCTGCCTTCGTAGTTCACCCAGATTAAGTTCTGATTGGTTGGTTTCTATGCCAGTCAGCATCAAAAGCTCCGCCTCCTAGGCAGCCATTGGCTCCTGGCACTTCATCCAGATTTGGTTCTGATTGGTCAGTTTCTATGCCAGTCAGTGTCTCTGGGCCTATCTCTGGGCCTGATCAAAGAGGCAGGGTTGATCAGCAGCCACCCCCCACCCCCCCCCAGAGGCCCAAAGAGAAACAGAGGTGCCGCTGCTGGCGAAGCCCAGAGAGAAAGAGAGAGGCAACGGCTGATCAACAACTGCCACAGAGGCTATGGATCAGACCCTGCCTCTCTCTCTGCAGGCCTCTCTCCGAGCCTGATCTGCAGCCCCCTTGGCAGTTAGTGCTGGGTTGTTGCACCAGCACCAGCTGCAATCAGTGCTGGGTCACCATGGCAACCCAGCACTGACTTCCAGTGTTCGGTGGAGCCTTGGTTGTTGAGGACATTATGGACCCTGGCTCTTTATATATATAGATAAAATCAGTTGATAAATGAAGTGTTTAAGGATTTATAGGACATATTCTTCATGGTCTCACATCTCTTAAGGTTGTGCCTTGGAAGACTAAAGAAGCAAGATTCTAAGGCCTCAAAACTATCAACCTTTGGCTATCTGGGCCTCTATAATAATTTCACTATGATTGCATAAACTGCAAGAATCTTTAGGCCACCTTGAGCCAAGTAAAATAAGTATCTTATTTTACTGTTACAGATATTTATCCTGCTTTAGGTACATTCCATACCTATATGCATAAATATTTTTCCACCTCCAAATTAGAAAGCAGCCTATAAGAGGTTGAAGTTTTAGGTAGGTCACCATCTCTGCATCTCTTTTTTCATGGCTTTTAGAGCTGTGCCTCAGCCTAACTTATGTGTTCTACATATTATAACCAACTTCAGAGATGCAACAAGCATGCATTAGATCTCATAAACTAGAGCCCCACAGGCCAAATTCAACTCACTGTTTACTTTTGTAAATAAAGAGTTATTGAAACATTGCCGAAACCGGTTTGGCTCAGTGGATAGAGCATCGGCCTGCGGACTGAAAGGTCCCAGGTTCGATTCTGGTCAAGGGGCACATCCCCAGTGGGAGATGTGCAGGAGGCAGCTGACCGATGTTTCTCTCTCATCGATGTTTCTAACTCTCCCTTCCTCTCTGTAAAAAATCAATAAAATATATTTTTTTAAAAAAAGAGTTATTGAAACATAGCTTGCTTTCTCTGGCATAATTGAATAGTTATGACAGAGACATATGGCCCACAAAGCTGACAATATTTACTATCTGACCCTTGACAAAATGTTTTCCAACCCTGTGCTAGACAGTCTCTCAACTTTCTCCCTACAGAAGAAAGCTGCTGAGTTGTGTAGCTATTATTTCATTCAACCAACATTTATTGAAGGCCCACTAAGTGCTAGGTGAAGTGTAATTTGGAAACCACCTTGGCACATGTAGTTTGGCAGATATGTTCCATACTTGAACCCCAGACTCCTTTTTCTACATCCTGATGAGGTGCACTTCACTGCCCCCAAATGGAGTTTGCTTGACAAGCAAAACCCAGATTCCTTTTTTGATTTGTGTATTTACATTTAAGGAATGTGTTTGGGCTGTGGCTAAATCTTCCAGTCTGCTGGCTCATCACCCCTGACCTTTTAGCTAGGTGCTAACATTTGGAGACAAGGATGAGGAGAGCAATTATCCATAAACACCATGCCTTTATGGTTATAAGAAATAGAGTCTCTGATACATTTGGAAATTGATGTCCAGTTTACGATGTTTCTTTGCAAGTTTTTTGTTACCATGGTTAAAAATACCTGAATCATTACTTTATTTCTGACAATAAATTCCTAAGAGGTGAATGGTGTAAATCCAGAAAATTTTGGAGAGCTCCCATTTGGCTATCGGGAGCTCATAGTGAATGAAACTACAGTGTTGGTGTTTCCGAACACAACCCTGCACTTTAGAAAATCTGTGGATTAATCCTGACTGAGGGAAAAGGAATTCAGATCACAGCCTGGGCCAAAGTGGCCGATGGTGTACCAGTTCCTGAGAATTCTTTCTCTGCAGTATCTCTCTTACTGGCCTCTTCCTTTCCCTCCCATTTCCTCTCAGCTCCCTTCGGCCTTTGCCTGCTCTCCTCTGATTCAGGGAAACAGAAGTTCACTGGTCTGCAGCCTCTGTGCTCACACTGCTGCCTAGCTCGTGTGCAAACCACCGCGAGGTGGAGGCAAGGCCAGAACTGGAGTGCAGTCTCTTGTCCTCAGTTCAGTGCTCTTTCCCTGAGCCCCATGGCTGCTTTCACAGGAATTTGCCAATGGTTTCATCTACCACTAGCTTTTATGTGTTTTACAGGCTAGCTGAAGCCCAGCTTATCAGCTGACACTTTATTGATTTGAGTATTTACATTTAAGAATTGTAACAATATGATGCTCTGTCTCTACCTTTACAGAAAGTGATAGGAAATGGCTGGTTTCTGCTGATTGCTCCCTTACTTAGAAAAGAAACCAGTTTATATCTGTGGTCTTATTCATAAAGTAATGCTGCAGAATTTTGGATTCTCTCCTAGCTCTCCAGTTCAGCAGCCCATGGCTGGTAGATATGGCATGTGCATGGTGGTATCTGCCATCAGCCTTGTATTACATTATCCTGAGTCCCACACACCAGTGGCATGGCTGGATGATACATGCAAGCCTGTCCTGACCAGGTGGCCCTCACACAGTGGTGGCCCTTTAAAACACCCTAAGACAGAGTATAGGACTCTAGGGCTGAAGTCACTTAGAGTCATTATAAGGAATAAGAGAAAACTGAAAAAGACAAGAGGAAGATAGTATTCTGTACTATCCCACTTAGGACTTAAGAGATCGGCTTAGGAGCCAGGCACATGTGGATCTGAATCCCACCACTTCTAGCTGTGAGTCCTTGGGCATCTGCTTAGCCTCCGCTTGCCTTGGGTTTCCTCCTCTGTGGGACCTGGGTGATATCTCCCACCCAGAAGGTTTAGAAGGATCAAATCAGGTAATGACCATGTAAAGTACTTGCACAGCATCAAATCAAAATACTTTGGTGGGTTTTTTTTTAAGGGTAGAAAATTTTGGAGAACGGCTCTGAGGAAGTATAGTGAAGGCACGCATGGCCTACTAGCCTTCCACAGTATATGATACATATTTTACCCTGAACAATAGTGGTAAATCAAATCTCACCGCGACAGGTCATCCCAGTGACACAGATGGAAGTGTTTTCCATTTCCCTATGCCTTGCCCAGAGCAACCACCCACATGAGTCATTTCCCTGGCCCATTACCGCTGACAGCGGGGCACAGGATGAAAACTAATGAGCCATTTGTTTCCACCGTGCCTGTAGGGTTAGCCATAAAATAGACATTGACCCCAGAAACATTTTTTTCCTATCGCAAATTAGCAATAATTAATTTATGACTCCATATAAGCTTTCACTAATATTTCATATATTATCTTTTATTCAAGCAGCAGAGAGTATGAATTATAATGTTTGGGTTCATAAATTAATGTTAATCATTATTATAATGTTAAAAATTATAATAATGCTAGTATATAATGTTAATAATTATAACATTAATACCAATTATGTTAATTTCTATAACAGTATGTTATAGAAGTTAATGGAAGAATATTGTAAGTTAATGGAAGAATATCATCTAATTTTTGGCAAGCAAAGTTGTATATTTAATTTATGGTTTTGGTTGTGTTTGTCATTGTTAATGTACTAACTAGTATGTTAATTAAATGTTCTTATTTTATAGTATGCGAATTATTATAGAATCCTGAGAGTATTCTATTCTTCTTTTAGGATGAATCGTTATATCTAATGTGATACTTACCTTTTAAATCTAAAAATATGTTTCTAGCCTTTCTTAGTGAAGACTGTCAGCCATGTCAGGGAAGATTATTTTATAATGTAAATGAAAAATAGCCCTGGCCTGTGTGGCTCAGTTGGTTGGGTGTCTTCCTGTGCACCCAAAAGGTTGCTGGTTTGATTCCAGGTCAAGGCATGCCCGGTTTGCAGGCTCGATCCCCAGTGGGGGCCATGCAATTGATGTTATGCTCTCACATCGATGTTTCTCTCTTCTCCCTTCCTCTCTCAATAAAAATCAATAAACTATTGATTTTTAAAATAAAATAATGATAATAATTTTAAAAGAATGAAACCTAAACTCTGGGCCTGGGTATTTAGATGAATGGCTGAGTAATAACCACCAGATTATGTTTGAGAAGTTTAGGAGTTCAAATATCAAACAAAGTAATTTTCAGATCAGTTTCTTTCAAATAGCAATTTGGAGTACTAGGCCTGCCCGGATTAATTTACAAATCTCAAAGGCACAGATCCAGTTTGTGGCCTACCCAGTCTGATAGCCAAGTCCTCTCCAGAAATATTTTAAAAGTCAATCCATTAAGTATAAACCCAAACACATTGGAATTTTAAGGGTTGTTTTTTTTTATGAGGATAGAATGGTTGGAGGAAATTTTTTCAAAACCACAAAATGTGTCCATGAATGTTGGAAAAGAATGGCCAATTACTGTAGATGAGATCCTCCTGGTGAGGCAGTACCACCCAGGAAGGCTGTGCAGACAACATGGAAAATCAAGACAGAAACCACAGCCCACAATCAAGCATTAACTCTTCAGAGAAAATATCACAACCAGTGAAGGTAGCCCTTTGAATGTCTTCTGTATGAAGATGGGAGAAGCCAATTAAAATGCCTGGCCCTAAATCACCATGTCCCTGCTCTGTAAAGAATGCATGTGATGCCCTAGCTGGTTTTGCTCAGTGGATAGAGCGTCAGCCTGCGGATCAAAAGGTCCAGGGTTCAATTCCAGTCAAGGGCACATACCTCGGTTACAGACTCCGCCCCGGCCCAGGCCCTGGTCAGAGCTCATGCTGGAGGCAACCAATAGATGTGTTTCTCTCACATCAATGTTTCTCCCTGTCTTTCCCTCTCTCTTTTCCACTCTCCCTAAAAAGCAATGGAAAAATATCCGTGGGCAAGGATCAACAAAAAAAATAAAATAAACATAAAGAATGCATATTACACTGAGACTCTACCAAGTTTCTGTTAATAAGAACATTTAACACATTTTGCTATATATTTATTTATTCCCTTTTCTTATCTCTGCTTATAGGGGTCAAGCAACCACCAAAGCCATCGAGTGCTGGTAGAAATGCATCCATGGACTCTACCCACTTCACAAAAAAACCAGGTAAGGGGTAGGATGCTGACTTCACCCTTACTCAGCTCTGTGCTGGACTGTGGGCAGTAACTGCAGTATCATTTGTTTCAGCAAAAGCATCAGTATCCTCAAGGCCTCTAGTGTAGTGGTTCTCAACCTTCTGGCCCTTTAAATACAGTTCCTCATGTTGTGACCCAACCATAACATTATTTTCGTTGCTACTTCATAACTGTAATGTTGCTACTGTTATGAATCGTAATGTAAATATCTGATATGCAGGATGGTCTTAGGCGACCCCTGTGAAAGGGTCGTTCGACCGCCAAAGGGGTCGCGACACACAGGTTGAGAACCACTGCTCTAGAGCATCAGAGCCTGCTAGCAGCACATGGGGGTTACTAGGAAAGCATTCAAGAGTCTTAGGTTTGAGAGAATGAAAATGCTCTGTGTACAAATTAAACATTAATAAGAATCTCTAATGGGTACCAATTGAATAATTACTTTGTATAATGTTCTGAAGGGCCATAGTGCACAAATGCGGGTGAGTCACGTGGGTTCCAGTCTTCCTCATGTTCAAGTTTTGCTCTTGTGTGATTTATTACAGTATCCTTTTGCCTGAAATGATTTATGTTTCTAATTTACGACTATGCTCTAAATTTGAGGCCCAAATTACGTAGCTGGTGACTTGGAAACTCTTGGCATTGAATAGAACTCTGTGCTTTTGGAAAGGATACTGTGAAACCTACTCTGGTGCATTAATGTTGGGGCTACAGATCTAAATTCTGTCAGCACTGCTCACTCCCCGCACACATGCACGCACATGCACACGTACGTTTTAGTCTCCTAAAAACTTAAAGACACAGGGCATTTTCCTGGATTGTCAGTTGTACATGAAGTTTAAAAAAATTATTTTTTTTTATTGATTTAAAGAGAGAGGGAGATAGAGATAGAAACATCAATGATGAGAGAGAATCATCAGTGGGCTGCCTCCTGCACACCCGCTACTGGGGATCAAGCCAGGCATGTTCCCTGATCAGGAATCGAACTGTGACTTCCTGGTTCAAGGTTCGATCACTAAGCCACACCGGGTTGTATATGAAGATTTTTAAACCAACATATATTATGCAAAGAAAGCTATAACACAGACTTAAAAGAAAATTGGGTTACGGGAGACTGCTCCAGGCACCCCTAGCCTTACCAGCCTTAGTGCAAAGTAGACACCTTGTGCAATTTTTAAATGTTGCTTCTTCCCTCCATCCTTTAGGTAAACCATTTACAAAAATGTATCCTTCCTCTGGGCTGGCAGCTTTGTACCAGGGCTTGTGGGTGGATGAGCAGAGTGGGTGTTAAACTTTGGGTCCCACTTACACACCTCTGCTCAGCTGCCCTTGTGCGCTGCACAACCACTGACAATGACCCTGCTCTCTATGGGTTTATAGCTTCTGCCATCAAGGCTCCTTGGTTGTAATGATTTAAGTTCTGAAAGTGTTCGTTTCATTCTAATTACACTAGAGGCCCGGTTCACAAATTCATGCATGGGTGGGGTCCAGCGGGCCCATCCTGGGGCCGATTGGCCAGGCAGGCCAGAAGGAGGGGCCATGGGGGGTTGGCCAGCTGGCCCTGCCCCCTGGTCAAACTCCCGGTGGAGGGGGAAATTTGCATATTAGCCTTTTATTATATAGGATAATGGAGTTTGGGGGTGAGGTGGATCACCCACTAACAGAGAAATTATATGCTTTAACAATTTAAAGCTAAAATGGTAAGAATTGCAGCCTCAAAATCAAAGGCAATTGTAGATAATGAAACTCAAAAACGCTATTGCTGAGACTATCTGGGAAACTAAAGGTGTTAAATTCTATACATTTATACAGCCTTTCAAGAGGCAGGTATACCTATACATGTTTATCTACAACTAGAGGATGCTTTCATATACTAATGTGCTTCTTCATTATTCCTGAATACATTACAATCATTACTTTAGAAAAATATCAGAAATTACTTAGCACTTTTCTATAGAATCTATGCCATTCAATTACTACGTATTAAATGTTATAATTTTTTAAAACCTGTGATTTTTATAGAGTGAATCCTTATGACAACTTTATCTGTAATATAATCTCTTAGCCATAATTCCAGGCACTCGCCGCCCACCCTTGCCACCTAGACCTACGCCCCCTCGAAGAAAACCATTGCCACCAAATAATGTCACTGGAAAGCCAGGAAGTGCAGGTATGTCAGTCATATGCATCCCTTCTCTCTCCATGACTTCAGTTGTACTAGCCAACCACAGCCCTCCTTGTATACTAGCCCAGGCAACGGACAAGCCCTTGGTGTGTGTGATGATGCCTGGGTTGGCGCTAAAGACCAGACGTAGCTTTGAGGACTCATATCCTGATTCTGGGTGGGTGGGTTGAAAGAAACCATCATTGAGCATCCCAGCCAATGTGTCTGCTTGGAGCCAAGACAGAAGCTGACTCAGGCCCTTCCAGGGATGGATTATTTGGGACAAGATGTTGAATGTTGCCAACCCACCAGGGGTAATAGAAAATGTGAGGCCCTGTCATCAGCTTATCATTCTATCTTCTGAAATGAAATCCCACACATCTTGTTGAAAGCTCCCCTGTCCACCAGCCTTTATGCTGGCTCCAGTATTAGGTAGCGGAGGAAAGATTAGGGACTAAAATATTAGCAGCTCTAGGCGGAGCAACAAGGCAGGGCTATAATTTAGAAGTTGAGCTGCCTCTCACCTCTATGCCTTCGCATCTGTTATCTCCTTCCCATGGAAGGGCCCCCCCTAGTCACCTGAATGCTCACACTTCACTCTTTTCTTAAAGAAGAGCCTTTTCTATCTCCCCAAAGTAGTCTTAGCATTGCTCCTCTGTTCTACTTGTCCTTGATACACACCTCTGTCAGAGCAAAGATCAAATTGGTTTATACCTGTTTGTTTACACACTTGTCTTCCCCTACTAGACCAGGAGTTCTGTGGGAACAGAGTCCTTGGCACATTTTCTCTGAATTCCCAGAACCAAATCTGGTGTGTGGCACCTAGAGGATATTTGATAAGTTCTCACTGACTGAATAAATGGATGAAATTAAGAATTAGTGAAAATTGACCTGGTTCAGAGCAAAGCTTTACCTCATTTCTCTTTGACTGGACTTGCCAGCAAATCACAGCATGTTCCCCATCTTTCCTTCCTCTCTCTGCTATCTCTACTTCCTAAATATTTTCTAGGTGGAAGCAGGATAAAAATGTTAGACGGCTGTGAATGATGAAAGGGTGAGGGGTTTACATGAAGGGGAATAGATGTCACTCTTTTCCCGGGACAAAAGTAGGGTGTGGTGATAGAGAAGCTTTTCTGATGTATCCCGTGCACAGTGGACTCCATCATTTCCCCATGAGCTGAAGGAGGGCTCAGCTCCTCCTGCACGTTTTTGGTGCCTTCCTGAGTCAAGGCCCAGAGGCATGGCTGCAGTGAGGACATCTGGTTCTCCTGTAACCTGGGGTCAAATTGGATGAGTCAGACTGAAAGTGATGCCTGAGTGTCCCCCACAGAAAACTTGGGAACCCACCTAAAGAAGAACCACAACCACATTCCATTTCTGAGATTAACTCTGGTTCCCCACCTCATCCCCCTCATACTATCCACCTCTCACTCAAAGGAAATGGCTCCATGGAGGAGCCAAACACAAGAAGAACAGTTGCACAATTTTGGCCTGATTACAGAAAGGGCATCCTGAATTCAGGAATCAGCAAAATGTTCTGGGTGCCTGCAAGCACCCTCTGAGACTACCGTGTAGATCCTCCATTTGCCCCCTACGTCCAGACCTGCCGAGGCCTCAGAGTCCCCCTCCCCTTGCCAAAGTACACGTGCGGGCTGCGTGCACCTTCTGTTGGTTTTTGCTCACCCTCTCTCTGTGGCCCGGTCCCACCATGACCAGGAGCATGAGTCTGCTGGGGTTGCTCCCGCAGCCCTTCTGAGGGACTCGCCCATGGTTTCATGCTGGGCCATGAAGTTTGGGTCAGTGCTGTGCCCTTGACTCTTTATTGTCTGAGAATGATCCCTTTTCCCAGGAGGACTGTAAAATCCAATCTAGCCCCCAACCTACCCTACTTAAACACCCAGACTGGACTAGACCTGGGGATGGACCTGGTTTGGGAGACCTATTAGTGTTTTTAGTGGAGGAGACACTGGATTATAGTGTTACTGTTCTGGCTACTAGGCCAGAATCACAGATGTTACCTTCAAAATCATTTTCTTCTTCTTCAGCTGTCTCCCATGCCTGCCAGTTAACCTCCCAATCAGGCTATGCCATCGTCTTGACATCCCTCATGTCTAATTCCTTCCATCCAGCCTCACTGCTTCTGCTGCAGTTCACCTCGCCTGCCCCTGCCTACACAACTGCTTTTGTCTCCTCTCTTCTCTCTCTGCCACCAGCCTTGCAGCCTAACTATTCATCCTCTTCTCATCTGATCTGGTTGTTTCCCTGTTGAAAGTCTTTCAGTGGTTCCTTGCTGCCTAAAAATAATGTGCAGATCCTGTTGTATTGTAAATCAGAAGACGCCTTAATCAATAAGCCTAATTTATTTGGAGTCCTGTTCATTTTCGCTAGTGCTAGCGGGCCCAGAGGAACTCTTGCTTCTCAAATTCTGGGGCCCAATATGGTGGAAGTCTTTTCAATTTATATGTTTTTCAGCTCTTTGTTTTCCAAATTTGGAATGAGACTTCCGGACCTTCTGAGAAAAAGTCCTGTTTGCTGGGACAGGGCTGTGAGACCATATCTCAAGGCCTGGCCTGGCGCCAGGACTGACAACTCTGTCTGGGGCATATTTTATGGCCTCTCTGGAGTGGGGAGTAGCCTTATTTCCCCTTTTATTTAAGCAAGCAAATGTTTACAGAAGCCCGAATAGCAGGGTTAAAATTTTGAACAGCTGTTTTCACCCAAGATGGAGGTTACTGTGCTTCAATCGGTGGAGCATGGCTCTTCAAGATCTGCCGCCACTGCCCTCCACCCTTGGCTCTCACGGCCGCCAGCCGCACTGTGGGCTCTCACCCTTCAAATTGAAAATACCAAATGGTTACATGCTTCCTTGACTTGGTTCTTCTTGCAACCTCTGATTCAAATACAGCTGATCACTTCCCACTGATCACTTCTTTATTGTCACATCCTCTGTGAAGGCATTTTTACCTCCCGCCCCTCCTCCACAAAACCCGTCACCTTTCCGATAGATATTACTGTTCCTTCCTCTTGCCCTCTCAGCGACTTTAGTTTAGCCCGTTCTTTCACGATATCGGTAATGATTCAGTATATTTGGCTCACACGTCTCTCTTGATCAAGGATACAAGGTCTTTTCTCTCCAAGCCTGGCATATAGTGCCAAGCTACATGGTAAGTGCCTAATAAATATGTATTGAATAAATAAATTGGAAACTGGGCAGTGCTCTTCTAAAGCCTGACCGCTTTGGCTCTACATTTCAGGGATCATTTCATCAGGCCTAGGAACTTCCCCCCCACCAAGGGCAACACTCAGGCCTACTGGACCCACCTCAGAGAGAACAGAGAGAGACAAAAAGGAACCAACAGCTCCCGCCTCAGGAGAAGATCTTGGTTAGTATGTCAGTCCCTTCCTCCTGGAGGCTTAGCTATAAAATACTCAAGGATTTCCAATTAGGGGGGAAAGAGTCTGAGCTCTGGATCATCTTTGTTACTTAATTTTATGATTAATATGACGCTTTTTAGTTTTAAAATATTACTTATTTTTAATGCTTTGGCATAGAATATGCTCCTTCCCTTCACAGACATAGAGGAAAGTACCTAAATTTTTTAGGAAAGTCTTCCTGAGAAGATATAGATTACCCAGTGCTTCTTACTAAGTCACATCATTATAATTGCATATGCCTTGTTTTATTAATAAGCATTAGCTACTTGGTTGTAATCTTTAAAGCTTCATTTATTAGACTGTAGAATGCCTAAAGTAGAACACAATTAAAGACCTTTTATTGCAGTTGATGTGAATAATAAAAAAATGAAAACCAAAGTTGTGAACAATTGACTAGGAGGCATGTGAAATATTTATAGTTTTTACTACTTTTGATTGTATCATGAAGCTTTATCTTTTGCCAAAATTGTTTATTATACTCCATTCTCAGGTGATATAACTGACTTTAGCTCAAGTCCAACAAGAGAAACTGATCCTCTTGGGAAGCCCAGATTCAAAGGTATGTCTGGCTTCAAATCTTAATTTTGACAAGGCTGTTCGGTAGGTGTAAAAGTCAGAAGTTGCTTTGCCACCCAACATCTTAGTGGCATACCATATAAGGATTTACTTCTCATATGTGTTCAAGTCAGCTTTATGATGATATTAACAAATGGGGGTCAGTTGTTCTAGGATGTTCTCGGTTGGGTGTTTCTGCTGCGCCTCTTGTGGGTTGGGGATGGGCTTCTCCTCATCTGTTCATTCTACAATGAGGGACTAACAGTGACCCAACAGTGACCCAAAAGAAGCCATTCTCAGGACTATACAAAGTCAAGAGAGGGGGAATCCAAATACACAATCACATTTTAAGCTCCTTCTTGTGTTATACTGCCAATATCTATTGGCGAAAGAAAGTCACATAGCAATGCTCAAATCAAGGATTGCGGAAGTATACTTCTTTCATGAGTATAGAGAATATTTTTGAACAGTAATTTTATCTAACACAGGAGAGATGTAATATGATATAGAGCCCAGTATTTCCTTTTGTAATATTTTGTTCTGAAGTATATAACTTGATACATTTTTACGTATGTATACCCCATGAAGACACCATCACAATCAAAATAATGAATACCACTTCCAAAAGTTTATAATCCCTCTCACTCCTCCTACCAAATCTATAGACCCTAGGTAACAGCAAATCTGCTATACTATAGGTTAGTATGCATTTTGTGGAATTTTATATCAATATCTGAACTCTTTTTTTATCTGGTTTCTTTCACTCAGCATAATTATTTATTCATGTTGCTGCTTTTATTAATATCCCTTTTTATTACTGCTTAGTATTATATTGTATCCTATATAATAAAACCCTAATATGCAAATTGACCAAATGGGGAATGACCAGTGGAACAAGCAATCACTATGATGTGCACTGACCCTCCTCCCACACACACACAAGAGAGAGGCGACCAGCGGTGGCAATTGGGGGGTGGGACTGGCCAGCGAATGGCGCCAGGACTCCAGCCAAGGTGCCAGCTGGGGCCCCCACAATAGCCCTACCCACCAATTGCCCCACAGATGGCCCTGATTGCCGGCCAGGCCTAAGGACCCTACCCTATATATTGGGAACAGTCTCTTAGATTTAAAAATTAAAACCTGGCAAGGCTACTCTAACACTGAAAAAAACAGGATGATGCAGCAATGACATGCATGGACTCTGGCTTGCACATTTTGTGGTCAGCCCTGATTCTGACACTTATAACTGTGTGATAAAGCCAATTACTTAACTTTTCTCTGCTTCAGTTTTTCCACCCATAAGATGGGGGAAAATGGTACTACTACTTCAGAAGGATCATGTTATGTACTACTTTTTATAATCAGGGCAAAAACATGTAGCTTCCCACACAACAGCAAGATGCCTTTCACCTGTATGAAAAGTATGGTCACTGGTGCATGCAGCATCCTGGATTGCGAGAGAGAGGTCCGACTGCTGGTTTAGGCCCGACATCCCCTGAGGGGTCCAGATTGCAAGAGGACACAGGCCGGGCTGAGGGACCCCCTCCCATGAACAAATTTAGTGCACCGGGCCTCTAGTAGACATATAATAATTTAATTAATCCTGTTCATGGCATTTGGGTTGTCTCTAATTTTTTTTATATTACCTTTAAAGCTGCTATGACCATTCATAAGTTTGTGTAGACATACGTTTTCATTTATTTTGGACAAATTCCTATAAGAGGAATGGCTAGATTATATGTACCTGTATATTTAAAATTTTAAGAAACGGCCAAACAGTTTGCCAAGTAGTTGTATTATTTTACCCTCCTGTCAGCAGTATATGAAAGTTCCAGTTTCCCTAGGTCTTTGCCAACATTTGGTGTGGTCAGTCTTTCATTTCAGCCATATTAATGGTGTATAGTAGTATCTGATGGTGATTTCACTTTGCATACCCCTGATGACTAAGGATGACAAACATCTTTTCATGTCCTTATCTTCCATCTGCACATCTTTATTGGTGTGTCTGCTCAAAATGTCTGTCCATTTTTTTCTTATGGAGTTGCTTATTTTATTAGCATTGAGTTTTGGGAATCTTTATATTTTCTGGGTAGGAGATATTTGTCTGATACATGCTTTGCAATATTTTCTCCCAACATGTGGCTTCTCTTTTAATTTTAATGAAGCTTGCTTTATAAATTTGTTTTTTTATAGATTGTATTTTTGGTATTATCTTTGAGAAATCATGAACTAATCAGAGGTCATAACGACCTCCTCTGTTCACTTCCAGTTTTCTAGTTTTACATTTAGGTTCTATGACCATATTGAATCAAATTTTGTATGTGACACAAGCTAATTTTCTTGCTTATGGATACCTAATTTTTCTGGCATCATTTGTTAGAAAAAGAACTATTCTTTCTCCACTGAATTTTATAGTATATTTGTCAAAAATCAATTGTATATACACTGAGTGGCCAGATTATTATGACCACTTGACATTTGTAGGCAAATTAGCTATAATTTCATGCTGAAGTTGCTGGAGGGCCAGACCATTATAAATAGGGAAGCAGGTTGTTTACCACAACAGTAGAAATGATTTTTTTCTGAAGATATGGGTAAACAATGTATTTAACAGCTTTGAACGTGGGGTATATTTGAACGTGCATGGCCAGATTATTATGACCACCCCATCAGTACTTCATTGGGCCACCTTTTGCCTTCAATACTGCGACAATTCTTCTTGGCATTGACTCCACGAGATGTTGAAAGGTGATGCGAGGAATCTGACACCATGCCTGATGAATAGCACTGTCCAGTTCTATGAGATTTAATGGTTGTGGAACCAGCTGCCTGGTGGCTTTTTTTAACTTCGTCCCACAAATGCTCAATTCGATTGAGATCTGGTGATTGTGGGGGCCACCTAAGCAAGGTAAATTCTCCCTCATGTTCTTGAAACCACTCCTGCACAATATGAGCACTGTGGCATGGTGCATTGTCTTGTTGGAAGAAGCCATCTTCATTGGGATACGCCATCAACATGATAGGATGAACTTGATCAGCAACCATACTTAGGTATGTTGTGCTATTCAGACACTGTTCCATACAAATTAAAGGGCCCAAATCATGCCAGGAAAACATGCCCCAAACCGTAACACTGCCCCCACCAGCTTGAAGGGTTGTACTCATGCATGTGGGGTGCATGCTTTCATGCTGTTTCCGCCAAATTCTCACTCTGCCATCTGCATGATGCAACTGGAAACGTGATTCATTGGACCACATGACTTTTTTCCAGTGCTCGACTGTCCAATCCTTGTGTTCCTGTGCAAATTGGAGACGTTTTATCTTGGTAACTGCAGACAGCAAAGGTGTTCAAACAGGCCTTTGGCTTCCATATCCCATAATATGCAGTGTACAGCTAATTTGCCTACAAACATCAGGTGGTCATAATAATCTGGCCACTCAGTGTATATATGGAACTATTTTGGAGTTCTCCATTTTATTCCAGTGATCTACTTACCTTTACACCAATTCCACAATGTCTGGATTCCTGTGGGTTTATAATAAGTGCTGCAATCAGGTTGCATTCGTTCTCTAATGTTGTTCTTACTTTTCAAAGTTGTGCTGGTTATCCTGGGACCTTTGGGTTTCTATCTGATTTTAGAAACGGGCTGGTGTTATTCAGTGGTTACAGTGTCAGCCCAAGCACCAAAGATTATCCGGTTCCATTCCCAGTCGAGGGCATGTGCATGGGTTGCAGGTTCAAATCCCTAGCCCTGGTCAGTGCTCATGTGGAAGGCAACCAAACAATGTGTCTCTTTCACATTGATCTTTTTCTTTCTCTCTCTTCCTCTCTCCATCTCTCTCCATCTCCCTTCCTCCCTTCCTCCCTTCCACTCTCTCTAAGAAAAGGCAACGGAAAAAATACCCTCTGGTGAGAATTTTTTTAAAAATAGCCTGCTTAAGTTTCTGTTAGAATTGAGAAAAATTGACAGCTGTACAATATTAACTCTTCCTGCCTATGAACATGGTATATTTCAATTACTTAGGTCTTCTTCAGTTTCTCTCACCAATGTTTTATAGTTTTCTTTTTTAAAAAAAATATACTTTTATTTATCCCAGAGAGGGAGAGGGAGAGGGAGATAGAAACATCAATGATGAGAGATAATCATCAATCTGCTGCCTCCTATACATCCAACACTGGAGATTGAGCTCGCAACTTGGGCATGTGCCCTGACTAGGAATCAAACCCTGACTTTGTGGCTCATAGGTCAACACTCAACCACTGAGCCATGCCAGCCAACCTGTTTTATAGTTTTCAGTGTATAGAAAATCATAAAAGTATTTGTTTTTATTTCTAATATATAAAAACACAATTGATATTTGTGCAGTGATCTTGTATCCTGCAGCCTTGCAAAAACTCACTTAGTCAAGATTTTGTAAATACATTGGATTTTTACATACAGAATCATATTATCTGAGAGTAAAGTTTTACTTCTTCCTCTCCATCTTGGGTGGCTTTTCTCTTGCCTTATTGTACAGGCTGAAGCCTCAGTAAAAATATTGAATAAAAATAGTGAGAATGGACATCTTTTTCTTGTTCCTAATCTTATGGGGAAAACATTCGGTCTCTCACCATTAGGTATCATGTTACCTGTAGAGTTTTCATAGATGCCCTTTATTGGGTTGAGAACATCCCCTTCTACTCCTACTTTGGTGTGAAATTGATGTGGGTCTCTTTTATATCTTTCATGTCTTAACTTTTGACCATATGGATTATCCTATACTAGAGGCCCAATGCACGAAATTCGTACAAGAGTAGGCCTTCCTTCCCCCAGCTCAGCACCCAGGACCTGGGCTTCCCTCTGGAACCCAGGACCCAGCTTCCCTCTGGCACCCAGGACCTGGGCTTCCCTCACAGCCCCGGCTTCGTCTGGAAGGACGTCCAGTCTAATTAGACTGACCAGCAGAACTATCAGTCGCTATGACACACACTGACCACCAGGGGGCAGACGCTCAATGCAGGAGCTGCCCTCAGGCCCCAGGCCAGCCAAGGTGGGTCTCCCCAATTGCCCCACCAGTCACCCTGCAGAGGGAGACAACCAGCGGTGGGGGGCAGGACTGGCAAGTTGGTGGCACCAGGGCGACCAAGGTGGGTGCCAGTGGGGACCCACCAATTGCCCCGCCAGTGCTCCCACAGATTGGCCCTGACCACTGGCCTGGCTAGGGACCTTACCCGTGCGTGAATTTTGTGCATGGGGCCTCTAGTAGTAGTAATAACTGCTTTGTTGTTTTTGTCTAATGATTCTAACACCTATGCAAGTTCTAGGTTGGTTTTAAATGATTAATTTTTCTCCTCCTTATGGGAAATATTTTCCTGTTAATTTCATCTTGTTGGGTTCTGAATGTTTTTATATTTAAAACATTTTTTAATTTTGTTCTAGGTGCAGGCAAATTATTTGAAACCACTTGACCTTTTTGAGTCTGGCTTTTCATATTTATTAGGTGGAATCAGAATTGTGTTTAGCATAGGGCTCATTATTGCCCACGACTGAGGCAAGACCTTTTGAGTATTCTTTCCCATGCCACATAAATTATGAGGTTTAAACCATGCTCGGGGGGGGGGGGGGGGGAATTACTTTTGGATATTAGTACACACTAAACTATCTAGAAAAGTAAATTTACAAACATCCATATCATATATCCTAGAGACAGGATTTTCACACTTCTGAACCATCCACATCACTGCTTCCATCTAGCTGCTCTTAATGTGAGACCAAATGTCCTCAAGCAATTATATTTATTAGTTCGCCTTCCCCCAACTTTACTCAAAATATGCTAAAGGTCAGAGTCCTCTCTCTCTCTCTAGGGCCTCATGTGCGATATATTCAGAAGCCTGACAACAGGCCCTGCTCCATCACCGACTCCATCAAACGGTTTCCCAAAGAGGAGCCCCCAGAGGGGAACGCCACCAGCCCGCCGCAGAACCCACCCTCCAACCTCACTGTGGTCACCGTGGAAGGATGCCCCTCATTTGTCATCTTGGACTGGGAAAAGCCACCCAATGACACTGTCACTGGTAAGAGCCTGGCATAGGACTGTTACTAATGTGCTGCACTGGGACTGAGGAACCCTGAGTCAAACTATAGCCTGTGGGTCCTCGCTCAGGAGCAGCGAGTTCTAGCAGAGTTCTGCTGTCCCTGTGGCACATTCCTGATGAAAGTGTCATGTGATGGGGAGAGATCATCTTTGTCCCGGTTATGGGCTCCCTGTTCATCATCCTTAGCTGATCTAAGTTGCATCCTTTCATCTCCTCTTAGAATGTTTTCATAATGGGGAGATATATCTAGTTTTTTCATTACCCAGAAAATTACAGATAATATATGAGAAGTTGCCACTGCTGATAATATTTAAATCAGTTTTCCTTTCACCAACCCAGTTTCTAGATGAACCTAGAACTTCCAAGTAGGCTAAAATGTTATTTCAATCATTTTAGGGTACATGTTTTAAAAATTCTATTCCTGGTCAATTTTCTGCTTATTTCCTGAAATTTTTATTCTGCTATCCACCCACCCATTTCCTTTTAAAATTACTGTGAAAATTAAAAATCCTGAGTCATTCTTTGAACTTGTTAGATGGGAATTTAATTCTCCATAATGAACAGAATAATCCAACTAGAGAGGAAGGGGAAAGATCAACGACCTAAATCAGTTTGAGAATACAGCCTGAGTATGCAAGATTCCTGCTGCCCATGTCCCTGTTCGGGCGCCTGGAGCGGGTGGCAGGCCACGGAGGAGCCCACTAAGAAGCTGTCAGCAGGAGTAGAGATCCCTACACAGAGGGGTTGGGGAGTGCAAATTTCAGGCTCTGCCAAAAAAGTTTTCTACGAATAAAGAAGAAAACAGCAGGTATATCTCCTCAGACAAACTGTCTGGGAAACTCCAGTGTACGCAGCCTGTCTTTACTTAGCTGGCTTTTTTAAAAACCATATTTTGTAAATTTTCTTTCTCATGTAAAGCTTACCTTTGTATTGAGAGCAAACCAGTCACTGCTGGTGGCTCCTGGGGACTTGCCTAGTCCTGCTTCTTTACTTGGGACTGTGCCCATAGGTGCTAAGTCAGTATCTAAATCAGCATCAAAAAATCAATCAATCCCTAAGTATTGATTATCTACCTGTATTAAAAAGTTCAAAACTTTCAATCCAAATACTGTGCTAATAAGAAGTTCCTGTGGTAGTCTGAGGTTTAATTCTCACAAAACCAAATTATCTATAAAATTTCATTTGGCTTAAAGATGTGGGACATCAAGTTGGAATTGGTTAGTCTACTAGGTCTAATAATCTAATAGAGCAATTTCAACCAATATGCCACGACAATTTTTGAAACATACAATACCTGACTATTTAGTCTGTAGCACTGACCTCTTTTCCCTTAGACTGTCAAATTAAAAAATGACAACAGCTAACACAACAGCCATCCAGTGTGAACCATAAATACATAGGTCATATAAGAGTTTCATCTTATTGGTCACATTGCACAATAAGAGTAGGTAATTACCATTTTTTTAATCAATCAAAATTGTACCTGTTTTTGTCAGATTGGCAAAAAATATATTTTTAGTGTGCTGCAGAATTTTAGTAATTAGTTTATGTGTCATGTGATGAAAAATGTCAAAAATCACTGACCTAATACATGTAATAACATATTCACTTGTGTATGTCAATTATATCTGATTATTTTTAAGAGAATGATTTTTCTTTCTGGTTTATTATGTAACATTTTTAAAAAATCACATAAGCTTGTAATCTCAAAGTATTCTAACCAATTACTTTTGGAACACTGTTACCAAATGTTAATGGACTGATTGAGATCTTTCATAAGATGACAGACTTAAATAACAGTTTTCATGGATAAGGACCACATCTCATTAGCTATGTTTTCTACATTAAAATAATTCTATATTTAACTATTACTCATCTGGCCTGTATTTAAATGTTGTACAGACAATATATCCTAATGGTCTGTTCTATTTTTTTCATTTCTGTTTATTTTTAAATTGTTAATTTAAATGTAATCTTGCTTTCAAATAAACCAGCAGCCCAGATATTATAGAAATTAATTCTCATATCACTGAAAATGATATGAAAGGAAAAGATTGAGAAAAAGGACAGAAAGAGAGTGAAACATATTCTTTATTACATGCGTTGGCTTGGTCTATCTCTCTCCATAAATCTTTCTTCTAATTGATAGTCATGTACATATTCACCTCTAGTAAACACATTAAAATTCAGTTGCTTCTACATGTCCCTTCTACACTAATGTAGAAATAGGTGACCTAAGAAATTGGCCACACACTGCTGGGGTCCTTGGCTACTTAAAGTTAAGTTGGTTATAAGGTGTTGCTTTATGATATGCCAAGAGTGTGCTGACATCTCTTCAAATCCCAGACCAGCTGTGTTCTAAATATGGAACTTGGGTATATAGTTAGCCTCTCTGAACTTTAGCTTCCTTATTTGTAATGATACTCATCATTATCAGTTTATCCTGAGGATAAAATTAAACAGAATGAATGCCCAGCATAAGTCAGCAGCTGTTAAATTAATGTTTGTCAGTGGTCGAAGTAGTAGGACAGGGAGAAATAGTATCACCATTACTATTTTCATGCTCTGTTGACTGGAGTGGTGTTCCCAAACTTTACAATAAATAACTTTTTCTATTAAGTGAAATTTTTCATAATAAGACAATAAAACCATTTGAAGGGTGGGGGAGACCAATTATTCAGTGTTAGTTCTTTACAGATTTCCTTATGTCTTTACTGATAATGAAATTATAAACAAAATCCCATATTTGAAACAAAGAAATATGGGCATAAATTTAAGAGACTGTTTTTACCTTCGGAAATATACTCAGAGTGTATTTATAAATATTTATTCCAAAATCAACATTCCATTTTTATAATGTTGGTGAATTTATTAAAAGCTATTATCACCTAAAACATTAAAAATAAAAGATATATTTACAAAGCCCAAAAATATACATTCACAACGCTAGAATTCTGAGAGTTCTAAACACCTATTTAATTATGAAGGTAAGTCCTAGGTTCATTTTGAAAACTACAGTCTTTTAGGACTAAAATAGTATTAAATCACTAGTGGCCCAGTGCACGAATTCGTGCACATTGAAAGGAAATTAATTAGAAGAAATATTTTAATATTGCAATTCGTCCTTTCTCTATAATAGAAGTGTCAGAGATGAAAGAAAATTAGTAAAATGTATATGAAAATAATATATAAATTGATTAATAAATAAACAATAACATGATATAACAACAGCAAAGACATGATATAAAAAGAAAAACATGATATAAAAACAACATTGAAAAAACAATGACTGATAAATTGATTAAACTTATTCTAACACTGAGGCCAGTGTCAAATGGGGACAAATCAATTCTTGGAATCAGAACAACCTCTCTTCTGCAGATCCTATTAATACTTAAGCTTTGACTATGTTAGGTCTCAATCTTTTTATAATAAATCTAGTACCATTACAAAGACCCCATTTACTATTAGGATTTCTCAGTAGCATGGTGATTGTACCTACTTTCAATTCTAATTTATGACACAGCATTCCCAAAGGAGTAATACTTTTAAGAAATTCAATGAGAAAATTTTCCTTTTCAGCATCATCCAGTGAATCTAGTATTATTGTCGATTACACTGTTGTCTCTGAGTCTTAATGTAATATTCATTCCCCAGCCTTTTTCACCATGTGGGAAAAGAATAGGATATGTCATTGCATCTAATGTAGGAAACAGAATACTGATTTGTTTCATTTTAGTGGCATTTGTATTATTGGGATCTGGTTTACAATGAATGAGCAAGTCCATTTCAAAAGGAGGTCCTCCATTTCTGAATATGTTGGCAACTTCAGATACACAGGGATAATTATATCTACTCAGATAACTACTACGATCATATTTAATTGCCATTGTTACTTCTGTGCGACGCTGCTTTCTTTCAACTTCAGAATGTCAACAAAAACAACCAAATTCACAATCACAATGGCAGATTGAAACACATGCATGCCATTGGCACCAGTGAGAGCTTTATATGTATCGAGCATGCACAAGTCAGCTTAGCCTTTTATAGATAGAGAATAAACTTGCTTAATTAGACCTGCTTTCTGATTTAGCTAAACTTTTTCCAGCCCAGTAAAGCACCCCAACTTCTCTTTCAGGTAATTGTCAGCAACACAGCAGTCAATATCAACACGAAGCACATTATTATTATGCTTCACGCAGGGAGAACAAAGGGTAAACTGTTTAACTGCAGCAGTGTTTGATTATATTCTGCGCAGTGAGAAAACCTGAGGTCTTTTCAAGGTCCACTATTTCTTACTTCTTTTCAGTAGGGTCAAGTTTATAAACTTTCTAAATCTCTGTTTTCCAGCTAATGGAAAGAAAATAGGATTCCACCGAGTCTCCTATCTACCTACTCCAGGACTTCTGTGAGGATCAAATGAGATGAGGCACGGGAAAACACTTCACAGACATTTGGTTACAGTGTAAAGTGTTTCCACCTGAGGCTAGTCATCGCTAGGGAGAGGAAGCCAGGTGTTGCTACTTGATGTCATTACCCAGATGGTTGGACACTTAGCATATTAGCCTTTTATATAGATCCGTGGTTCTCAACCTTGGCTGCACATTAGAATCACCTGGGTATCTTTTTAAAATCCTGATTTCTGGGCCTCATCCTCCGGAAATTCTGTTTCTTTGTTACTAATGTTGTGGCCTCACCCCATAACAAAGAAACAGAATTTCCAGAGGATTCTAATGTGCAGCCAAGGTTGAGAACCACTGATATAGATAGATCCTTTAAGTTTGAAATCAAAAGAAGATTAGAGAAGATATAAAATAAGAGTTTCAGGTTTGAAGGGCTGGGGTAATATTAAAAAGAGTAACATATAGTTGATGAATGTTCCAAACCAAAGATGTTTTTTTGAAGGTAGTAGCTTTTATGCATAACCAATTGGAATGTCGCATAAATTGTTCTTTTGATAACTAAATTATACTTCAATCTTTTCGAATGGAATCTTTTAAATTTTTGTGACCCTATTTTCAAAACACAACTAATACGGGATAATAAAAGCAAGCAACAATAATAGGTACCACGTGTTGAGCAAATAAGCATTGGCTATATATGTTCCTAATTTAATCCCACAAGCAACACCCTGAAGAGACATTATTGACATTTAACAGATGGTAAAACTGGGACTAAGATCAAGGCAAGCGGCTTGGTCTATCTCTCTCCATCAAGCCACACAGTTTCCATTTTTAAAAAATAAAGTTTACCCCCATTTAATTATTAGTACATGTTTCTAGTAAATATCCCTCCACAGCTGAGGAAAGATATAAAAAGGACATTTTGAATTCAGGGTCCAGACACAGTGGCGTTGCCTTCCAGTTCATTATTGAGCTTTTGGAAAGACAGCCAAAAGAAATTATTCATAAAGAGTCATGTTCCTTTTTAGAATTTTGAAATACAGCATGAAAATCCTTCCCAAATGAAAGTTGGTGATTATAAGCCTCCTGAGTTACTTCATGGTTTCCTACCTTCGGTCTCAGTGCCAATACAGGAACCCTCAGGAACTCGCCAGCTCCTTCGCAGCCTCCCGCTTTCCCCGACACCCACCACTTGTGTATTTCTTCATACCCATGGAGCTGATTTTGAGTGGGGTTTTGTTTTTTTGTTTTTTGTTGGATATTTTTAAATCCTCTGTATGATCTTGTCACTGTGTTATAAAGCCAACCAAGAGCAGGGAAAGCCATTTAACAAATTTGTAAATTATATTTCAGATCCTGAAACTCTCTCTTTTCATTAGCCCTGCAAGTTCATAGGAATATGCCTTGAAGTAAAGTTTATGCAGATCTCTGTTCAGAATTTAAGGAATAGCTTCTTTTTATAAATACAAAGTTAATTGTCAAAGGGGCATATATAAGCAGTATGTACAAAACTTAATAACTTATATAAGATGTAGGTGCAAAAATCCCATCTATATATATAAAAGCCTAAGCAACCATTATGACCAAACGACCAGAAAGACTGGAATGACCAGTTGCTATAACACGCACTGGCCACCAGGGGGCAGATGATCAATGCAGGAGCTGCCCTCTGGTGTCATTGCACTCCCACAGCTGGAGCACCACTCAGCTGACCAACCCATCCCAGTGGCCCACCAGCCCTGAGGCAACCACTCGCTCCCTCAGTAGTCCTGCAGGTCCAATCTCCAGAGAACAGGCCAGGCACCAATGGACCAGAGCCTCCAGCACGATCCCAACAGTGCCACCGGCCTCCTGGAAGTCAGTCTTGGGCACCGTGGCTGCTTCCCCTTCCTAGACTCTCCGCAAGGAAGCAAGGATATAAAAGCCACCACCAGGTGGCTCCCAACAGCCGGTGTAAACATCAGCGGGACCTGGGCTGGCAAGGGCGTCCCACCACTCACCCAGAGAGCCGATCGCATCCCAGCCTTCCCCACGCCCCTCAGGACCCCACCCATGCACCAATTCGTGCACCGGGCCGCTAGTAATTCTATAAATCAGAATAATGAAGGGTAGGAAAGTATAGTTCATTGTGTGGTTAGCTGTCATTTGCTGCTATGGTTTGAGACCCAGATGAGTTTTTTGCAGCAGCGCCATGTAGTCAGTGGCCTTTTCCCCATCGAGTAGGAAACAGGGCTCCTACCCACACACCCCTCAGCAGTGCTCTCCAATGGCAGGCTGACTTGCCTCCCAAAATTATAGGTACCAGTTTCCAAAGCTACCCTAGGAGTGTCATTGACCTTCACGGTTGCCAGGCCTTCCCTGCTCTGCTAAAGGGAAAGCAGAAGTGGTCTATGAGCAACTCCCCAAATGCACCTTTGTCATCTGCTGACTATCCCAATCTGGAAATCGCAAATATATAAGAATTATGCGTAATATATACATAATGTGTAATTTCAACATGTAATGTATAAGATCAGAGCTGCAGTCTGAGTTGCTTATTTTTATGAGAGTGACTTTATTATGCTGTTAGCATGTAGAACATTTAATTCAGTCAGAAAATGAAGATGAGTATCTGTTGGCTTTTTCGCTTTTCAGAATATGAAGTTATATCCAGAGAAAATGGGTCATTCAGTGGGAAGAACAAGTCCATTCAAATTACAAATCAAACCTTCTCCACCGTAGAAAATCTAAAGCCAAACACAAGGTAAGCAAGCCACCAGTGCTATTACAGGTGAATTCTGAGAGTGCAAAGTCAGAATGAAGGAATGGAGTGACATCATCCCTCTGTGTCCTCAGGGAGGGTCTAATTTGCATTTCATTCTTTGGCTTTCACAGCACTTGAAACCTCTAAAGTCATATTTTGCAAATATGCAAGTTACTGGTGGGGATACAAGAGCTAACAGGATGGTCTTGTAAGTTAACATATAGCTGGGAACACTGAAAAATAGAAGTTCATTAGTACCAGATGTTGATATTAAATACCAAAATTTAGAGAAGAAAGTCTGTGGACCAGTGACACCTGGAGTGTGCATGAGGTAAACTACATTTGAAGTACAGAAGAACTTAGCTGGCATGATGGAAAGGGGAGGGCAAGGAAATAAAAGCCATGAGGTAGATGCAAGGGTCAGTGTGTAATAGTTAATGCTTAAGGTAACTAGAGATGAGTCCCAGATATAGCAAACCTTTGCTTTCGGGTCTTTTTATAATAGACAAATGAGAACAGATTTTTGAAAAAAAGATATAAATAATATTAGCATCATTATATAATAAAAAACTTTTCTTGTTATCCCTCATTGCACATTGACACCAGGTTGTTTATATTGCTACTAGAGACCCGGTGCATGAAAATTCATGCACTGGAGGGGGTCCCTCAGCCTGGCCTCCCCCCTCTCACAGTCCAGGAGCCCTCAGGGGTGGGAGGTGACCCGGCGATTGGGGGAAGGCGACACCCCATCACACCTCTGCTGCTGCCACTGCCGGCAGCACAAGCCTCAGCCGGCCCTGGTTACCTGAGCCTTGGGCGGCCCTGGGCGGCTGGGCAGCACAATCCAAGTCTCGCCTGTGCCTTGTACTGGCCCTGGGCAGCTGGGGGGCTGAGGGGACTGGGGGACTCTGGAGGCAGGCACGCGGTGCTGCCCTGGCAGGGCTGAGGGGACTGGGTGCCACCATCTTGTGGCTGTGGGCACCTCCATCTTTGAGAGCATGGAAGCCAATTAGCATATTCCCTCCTTATTGGCTGTGGGTGCTGCCATCTTTGAGGGCAGGGCCGTCAGCATATTCCCTCTTTATTGGCTGTGGGTGCTGTTATCTTTGAGGGCGGGGCAGCCAATTAGCATATTCCATCTTTATTAGATAGGATGTAGTTTTGTGATTCTTTTATAAATCTAAATTACACAATATTTTGTCAGTTTACTTTATTATTACAAGAAATATAAAGGCCTTAAGACATTTCTAGAAATGCAGTAGGGTTTTTTTGTTTGTTTGTTTAGTTTGTTTTTTAATATATTTTTATTGATTTCAGAGAGAGGAAGGGAGAGGGAGAGAGAGACAGAAACATCAAGTACCAGAGAGAATCATGGATCGGCTGCCTCCTGGACGCCCCACTCCGGGGATTGAACCCAAAACCCGGGAATGTGCCCTGACTGGGAATCGAACTGTGACCTCCTGGTTCACAGGTCGATGCTCAACCACTGAGCCACGCCAGCTGGGCTGCAGCAAGGCTTTTTATGTTTTGTTTTACATGGCTGAATCGCCAGATTTAAGCATGTCAAACAAATCAAAAATCAAGGAGATTCTTAAATGGATACAGCCAAGCATTTTCTTAACAAAGTCAATATGCTAAATGGTCCTGGACTGAATTTTACTCTCTGTGGGAAATCAATCTCTCCTCAGACTCCAAAACACTATTCGGTAAATTGTCTGTGCTTCCTGTTTAAAAAGAAAAACAACTGGCATCTTGAGTTATAGTCCACTAAGGAACATAGAAGAATTTTCAGAGGGACACAATCGGGAATTTTTTCAGAGAGAATATTGCATAGCTCAGTGAAGTTCCTCAGTGTTGAAAAAGATCAGCATAGATGAGGGCTGAAACTCCAGCATCGGAGACTTTGTTCATAAATTTCACCTCCTGTATCTTTCACTGTCATCAATGGATTGGATAGAATTGGATATTGACTGTGACAACGCAAAAGAGCCCGTTTTGGCTCTGTCAGCAGGAAGCATCTATTTCCTTATAGATGGCTGCTGTATATTAAACTCTAGTCCAATTCTGCAAAAATAACACTTTTCCACAAGCTTTTTTTTCAAACTTTCTATTTTGAGCTATAATATGGAAAATTTTGCAACTGCTGATGTTCTTAAAGGATTTAAGTTAGCCAAAATAAGCATATATTTTAGTAATGATGATCTTGGTTCTGTTTTCTTAACAAGATTAACAGAGACAGAGCCTTTTTTACTATAATACATTTTAAAGAAAAAGTAAAAAAAGAAAACTCATTTAAATTGCACTTTATAATAGTGGACTTGGGTTTACAGGACTTGGAAAGAATATCTCTTAAGTCTCCTGCTTTTTATACCATTTAATAAAAGGTGGGCTGTGTAGTATACAGGAAATACATTGAAAAGCATCCAATTTCTAAATGTTCATTGTGTTCCTTTTATGAATCAAGCTGTCCTCAGAACTCACAGTGCACCTATTAGCTATAATCAGAAGTAGGACAGTTATTCCAGTGACATTTTCTTTTTTTTTTTAATTCTTTTTAATCCTAATCTGAAGATATTTTTTCCATTGCCTTTTTTTTTTTTTTTAAGAGAGAGTGGAAGGGAGGAAGGGAGGGAGAGAGAGAGAAACATCAATGTGTGAGAGACACACCCATTGATTGCCTCTCACACAAGCTCCGACTGGGGCGGGAGATCAAGCCTGCAACCCAGGTATGTGCCCTTGAATAGGAATTGAAGCCGAGACCCTTCGGTACATGGGCTGACGCTCAAACCACTGAGCACACCAGCCAGGGCTCTAGTGACATGTTCCATGTGGTTTGTTTGTTAAGGGTTTGTGTTTTCATTTATTAAGCGCCAACCATATCTCAGTGGTGTGCTTAGTGTTGTGACTACAAATCAATAAACATGGTGCCTGCTCTTGAGAAGCTAGAGGTTGGGGTGGAGAGAGGGTAGGCAATTAATAACAGCTTATACTATACAGAGTGGTGAGAGCTCTGGTAGAAGTATGTCCAAGGCGCTATGGGAACCTGGAGTGGGTAGCTCTTCACAGGGTCTGGGGAACTTAGGAAAAACGTCCTGAAGAAGGTGGCACCTGGGCTGATCCTTAAGGATAAGTAGGAAGGAGCTATCGAGGTGACTGTCTCAGGGGAAAGGAATGTCAGAGAGAATAGCACTGTCAATGCTGAAGCAAGAGTGGCGTGGCTGTGGGCAGTGAGCAATACGCTGCTTTTACCAGTGTGAGAGGTGAAAAGTGGACCGAAAAGAGAGTCAGCACAGAGAGGTGGCAGCACAGAGAGGTGCAAGCTAGGTTGTGGAGAGCCTTCCATGCCAGGTCAGGAAAATGGGTCAAGGGATGAGGAGAACTTGAAGGAGGGTAACTGGGGAGGGACTTGTTCTTTCATTTTTGTTTTCATTTTGACTTTCATTTAGTTGAAAAAATCATTTTTATACTTGAGCTACTTATAATGAGTGACTGTTGGTGAAATAAATCTACCAAAAAAGAACATTTTGTTAATGGCGTGTAAGAACGCCATTTTGGCATCTTGTTCAAGAAAAGTGCCTTTGGGCTGAGTTGCATTTTACCCTGGAATCACAGGACCAATCTGGGATTCCCCTCTGGCTTCTGGTCTAACTGCTGTGGGACGCGTGCGCATTGTTTCTGTTTTTTGCCTCAAACTGAAATACAACCATGTCCCCTTTATCCCGCCCTCATGGTGTGTGTCTTCCTTATGTCTCTTGTCCTTCGTCAGTGGGCCTTCTAAGGGAGACCCCTTACAGCCTATTCTCATCTATAGACAAAGCCCAAAGGGAGGCCCTTTCTGCGTGTGTCTTTGGGGGAGAGCAATACTAGATTTAGTTTAGGAACCCTGCTGACTTTTACTACAAGGCATAAATTTGAAGCCATTCAAGTGTGTCTGTATGTGGCTTACTCAATGTTATTTTTAGAGTTTGGCATAATTGAATGAAATCCATTAGGATATAAAGACTGTTGATGTTCATATATATGATTTCACCAGGATTTATGTCGATAGCCCCTAATGGGTCAGGATTTAAAAGCTGTATATCAGTAATCTGAAGTAAAAAAACATCTTCCCATTGGGGGCAAATATAATGCCTGTGGGTGTAGAGGTGCTCTAATGAAAATTGTTTTGCCTACAATAAATGAAACTGTGTGGCCTTCAATAGGTCCCAGTACCCAAAGAGCCTGTGAATGCATACCATGCTCTCTCAACAGAGGCATGCAAGAGATTACTTTGTCTAATTTAATGAGCAAAGGTTTTGAGCTGAAATATTAAAAACTATTTGTTGAAATCCCTATTAGTCAAAGTAACTTGATAAGTTAAGGAAGGAAGAATAAGCTGAAGTCTAATTATTTCATTGAATTTAAGGTTTCAGAAGCCTTAAAGTATCTAGAGCAGGGGTCCTCAAACTATGGCCGGCGGGCCACATGCAAATACAAATATTGTATTTGTTCCCGTTTTGTTTTTTTACTTCAAAATAAGATATGTGCAGTGTGCACAGGAATTTGTTCATAGTTTTTTTGTTTTTAAACTATAGTCCGGCCCTCCAACGGTCTGAGGGACAGTGAACTGGCCCCCTGTTTAAAAAGTTTGAGGACCCCTGATCTAGAGAAACAAAACTAACACCCATGAAACAAGCATCGTAAGACAGCATAAAAGAACATGCCAGTGTAGGACTTACACCCAGTTCTGCAATTTATCAGGAGAGAAAGCCTCATAGAGCACTTGAGACTATAACTTGGCAGTAGCGGATAGGAAGGAATGGGACAGGCTGGCAAGAAAAGAAAAAGAAACAATAGCATTCAAGTCAAATCCACGTGCATGACTTAGGTGAAATACAAGTAGTCCTCAAAGTTACTATGGACAGCAAGGCTGCAGCCAGAATAATAAAATTACGAGTTCCCAAATTTAGGTTCATTGGCTTTTTGATGCAAGCTTTTTTCAGACCATATCACATTGTAGT